CTCCTGAACCCGGGTGTCCGCCATCTACCTCCTAGCAAGGAGCCACCACATCTGTTCAGCACAGCGTCCAGACGATAGAGCAGAGACAATCTACCAAAAGCTTCGTCTACAGTGCTCCTCGACTTTCACTACCAACTTTTAGATCGTGAAGATTATCGCCAGGTCACGTGACCCGCGTCGCGTTCCCCTTGGGACCTGGGCGTCGCTCCCGTCTCCACTCGCTTCGCTGTCCCAGAAAACTTCCAGACAACGAACAACTCCTCACAAAGCTGAGAGCATCATCTCTCGTCGCGTCTATTGCAGAAAGACTCTTACCTTTCACCCATAAAGCCACTCTACGGAGCGGCGCTTCATTTCGAAGTCATGGACAGAGATCGCGACCGAAGGTTTGTAGTCTCAATTGCCCCGTACCTAGTTGACCTCACACCAGGCTTGTCTTGACCCAGAAAGACAACGTTCGGAAATGCGACATTCGTTTTGACAGCTTACTGACCACATGAACCCTCTCGAATAGACCCTACCGTGACGAGCGTGACCGCTATGGCGGCGGAGAATCCTACCGTCCAGGTCGTTCACCACCTCGCGGTGACAGCTATCGCGCGACTCGCTCTCCTCCACGACGAGGCCCACCTCCAACAGACTCCTACATACCCAATTCAAGCCGTGCTCCTCGTCCTCGCGAACGCTCTGCCGACAGATACCGTGGCAGGTCAAGGAGCCCCCGTGGTGGATTTAGGGGTGGAGACAGCTTCAGAGGCAGTGGTAGACCAGGCTCGCCGCCTCCTCGCACCTTGTCTCCACGTCGCGACGAGTATCGCGCTCGGGAACCTCACGCCAGGTCGCCTTCGCGCGACGTCGACCGCTACGAGTCACGCTATGAAGCTCGCCCTGGCAGAGAACGGTCGCCTCTACCTCTGAAGCGTACTAGGGAAGTTTCACCTGCAGGTAGCCGTGGAAGACGTTCACCGCCGCCCGCCAAGAGGGAAAGGCTGGCTTCACCGCCTCGCGATAGATATGAGCCGGCACCAAGAGCACGTTATGAGAGGTAAGTCGTTGCTCGTACTCTCTCCGTCAGGGAAGAATATCAGCTGATAAGGATGTGCAGCCCACCTCGACGCACCTATTCTCCACCTCGCGACAGCAGACCAGCTCGCCCTCGCTCCCGCTCACCAGCGCGCCGTGAAGAGCGCGTCGATCCTAGAACAGTCGACAATTGGCGCCGCCGTTCCCCATCGCCTGCACGACCAGCATATACTTCCGGCGATAACTCAGGTCGCATCTCCGCAGCCTCGTCCCGACGCTCCTCTCCACCCCCCGTCCACCCAAGCAGAATGGCATTTGTACCAGACGACCGCCCAGCCCCACCCGAGCCATCATACTCCTCACGAGCCCGCTCCCCCTACCGCGCGCGTTCTCCAGCCCCTCGCTCCCCACCCCGCCGCCGCGACTCGCCTCCGCGCGAACGCGAATACACCAACGGCGCTCCTCCGCCCTCAGCACCCACCTACCGCAACGGCGACGACACCCGCTTCAGCCGCGCCCCGCCCTCCGGCCCCGGCGCCTCCCGCAACTTCTCAACACCCGCCATGTCACCTCCCGTCGGCCCCTCTACATCCACCGTCCCCGTCTCGGCCCACAACCGCGCCAGCAACCCGATCCTCTCTGCGCCTTCGCGGCCACGAGGCGGCGGCCCTCCACGCGGAGGCTATGGCCGGGATCCTTACTACGAGCGCGACTATGTGGGGGGACCGCCGCCGCCTCCGCGAAGGACGTCGAGCGCATACCACGGCGGTCCGCCTGCTCGAGGGGGCTATGGTGGTGGGGGGCCAGGAGCAGGCGGTCCACCATCCGGCCCCCGCGGCCCTCTGCCGTACGCGCCGCCCTTCCGCGGCAGCTCAAACAGCACATCCACGACCTATCCCCGCACGCAGCGCTTCAACGGCCCGCCCAGCGGTCCCGGCGGAGGAGCATCGCAGCATCTCGAGGGCCTCGCGAAGGAGGTCCCAGGCGGCCAGAGACAGCCGGAGGTGTTTGATAGCAGCAAGCTGAACAAGCTGGAGGAGGAGGCGAGAAGGCTGCGGGAGCTTATTGCGGAGAAGCAGGCCAGGAAGCGCGGAGGGGTCAGGGAGTGGGAACGGTTGGGCAGGGAGGCGGAGAATGCGGAGCTGAGGGCGGAGTTGGCGGAGGGGAGCTTGAGGACACTCAGTGGGGAGGAGGGCGTAGGTGGGGCGGCTTTTTAGGGGGGATGCTGTTGGGGTGTGATTGACGATGGGGGCGTGGATCTTGAGGGGAGATGGATGGGGAGGCGACTATGGATAGTGGAGCTTGGGTCGGGTTTACAGGCTTTGGCGGGCTTGGTGTATAACATTCTGCCAGGATCGGGCTTGACGGTTATCTTAGCTGGGCGTATGGGGCGGATCCGGGGCTTGAGATGCAGTTATGTATTGGATTGATACTCTGGTACTGAATAAAAGACCCTTATATGGTACTGTCTTGGGCGTGTCAGGGGCCGGCTCTGCTCTGCTTACCGTATGTGGAGACATGATACGTACGAAAGACGACGGGGCATTGAGGCGGAAGCAGGCCTGTAGGATCATTATTTCAGCTAAGCTTTTGCGCCTTCAGATCATATAGCTGTTTGTTGCTATGCACTGTCTCAGTCAACTTATAACTAGTCAGGTCACGGGCTGGGGAGGCGACATGCCATCGGGCAAAGGATACAGATGTTGATATTACTCTTCCTTGACTAGCGATCTGGAACGACTGAGTATGACTCATGCTGTTGAGCTTCGCAGCAGGCAGGAAGCTACCATCAAAGCTCTTTATTAGGTTTGTTACAATCACATTGTGGCGATTCACCAAGGAAGTAGAGCGTTCAAGCGTGCAATGGATTTCCAAGTTACTATCGCTGTTTCTACATTCGCATCGTAGTGCTTGAATGAACCCCGAAAGTCAAGAGACTGTCAATCTCTGCAACCTCCGAATAATCAGGCTGAGCCTAGAGCCGCGCCACCACTAACTCATCCGGTTTGGCATCTACGAGTTGCCATCGACCTTGGCGACGTGGACTGAGGCAGTGTTAGTGACGGTTCTGGATGCACAGCAAGCCCTAGTACTTACCCAGAAGATCAAGGACACGGCGAGAGTAGCCCCACTCGTTGTCGTACCAGGAGACGAGCTTGACGAAGTTCTTGTTGAGGGAGATGCCGGCCTTGGCATCGAAGATGGAGGAGCGTGGGTCGCCGTTGAGGTCAGAGGAAACGACTTCGTCCTCGGTGTATCCGAGGATGCCTGTTCCATGGTCAGATGCGTCTTGCGTTAGATTTTCAACTGGAATTTACCCTTGAGCTCGCCCTCGGCGGCAGCCTTGATGGTCTGTTTGATCTCGTCGTAGCTGGCCTCCTTCTCAATGCGGCAGGTCAAGTCGACGACGGAGACGTTGGCGGTCGGCACGCGCATGGCCATACCAGTGAGCTTGCCGTTAAGTTCCGGAATGACTTTGCCCACGGCCTTGGCGGCACCAGTGCTGCTGGGGATGATGTTCTGCGCAGCGGTACGGCCGCCGCGCCAGTCCTTGGCGGAGGGACCATCCACAGTCTTCTGCGTGGCAGTGTACGAGTGGATGGTGGTCATGAGACCCTCGATGATGGTGTACTTATCGTTGATAACCTTTGCGAGCGGAGCCAGGCAGTTGGTCGTGCAGGACGCGTTCGAGAGGATCTCGATGTCTGACTTGTACTCCTTCTCGTTCACGCCCATGACGAACATGGGAGCGTCGGCTGAGGGCGCGGAGATGACGACCTTCTTGGCACCGCCCTTGAGATGGGCTTTGGCCTTCTCGGACGTGGTGAACACGCCCGTCGACTCGACGATGTAGTAGGCGCCGGTCTCTGACCACGGGATGTTCGCCGGGTCCTTCTCAGTGTAGAAGCGGACAGTCTTGCCGTTCACGGTGAGGTCCTTGCCCTCGACCTTGATCTCGCCCTTGAACTGGCCGTGGGTGGTGTCGTACTTGAGCATGTACGCCTACAGATGGCCGCCGTTAGCCAGTATTCCTTCGAAAAAATGTAGCCCGCGTGGATTGACGTACAGCGTAGTTTGGCTCAATGAAGGGGTCGTTGACGGCGACGATGTTCACGTCATCGTGCTCGATGCTGGGTGAGGTCAGCTTGCATGCTCTTCGGTGCCGGCGAGGAGAGGATTAGAACTCACGCGTTGCGGAAGACGATTCTGCCAATACGGCCGAACCCGTTGATGCCGACCTGAGTGAAAGCTTTAGCTATCCGAGTACTGGCAATCCGAGGAGGGGCTGAGGTACCTTGACGACCATTGTGATGCTGTTGATTGATTGTCAGCCAGTTACTTCTGACGGTGTTGGTGTTGAAGACTCGAGGCGGAAGACTCACAATTACTTTCTTTGAGAGGCTGTTTGTGATTCTACCAGAACAAGAGACGGGATGATGTGGAAGGAAGAGTTTGTTGTGTTGAGAAAGCGTGGTGGCCGTGGTGGGGTGAGAGCAGGTAATATGTATGGACTGCCCCGCCCTTGGCCTCTGCGCTGCGCTGCCCGCCAATAACGTCACACTGCACACGGCAAGAGCTTCGAAGGCCGATGCTGCTTTTTCCCAAGCCCGCGATAACTGTCACTTCGCTAGTTCACAGGATTAAACTCTTATCCCGTATACAAACGAGTGGTACCACGGACTGTCAGCCGCTGTATTCCGTGCTGCCAGCCGGTCTCCACGGTGCGGTCCTGCTCCCCGCATTAGAGCCTCAGAGGCTCCCTTTCGCCAGTCCGAGAATGCCCGTCATCCGGAACGATCCTACAATGCAAAGCTAGGCTAACAACTGTGCAGTCTCAAGCTTGACCGAGACCTCACCGTTCACAGCCTCGGGTTAACGTAAGATTAACCCTGTGTCAAACGTTTGGCTGATTAGCTATCCCCAGAACACGCTCGCGGCTCCATTGACATATCCCGTGCCTCCTAACCGATTCGCAACCGCTCGGGATCAAGCTTAAACTTACCGCCCAACCTTCGAGTACACCAGCAGCGTGAAAAGCACACACCGTGAACAGTACGCAGCGCCATCAAGCTGTCGGACACGACCGGGACTGACGTGTTGCTGTAACACGTAGCAAGCTTGGAGCCCTTGCCGAAAGCCCGGTTGGACGTCGACCGTTAGCAGCATCTCAAGTACTTACAACCGATGGCAAGGGACACCGAGAAGGGACTCAGACGCGTTCTTGAAGGAAGTCATGTGGACGGCGCGGTCTCAGAAGGCCCATCGGGCTTTGAAGAGCTTCAAAGCATGGGCGTGGCAATTGAAGCCCTACTGCAGAGCCACTCCTAAACAACCGACATTTTATGTCCTCCAGGCCGTCTGCAGCATCATTGAGCGCCGCATGAATATCGCACATCGCAATTTGCACCAAGAGGTGCCGATATCAAAGCTTGCTAGCACCGACAGCATACTGCAACTGTCACGTAGTAAATAGAGATCAAACGCCGTAACTTTTAGGAGCCTGAGCAGCTGAAGTTGCAATCAGATTGCTATGCATTCAGCTTGCTTTGCCATTTCGTAGAATAATACCGGCCTCAGGCATTGAGCATCGTCTAGGGTGTCTCTAACTGCGGACAACACGGGATTTCCCGAATAAAGACCAAGCACGATATACGAGCTCCCAATTGACGAAGCTGAAGTCAAAGATAACAGAACACTATTGCATGAAGTGACTAGAATCCCTGCCGTTTTCTTGGGGCGTTTTTTTGGCAGTGGGCTAAGGAGGCTTGAAAGGCGACCAATCAGAGCGGTGGTCTGACGAAACCTAAGCCGCAGCGACTCCTCGCGACCTCGAGCTTCAGAACTTCGAGCACGCCAGCACCAAGACCAGCACCCAACCCACCACCAGCTTGCATTGCAGCCGCTATCGTCCGCAGACATCAATTCCTCCCTTGGCCGTTTCCTTCTGTTCCATCTCCACTCGGTGACCGAGACATGCTTCGCTCATCCCTCCTCCGAGCTGCCGGCTCGACCTCGCTCCTCCCGTCCACCGCGGCACGACAAGCTGTCCGCGCACCAGTCGCCTGCTTGCAGCACGCACGCCAGGCGCACGCCATCTCCAATCCGACGCTCGCCGATATCGAGAAGAGATGGGAGGCCATGCCGCCGCAGGAGCAGGCAGATCTGTGGATGGCGCTGCGGGATCGCATGAAGGTTGACTGGAAGGAATTGACGCTGCAGGAGAAGAAGGCCGGTATGTTCGCACCAAGCACAGTTCTCGACAGATATGGCCGCCAGCTACGGGCTACTCCACTCAGCTTTTGGGCGCTCTCTTGTTGCTCTTCAAGCCAAGCAATTTCCGGCGTTTCCGTGCGACTAACGTGTGATTCCCGCGCAGCATACTGGATTGCATTCGGCCCACACGGCCCCCGCGCCCTTCCTCCCCCAGGCGAGAACACGACCGTCTTCATCTACACAATGATCGGTGTCGCCGCAGCTGCTGTCATCTTTGGCCTTAGCCGAGCGTTTGCCAGACCGCCCCCGAAGACGATGACCAAGGAGTACCAGCAACAGTCAGGGGAGTACTTGCAAGTACGTATCCCCTCGCTCGTTCCAGGACTGAACACCACCGATAGTGCAGAGGTGCTGACAGTTTCGACCACAGAGCCAAGGAACAGAGCCCATCACTGGCCACAAGGACATGTTGGTGCAAAGCAAGCCGGGCAAGAAGGACTCGTAGATTTAAAGGGCTCGACAATCGTCTGGTACAAAAGCCGCTTTTTGGGGTTGACTTCTTGTTTCGCGTCTGTTGCGCCGAGAAGTCTGGGCGATGGAAGGCCGCCGGTACGTGTGCCTTGCCATGCGTATTGCAGCAGCTGCGTGTTTGTGATGTTAGTCCGCCGTTGTACAGAATCTAGAGGCGTATTTCAGTTCGTGCAGTTTCATGATATTGCCTACGGATGCTGTTGGATGTGTCCGTCAAATTGCCGTATGATTCCGCTACACGCATTCCCCAACCAGTCCGTCTTTTGACGATCCTGGGGATTCATCACACCCTGAATTCGAGATCAGCTATCCAGCCATCCATCTTCGACGGCCCCAAACTCAGTACCAGAACGGCACAATGCTGCTTGCGTAGCAGTGAGTTGATCACACACGTGATCAATCTTGTTGTTTCGGTATGTTTCCAGGTACTTGCCGCTCTATCAGCCGTTTCATAAGCCAGGGGCATGACCATACTTGAAGCATTGGAGTAAAGCTAGGGATAGCCGAATGCAATGTCACGCTTCTGTATAGCACCCCTAAGCACCTTCTGCCGAAAAAGCATGCACCAGGACTACGGATAGTGTTTACGCTGTAATGCGCATTAGTCTCTCACCTGATTCGGTTTGTACTAAGATATCGCCAGTGAGCTGTGCCTTTCTCGTAAGTAGATGCTGAGCACACGGAAGATAGCTTCTATGTCGCGCTTTCCGCTTTTGACTGGAGATGACCTCGGAAGAACCGTGGTGCACCCGACCACGCTAAAAAGACAGGAGGTTTGCGCTAGTTTAGCCGCTTCCACTTAATCTTCTTCGAGACCACTGTGTGTACCAAGCAGACTCGATAGTAGTATAAATATAAAATCGAAATACTATATTACCATCGGAGTTCGAGTTTTAATGCTTGATTAGTACTATTATTAGAACTAAAGCCTAATAAAAACTGAAGCATGCTTCTAATTAGAGTTTTGTAATATTATATATAGTCAAGGCTAGTGCTAGCGCGGATCTAAGTTCTATGTAACAGTTTTGTATAATAACTCTAGTATTTTGTTTAGCAATTCTTTTTCTTCTCTATCAACTAATACATAGCCAGGCGATACTTTCAATTACAATTTTAGATTGTGCCTGCTGTTAACGAGTATTCCCTCATCTGTTCTACGAGTAAGTTATAACTGCTAGGTGGAACCTCTAATCACGTGAAAGAGCATTCCAGACCGTCCTGCTTGAGCGCCTTCACCACTACTTTGGTCTTCTACACTGTCAGCGCGGACAACATCTATTACTACACTGTGTTCTAAGCCTGCATCAACGACTCAACGGAGCATCTTGCTCATTCGAACTAGTCCGTGATTCCCTCCAGCTGGGAGAAGACCGCGATTGGGGTTCAGTTCAACCCTTAGTGGACCGGCATAGAAGCAAACGCGCCGTAGGTCTCGGTGCATTGAGCTCTCAAACCCCCTTTCTCCACCATTTATTCTGACTTGGTCATACTGTTCTCAGTCATTCTAGTCTTCTCATTCACGCGTTTGACTTATGATTCTTCGCTCTATTCGAGTCTGTCACAATGTGGATTTATGTTCATTTATATTTTTAAATTTGCTTCTAACCATGTTCAACCCAATGACTGACTTTGTTCAGAGCTCCTTCATCGCCCTGCATGGGACGCAGTTGATACCTTCCAGCATGCACCGATGATCGGCCCGAACGAAATTTTAAAGACGACGGCAGCCACGTCCGTCCACGATGGACTCGGATACGGATATGCTTATCAGCGAGAGCATCGTGCTCTCGACCGAACCGAACGGCCATCTTGAAACAGTCAACCCGGCATCGCTGTTCGTAGGCGGTGAACACGGATCCGGCGAACGGAAAGATGGCCCGCTGGATTCCCATGTGTTCACCACTGCGGCCATCTCAACTGATCTCGACGAGGACATGACCCAGGATGATACTTCCAGTACCGAATCGTTCTCCCCTCGAGCAACGCCTGAGGCTATGAGTTATGTGGAGCCCACACGGTCAACAACTGTGCAGGTTGTAATACCGCATCCTAAGTTCCGTCCATTGCCGTACTCTTCGACGCAGTCAGGCTTGGTCTATGATACCCGCATGAGATTTCACATGGAGCCGATCTCCTCAATGAGTGACATGGACGACATCCACCCAGAGGATCCCCGCCGGATTTTCGAGATCTATGAAGAACTCGTGCAAGCTGGACTTGTTGACGACCCCCGAGAAAGGAGTGCGACGCCGGAGTATCAGCTGTGGAGAATACCAGCAAGACACGCAACGCCCGCAGAGATTTGCCTCGTCCATGACAGGGAACATGTGAAATGGGTGGCGAGCCTGGAATCAAGGACCGAGGAAGAACTGAAATATCTAGCAGACAAGCGTGACTCAGTGTACCTCCATCATCTGACTTGGCACTGCGCAACTCTCTCCGCTGGCGGAGCAATCGAGGCGTGCCGTGCGGTTGTTGCAGGTCACGTCAAGAACTCCATCGCCGTCATCCGGCCACCGGGACACCATGCCGAACACGACAAACCCGGCGGATTCTGCTTCTTCAACAACGTCTGCGTTGCCGCAAAGGTCTGCCAACTCGACTTTCCCGAGACGTGTAGGAAGATCCTGATCCTAGATTGGGACGTCCATCACGGTAACGGCGTCCAGCAAGCATTCTACGACGATCCCAATGTTCTGTACATCTCCATTCATGTGCATAAGAACGGCACGTTCTATCCCATGGGCGACTACGGCGACCACCTTCACTGTGGTGAAAGCGCGGGCACGGGGCTTAACATCAACATACCGTGGTCGGACCATGGAATGGGCGATGGTGACTACATGTTCGCTTTCCAGCAAGTCGTCATGCCAATCGCTATGGAGTTCGATCCTGATCTGGTGGTTGTCTCCGCCGGATTTGATGCCGCTGAGGGAGACAAGCTGGGAGGATGCCACGTTACACCACCCTGCTACGCTCATATGACTCACATGCTCATGTCTCTTGCCAGGGGAAAGATGGCGGTCTGCTTGGAAGGCGGCTACAATCTGCGCTCTATAGCCAAGTCAGCACTTGCTGTTACTCGAACTTTGATGGGTGAACCACCGGATCGTTTGGATGCGCCCGAACCGTCTGCACTGGGTTTCGCCATGGTCATGACTGTTATGAGGACACAAGCTCGGTTCTGGAAGTGCATGTACCCCAAACAGACCCGAAGCTCGACTGAAGATATCCAAAACGTACCGATGGCACGCATGCACGACATCATCCGAGAGTGGCAGAGCAGCGTCATGTGGGAGAATTACGGCATGGTACCGCTGCTCATACATCACACCAATCTCTCCAAGTCATTCGAGAATCAGGTGCTCGCAACGTGTGTAGAATATCCCCTCCTTAACAATATATTCTCACCAATCTGAGTACAGGCGCAATTATGCAGATGCGAATCCCCTGCTCGTTATCTTCCATGATCCCCCGGACGTACAGGGCGTTCCAGATCCACGGACGAACAAGCTCGAACTACACAACACCTATCTGGTAAGTCGGTTCTGCAGAAAACCGCTAGCATGCGACTGACTGTAACCGGAAGACTGATGTTACCAAGACTTACGTGGACTGGGCTGTCAAGCAAGGCTTCGGCGTCATCGACGTCAACATTCCGAAGCATTACACACAAGACGATGTAAGGCATCCAGACTCCGAGGTTCAAGAGCCCGCTGACCGCGTGTAGGACAACGCTGACTACGCTGAAACGGAAAGCCAAGAGTCCCGGAAAGCCCTGACGCGGGAGGTCGCAACGTTTCTGTGGGAGAACTACATTGAGTATGTCGCCAATGTTCTCGGTTGATTACTACTGACACTCCGCAGGCCTGAGAACGCAACGCACATTTTCTTGATGGGCATAGGGACGGCGTATTTCGGTGTTCTTGACCTCATCAGCAGCCACGGTAAGCACACACTTCGCCGGATATCGCATCCCGACTGGCTGATCGAACCTCGTTGTAGAAAGGACGACGGAATCCGATAAGGTTGATCTCGTGATCTGCTTTGTGGCGGACAATCCGCTGAACACAGTCAAGCGGCCAGCTGACGACAACATAACTAACTGGTATTATGATGTAAGACTTTTCACTACAGCTTGCACCCGAAAGTCTCTGAATAAGCACTGCTGATTCATCCCGAAGCACTCCCTTGTCTTCGTCGCAAGCGACCACCTAGCCTGGGATCCCGCTCGCCAGCGCAAGATAAAAAAACGCTACGGCAACCTCGTCCGGTCCTCCCGAGGAAGGATCACAGACCAGCTCATCGAGCATCGCGAACAGGTACACGAGGCACTACTTAAATGCACGGAGGACTGGCGAAACGAGAAGGCGCAGGAGGAGGAACGGAAGAAGCAAGCTCTCCTGAAGACGAACGCTGCGGTCTATGTGCAGAACAACCTGGCGCTTCGAGCGACTGAAGACCGGGATAGTCCGGTGCAGAGCCCGAAGAAGCAGCCTGTCATGGGGTACTTTACGGCTACGCCGCCGTTGAGGGGTCCGGGGAGTCCGAATGTGAGGAGTCCTGCTCGGTTCTGACGCGGGTGGTTTGCTGGCATACGGACGCTTCATCGAGTACAAGCATATTTAAAGGAATTTGAACACTTGGCTATGCGATTCCAACAGCTGCATTCAGCCTTGGGGTTTGTACTTTCGTATGGGGGGGCGTCGATCGTTGAAGCGTTCACGTGATTTCGATTTTCTCCAAGCAACTTGGTCTTCTCTCGCCAGCCTCGCCGTCCACGCCAGATTATCGCTCCCTGCAGCGTCACAGCCTCAGATAGGACAAATGTCTTTGTCAGCTTTTCATCCTGTCTCGGAGGGTTAAGGTAAGACTTTCTCAAGGTTTTGCCACGGCTTACGCTTGCTGCCGCAATGAAGCAGCGCTCGGGTGAGGTGTCATTCTGTTGCAAGTCATTGTCACATTCAAAAAGTCAACTCGTCGAGAAGCTTTGTTTACCGAAGTCTCAGTATCACGCGACCATTCAAGTCAACCCGTGGCTGTGTGTCGGCTTTGTCTTGATTCAGTCGATTGTGCGTGGCTTTGTGTCTTGGCCATCGTGTCCCACCGTCTTTTCATTCCTTTGATGTACTTTGTATAGAGAAAACATAGAGTCTGCCGTGAGGCAATCTCCTGCCTCACTCGACATGGTAATCACTCTATCAAGATGGCACAACTCAAGCGATTATTTTGCATTCCCGGCGTGATCCTGTTGTCTCTGTCGTCATGGGCATCAGCCCAGGGGAGCTCTACGACTTTCACAACGGTAGCACCCACTACTTCAGCCATGCCTACAACAACCTCTTCATCATCTTCAATCTCGGTCCGAACACCAATACCTGTCAACGAATTCCTAGGCTGCACCGAGGACCGTCCTGTCGCTACGCACACTGTCTCTGTCGGAGGGATAGCACATCAGTTTACGCCCGATAGAGTACTAGCGTGCAAGGATGACGTTGTCAAGTTTGATTTCTTCCCTACCAACCACTCGGTCGTGAGAGCGGACTTCGACCATCCATGTGTCCCGTACGAAATGGTCGGGAACAACCAGGGAGGTTTCTTCTCCGGCTTCCGTGCGACGGACAAGATTGAAGAGAATGTAAGTGACTGCTTCTGCAATAAATGAATTTGAATCAAGATAAGAAGGCTAACGTTTGGTGTAGCCGTCCTCGTGGTTATTAAGGGTCGACTCCAGAGACCCCGTGTTCTTCTACTGTTCTGCCCCAGGTTCCTGCAAAGACTGGGCGATGGTGGGCGCCATTAACCCTGTAAGTAACTGTACATCCTCATTGAGGGAATACACTGACCGCAAGCAGACCGCCCAATACTCGCTTGCTGAGCACGCACTCAAGGCTAGGGCAGCGGATCAAGAACTCAGTCCTGGCGAAAAGTTCCGTGACGAGGCCTCCTCTCCAACCAACACAGACGCGTCAAACGACGTCAAGGACCACCCGCATAGTTTATCCAAGGGAGCCATTGCCGGGATAACCATAGGCGTTGTAGTCGTAGTCTTTCTAGCCGGCGGCTTCTTCTTCTACATGGGACGAGTGAAGACTCTGAAGAAGTCAATGGAAAGGACAAATGCTACAGTACCACATCCAGCAACAAGACACATGTCAGGCGCCAGCTTGGTCTTCCCTCATGCTCCGTTCGGCGAAGTTCCGCAAGCTCACTTCAGCGAGAGCCCTCAATCTCGCCTCAGTGGGGTCGCTCTGTCTCACCTCAGCGCGGTCCCACAACCTCTCTTCAGCGAGACGCCGCATGCTCGATTCAGCGAGCTACCAGCTCCAGTTCCCGGCCTTCCGACCTACGCGGAGTCGTCTTCTGCAAGCACGGTTGGTTCAGCGAGTCCGAAGTCACCTGACAGATACTTCAGAGGCTTTCTCCTTCGGTATGTCCAGCGTCAAAACTTAGTCGTGACTGAGGGTAACAGTGCTAATCGCTTTCACAGAATTCCGTCAAACCCGCCACCACCACCACCACCTCCTCCTCCTGCTGAGTTGTGGGCACCCGTGCCGGACAGGAAGACGACGTAGCTGTCGTACCTAGAAGGCCCGACTGAGACTCTTTGTAGACGTCGACTGGTTTAGTCGAAATAAGTACGAGACCATGCTCTCGGCACCAAAAAAAGCTATTGTAATTAACTTTGTAGCACATCCATAATGTTTAATAATAACACTCCCCCACTTCCACGATGCTTAAGACGGCTACTATGGCAAGTGGCCCCATCGCCAGGACTGTGGCTTGGAAGGAACACAATGGCATTTTCGGACCTTCATTCAACCACCAAGCGTTCTTTAGGCTCAATGCAATGAAGCGTCGTAGATGTTGGGCGACACACCATGGCAATTGACAAAATCGGTGCAGTGAGGAGTGTGAGAAGCAGAAGCGGTCTGTTGTCCTACTCGGGGAATAGATCCGTTTCCTTCTTCAATCGTTGTCAATATCGACAATCAGACAGACGTTGGAGATACCATGGCACGATGGCTCGGAACGTCGATGCGGGTGATCGACATCCTGGGCTGGCTCTGCCCGGATGTTCCTCCTCGAGGGAACCATTGGCGAAAGTTTGGCGGAGCTTCCTGCCGTGCTTGCAGCAGCGCAGGACGCTCCTCTCAGGCAGTATCTTTACCCATGCGACATTGACACGATTGAGCAAAGCCAGCGACAAAGTGCAAAGATGTGAGCAGCCGCCGGACGGTTGTGATGGACATCATCCTGGCCAAAGCACCTGATGAGCAAATCCCTTACGAGACGAGTTTCTGGCCCTCTTCTGTGTGGCTCGGTGATGCGATGCGACTCGTTTGTTCGCCGCGTCGAAGAACCAATCCACTGTCTTCCTTTCAGCACGCACTCGACAGCTTCTGACAACCTGCCAGTCCAGCGCTTTTTACAAAGTGGTGCTGTTCCTTGGCCTCGCCGCAGCTTTGCTCCATCATAAGGCTGAGCGTTCGCGGTAGTTTTAGCCACTACAGTCGCCGCGCCTCAGTCACTAGCAAAAAGAAACTATTTCGAGATAGCAAGTGTCCGTCTGGATGCATGGGAGATCCCACCGCGCACTCCGTGTGACTAGTGGCCTGGCGAGTTCGGCGTAGACAAAGACGAGGCTCGCGGGCCAGGCCAGGATGCTCGCGGCTTCATCCTCCAACTCGCCCACCTTCTCCGCAACCTCCTCGCCCACCTTTCGCACCCGGTCGCGGCATGCCTCGCGCAGCTCCTCACACCACACACAGTCTCCCCGAACATACCAGATCTTCCCAGATTCCCGGCGACCGGATGCGCCAGCAGCTCCGCTCACCGCGCCTCCCGCAGCGCCTACCGTCTCGAACCCCGGACGACAGACTGTCGATGCGGGAACTCAGTACACTCCACAAGGCTATCCACCGACCGCACAGAGGCCGATAGAGAGGCCGATAGACATACCTAGGAGCGAAGGCACACTGCCGAGGAGCAACTCGACGACCAAGCGGAGGGCAGCCTCCACCACAACCACAACGGACCCTCCGGAGCCAGAAGTGCGGCAGGCTCCGCAGACGCCTTCGAAAAATGCGCGAGCCTCTGAACCGGCCTCTGCGAGCGCGTCTGCTCCAGTACTGCAAGCAGGCCAGCCTTCGCCGCAGAAGCGCATACGGCCGTCCAGTTCGGCGGTGAAAGTCATGCCGGTGAAATATGAGACGTGCGATGTCAAGGATTTAGGGGTGCTGATCTCAGACATGCTGATCGAGCTCGTCCGTATCAACGACGGCTTTCCGCTCAAAGACGGGCAGCTGACGCGGTTCCACTCACGGTGAGAACTTACTCTAGCAACCTACGTTGTATCCTGCTAAGTAAACTGTGCGCAGAGCACCCCCAGGCATCTCCATCCGCGACTACCTCTTCAGGCTCATCATCCACGCCACGCTCTCCCCGCCAATCCTCCTCTCCATGGTCTACTACGTCGACCGCCTCTGCCTGCTCTACCCCGCCTTCACCATCAGCAGCCTGACTGTGCACCGCTTCCTCATCGCCTCGGCGACCGTCGCTGCGAAGGGCCTCAGCGATAGCTTCTGGACCAACAACACGTACGCGCGAGTCGGCGGCGTGAGCACAAGGGAGCTGGCACTGCTGGAGCTGGAGTTCCTGACGCGCGTTGACTGGAAGATCGTGCCGAAGCCGGAGGTGCTGGTGGATTACTACGTTAGTCTGGTGGGGAGGAGCGAGGGATATGTGCTTGAGAGTCTGGAGCCGGCGAAGCAGTAGTATGATGGGGAGTGCAGGGAGGCGTTGTCATACCCAGCGACGGCGATGAGGTTATCATACGTATCTACAGGTTCTGATGGGCTTCACGATGGGGCCACGGGCATTTAGTATGGTGTGTCTGGCGCGGTGCATGGCTAGGGATCTCGGATATGCATCGGATGTGCTACTTTACATAGCGATGGTCTTGCTTAGAGGAGTGCAAATCCACCATAGCTACCATCCCGAGTGTCTGGTGCAGTAGACGGGCTCACCATCCTTCCAAATGCAACTGGAAATAGTAACTGTTCGCATCCGGAGGTGGCTTAAAGCTCGTGAGCACCTGGATGCGTTGTACCAATTGCCCGCCGTGGACAACCACCATCAGATCCCTGCCGCACTAGTCCAAGCCTCACTCTGGAGCAATTCATGAGGCTGGACAAGGCAAACCCTCCGTGACTTTTCGGGCACGCTTTATTGCTCCTGCCGCGCCTCCAAGTCAGCTCGATGACGCTGAGTGCAGAAGATAAGTGTGTGGATAAGACGGTCTGAAGCACCCGCTGAACGGATGGCTTCACTCGTTCACAAAAAGTGGAGAGGCGCGTTTGACTTCCCTGCCGAGCCTTGAGACGACGACGCGGGTCTTTGTTCTTCGGACTTGACTCAGCTACTGATAGCAATGTCAACTCGACTCACCACATTGATACGGTTGAGCTGCTGACATTCCTGCTCCTATTCCATATATTCTCCTTGATGTCTACGTTAGCATCATAAAATTGGAAGAAGCGTGAGAACGCCTTTCACTTCACGTCCTTTCCGTCTCATTGCCGCGCGGTATGCCAGGAGTGACTGTCCTCGAAGTTTCGCTGCCATTCAACTTCTCTTCGCCAGTGAATTTGGGTCATCCCGGCAGCAAGCGGTCGAATTCTTTAATCTTTACAGCCACAGCGCGGAAACGTAACGATAGCTTACTCATATCCAACAGCACGCCCAATTCCTACACTGGCCCTATCAGTGTAAACATGCGGACAACATGAGCGTCGACAATGGCTGGCATGAGCGCAGACGAAAAGAGCCGGCATGGCTCTCGCCGCCGAGACAGTATCAGCAGGTAATTACGCCGCGCCTTAGAACATTGACTACTGAATGCCATATCTACTGTTGCCGTGCGGTTTTCACGGCAACAGCGCTCTTTCAGCAGTTCAATTGACTGACACCGGCATAGGATCAGCCAAGACGGTCATCTCGGACGTTTACTGCTCCCATCGTGACGCGTCCGAGACTGGAGCGCAATTCAACACAGGAACCGCCAACAGCCCATAGGGCCAGCAGCATACTACCGTATTGTCCCAGGAGATCCGATTCTTACCCTACTGCATCTCTTAAGGAGTTCCGGAGAACCAGATCATGGCCGCCGCGCGGATATACCGCAGACGATACTCTCAATCCGAGGCAGGCGGAAGACCTGATATGTGCAGGAGCTTCCACATTCAAGGGCTACTCCGATGAGGTTAAAAACGCGCGTCCGGGACATTTCAGGTTCTACGCCGTCATGGAGGCAGAGCACTGCGCGAGGACTGATCGTGCACCCTTCCAAGATCACGCGTTCGCGGACATCTCATTCAATGCAACCGCATCGGCTGAGAGTGCGTTTCCTTGGCTTTCACTGGAACAGCCTTGTATGGCTTACTGCTTTGGGAAAAGATCCGGGACGACAACACTCAGCTTCAAGACTAGCAAGTCAGGGATATTGGGACCGTTGTTGGAGTATGAATCCACAGCCAAGCCGAGGAGGATCAAACTATTCACAATCTTGGATCGCCTGCGTCACCTCGAGACAGGGATTGAGGAAGATGTTCGTCGAACCCCCCATACAGATAGTGTAATCGAAACGGTTAACGGTATACAGGATCCTGCTGAACTCTATCGATACTTGTACACGAAGCTCATTGAGGATCCCGATGCGGATATGGAGCCTCACTACGGGCTCGAACAGCAGATGACCGATCTCATCATCCTACTGACCAACTCAGACTGGATCGACTTCAGCCAGCCGAGGAATCAGATTGTTGCCAAGTACTTCGACAGTCCCGATGAGACGAAGAAACAGAAATTTTTCCATCAGCTGCTTTTGTCCGTTGAGTTGTACCTGAGAGTCCATTCTCTCCACCACGAAGATAAGCCAAAACGGCGTCTACTGTCCCAGCTCCCCCCAATAGTGCAATGGGATCTCGCGCTAGCCCAACGCTGGCTCGAAAACATGTCCATCCAGAAAACCAGCATCTCATCAAAACAAACATCCTTCAGCTTCGAGCTGCGCAGCAAGAACCGGCAGAAAGACGCCCTCCGCACCTTCGCCGTCACCCTCAAATGGCCGAACCTATCAGAAATCGACGCCGTCCTACAAGAAGACGACCCAAGCGAAAAAGAGCTAGAAGAGCGCTCCGCCGACGCCCTAAGCTGGTTCAGCGCCGTCGTGCTTCCCGGCACGACAATGCCGTGGCTGCTCATGAACACGCTTATTGACTGCGATAGTGGCACCGGCGATGCGCTGAGGTATCTTACCCACATGCATCCAGCGGCGGGCTTCCAGTACAGAGCCAACACCTACTGGTCCTACAAGTGCATCGTCGGGAAAGTCCTCGGTGCCGCCCGAGGCGTAAAAGCGATTGCGGGCTGGATCGGACCGTGCAACTACAGCCCTGACCTCAAGCGCACGGAATGCGCCTTTATACGGCAACGGGCGCCGCCGGAGCAGCAGCTTACCATCGACGATGTCAGCAGCATGGGAAGTCGAACTGATCCGCTGGGGCCGAGGGACGCGTCGTACCCCGTAGATGACTACGAGCTTGTGGTGCCGGATACAGACGACGTGACGGATGCGATCAGGGTCCAGAAACTGGAATTCAAGCCCGCGAAGAATCAGCCGAACATGAGTCGGCTGGGCGAGGGCGCGCCGCTGACGTTTGATGCCGCGATCGTGTTTGCGTGGAGGGGGCAGAGCTGGCCGATGCGGTTGAGGTTTGATGTCGATTTTGTGGCGGCTTATCCGTGCCATCAGGGGCCGCATGGTGAGATTGCTTCTGTCCAATTTGAATGGTGCACGATGACTAATACAGTCATGGCAGTCCTCTTCTACGACTATGCCTACCGCGCCGTCAAAGTCGACGAGGACCTTGTTGATATCCACGGCTGGCGCTCTCACTCTCCTACCAGCCGCTCCTCATCGCGCCCATCGTCGTCGCACCAGCCTTTGCCGTCACCTTCACCCTCGTTATCTTCGGCACTCACGGCTACATCAACCTCCGGCGAGCAAGACTTACCAGCCAACGTGGCGCTAGAAAAGGTCCTTGTGATCGAAGCCCTTGGTGTCAGCGATAACGAGGTTTTCGCCCGCGCATGGTGTGCCCATTGGGGCCATAGCGCTGTTGTTGCGAATGTCAAGGAGACGTGCATGGCGTGTGCGATTAGGGAGGCTTATGCTGCGTGTATCAGTGTGGTGATTTTGACGGAGGGAGGAAGGGCTGGGGAGGATGATGGGGGGATCGGTGGTTGAGGACGAGGACGAGCATTTGGGAGTTTGGATTGCATGAACTGCTTGGGACTCTTTCGGCTGGAGGGTGCAGTCATTCAGAGCCTCGGCTGCTAAGTTTACCAGTTGGAGCATGGATCGTTTGCGCATGCGGTCAGGGCAAGGGTGGTGTTTTTGTACTACTCAGCTCTTTGCAAGTTGCGTCACTGGGCAAGAGATAAATATGTACTCATGAAATTTCGAACAGACTTTCATTCCGATCAGTCCAGGGAAGTACCCATAGTGTTTCAAAGAAGAAGTCCAAACCGTTCTGATTCGAGACATCAAGGTGCCAATCCGCTGAAAGCGTGGTTGTGCATCTTCAACCTCAATCGAGCATTCCTACCTAGGTACCCAGAGGATCAGCCCATGCCCATCCCAAAACCACAACCATTCCGCCACCCATTACAAGCACAACGGATCCCGACTCCATCTCCTTCCGATGCAACCGCGGATGATTCAGTGGACCGAATCTTGGTGAAGCCCAGTCAACCATCCCTCCGCATCCCTCCGCAGCATCCACGCCTTCCACCCCCACCATGGCACGCGCGCCCACCCCACCAGCGCTCGCCGAACTACGAGAGCCAACGTCTGTCGAGTCTCAAATTGCAGCGCTCAAGCAACTGAAGAATGAAATAGTGGGCCACGACCAGCGGAAAGAGCTAGCCATCCGACGGGGCGTCGTGGGGTCTCTGGTGCGGATACTGACGGCCACGACCAAGGCGAGCGGGAAGAGGAGGAGTAGAGAACTGAACGGGAATGCGGCCGCGTCGAGGGAAGCGGAGTGGACGGGAGAGGATGAGGTGAGGTTGCAGGCGACGCTGGTGGCCGGGAGTTTGGCTTTTGGTGAGGCGCTCTGGGGGGGTGTGGTCTTGGATGATGTGTTGGAGGCTTTTGGGGAGAAGGGTATAACGCTGACGGGTGGATTGAACAGGTGGCCCGGCGTTCGTTGCTCCTCTGCTCGCGGGCGGTATCCTTCCACCACTGCTGCAGTCGCTGTCGCCTGCTGAGACGCCGCCCAAGTTGGTGACGGCCACCCTCGGCGTCCTTGTGACGATCGCCAATGCTGTCAAACTACTCTATACTGGACACTATGTACCGGACGCTCCGGCTGCCTACCTCCGCCAGCAGTTATACACGAAGCCCGTGGTGAGGTGCTTGGGGGATATACTCGCCCAGAGGTCGCCGGCAGCGCATCAGCACGTCACACTTACTGCTCGACTGATAGCTGTGACATGCTCGGAGGAAGCCGACAGGGTATTTCTAGTTAAGGAGGGAATCCTGGACCTGCTAGCCTCCCGACTGGCGGCGTTTGCTGCTTCGACAGGACACATGTCACCGTATGCGGACAGCGCAGTTGTGGCAGCGCTGCCTCCGGCGCCGCCCAGGACGAGCCTTCGTTATCTGCTCGAGGCTGTCGTCATGGTGATAACAAGCTCGAGCTACCGGGCGGCGCGATTGCTCTACTCGCCAGCCATTGTCGGGTTGTTCCCTCCAAGATCTCAGCTTTCGCAAGACAGCCATGTGTCGTTCGCGGACTACAACACTACTCAATCGCCATCCGTGCAAATGAACTCCATCGACAACCTACTGCCCCAGCTTCAGGCCGTCAAAAGCAAGAGCGAACATTCCTTCTCCAAGGCTTTCCCCGCACTAGGTTCTTTCAGCGCAGCCGGAGACATTGCCGCGATTACAAGCTTCGCGGATGCCCACATCGAGCCCTCGGCGCGACTGATCACGTCCGACGACTTCGAGAGCCCCCTCTTCGCCTGGCTCATCCACCTTGCTCGGACTGAACACGACGCCGACCGGCTCTTCGCCGCCTGGTTAGTCGCGCTCCTCCATGCCGCCACCATACGCTTCACGCCCGACACGCCCGATGGCTACAACGAGAATCGCGATCGCGCGCTGAAGCTCCTTCTTGTGCCGCTCGTTGTGAACATGATGGACGATGCAGGCTCGTCCGACCAAAAAAAGGCTCCTCCGCCTCCGGGCCCCGACCACGCGCTGGAGAAGCAGACCGCGCAGATGATTAAGGAGCGAGCACCTGCTGTGCTGGCGGCGCTTTTGGGCGAGAGCCTGGAGTCGCAGGGCGCTGCTGCGGGTGCTGGAGCTATCAAAAAGATCTGCCACGTGCTGAAGAGGTCGTTCGATCCTGTCGTCCCGTCGAAGCAGCAGATGTGGTCGCCTACCCCTCAGTCATCGTCGCTTGAAGACGCTGAGAGCGATCCCTCGCGGACGTTGGGTGGGCCCGGGCTTATGCCTGAAGTGGTGCACGCGCTGAAATGCCGAGAGAGCGCGCTCCTGGCTATGGCGGCTATCGCGCATAGAGATGACGGACTGCGGAAGAAGATCATCGAGAGTGGTGCACTTCAGTGTGTTACTGACTCCCTGACGCCATACGACGATTCTACAGACTTGGCGACTGTCACGACTAGTGCCAAAGATGGCAACCCCCTAAATGTTGTTATAGCGGCTTGCGATGCGGCTCGTTCAATGTCGAGGTCTATCAGCGTCCTGCGGACAAGCCTCATCGACTATGGTGTGGCGAAGCCGATCTTCAAGCTCCTTACGCACCCTGTTGAGGAGATACAGGTTGCTGCCATTGATGCAATCATTAATCTGGTCCTTGAGTTTAGTGGCGTGAAAGAGGTATGGTACCCCTAGCACCCCGTGGGGCTGCGTGATTCATCAGCTCTAACATCTTACAGCCCCTGATTCAAGAAGGTATTGTCAAAACGCTCTGCAATCATGCTCACTCAGCGCACGCACGCAAGCGCTATCTATCGCTCTGGGCGGTGAAACACCTCGTCCACAAAGTGCCGAACGAATTCAAGATCTACTGCGTAGAAGGGCTCGGCCCCGGCTGGCTGCTCAAGGTTGCCTCCGGAGAGCCCAAAGACTCCTACGCCGCGCCGCGGGGTCAATCCCAAGGCACAACGCCCATAGGGATGGGCACTCCCAACGCAGCGGGCGAGCAAGTAGACCTTCTAAACGCCGTCGACGAACCCGCAATGGACATCGACGCCGGCTCGCCGTCCTCGTCCTCCGAAGACGAAGACGGCATGCTCGACAGCGGCAGCAGCTTGCGGTTCTCGCGCAAGCCGCATGCTCTCCCCGCCGCAACCCGCGCCCGTTTAGCAGCCATCCGCGACGCGGAGCAGAACCCGCACCTCCGGGCCTACCGCGACGAGCTGTGGGCGCAGGAGCAAGCCCTCGACATTCTGCGGAACCTCCTCAACGACCCCTCACCGTCTGGCATGGAGATGGTCGACTACGTCTTCAACACCTTCGGCACGGATAACCTGTTCCGCGTGCTGCTGGCGAAGCTCAAGGCACCGAACATCGCTACCTCACCCTCGCACCTCACCAGCAGCAACAGCCCCAGCAGCAGCGCCGGCACTAACGCCAGTAAACGTCCCGCCTCTACCCCGCTCGCCCCCTCCTCAGCCCAAACAACCTCGATCCTCCAATCTGCCGTCTTCATCCTCGTGCACATCGCCGCCTGCACACCTAAATACCGGACCCTCCTCCTCTCGCAGACGTCCCTCTTCACCGACGGCATCCTACCCCTGCTCTCGCACCCAGACCCGCGCATCCGGGTTGGGTGTGTCTGGCTCGTGCACAATCTTACCTGGGTGGACGACGAGAGCGAGAAGGGTGCCGCCAGGCTGAGAGCGCTGGAGCTCCGGAGTTTAGGGTTCTGGGAGAAGCTGCAGGGACTGCTGAAGGATGGGGAGTTGGATGTTAAGGAGAGGGCGAAGACGGCGGTCAAGAGGATGGGCGAGTGTTTGGAGGGCGTGGGGGGTGGGAATGGGGGGCCGAGGAGTGGGGGGCTGGCCGCGGGGGCGGGGCTGAGGGGGTGGGAGCAGTGAGGCCGGTGGGGATGGGCATGGGCATGGGCATGGGGTGGGTGTGGCGTGAGAGCCCGGAAAAGGGGGACTTGGGGTTAGGTTTTAGGGGTGTGTGTAAGAGAATAGACTGTTGGGGCGGCTGCATCCGTATGTCCGATATGGTGGACGGACTGTCGTTGGCTTCGGGGCACATGGGCAGGCGTTTGGTGGGGACTTGGTCATCTTGGAGCAAGTGAGGTCGGTTTCGGTATTCGAATGCATTATCATTAGGTATTGATGTACTATTGCTTTCAGAAACTACTCTGCTGATCCTGGGAGGCAACCCACCCAACCCTGCTGTGACGATCTGCTCCTATCTGACTTCTAGCTCCGGCATTCTCAGTCTCGGTCAATGGCGCGACTGGAGACAGGCCTGCTGCACTCAGCACTTTGAGCCCTCCTTAGGGGGTCCCGTGCCAGGTTCCGACATAGGACGATCTCACGTGAGATGTACGTCTCTAAGACTCGACAGAAGTGAAGTCGAGCAAGTTTATTGCTGTGTGTTAGACAAAAGAGCTTTGCAACTAGATTGAAGGTTCTGTCAAGTAAGTCTCGATGTTCTGTTGACTGTTTGGTCTGCTTAACGCAAAAGCGTCAAGTTCAGCGTCGGGCTACAGCCGCACCGTCAGGAAGCAAATACTGACTTGAGGGGTTGAGGCATTGCCGCTTGACGCAGATTCAGTGTTTGAAGAGTTAATGGGTGCGGCTCCTGTGTCAGTGACTCCTGTCATGGAGAATCGACTCGAGCGCGGGTTTGATAACTACAGTCAGGCCTTCCGTCTCTTTCAGTACGACGTTGGTTTAGCTGCTCATCAGGTTCGGTCAAGGCTAAGCGCGGCATCGAATTATTTTAGGAGTTCTCGACTACTATTGTACCTAGCTATTAGAGCGAACGGCTAGACGTTTGCGATCTGTGTTGCATCGTTGTTGATTCACGCCGTGGGAGGTATAGGTTTGAGCTGGCTATCATCATACGGAGTTTAGCGGCGTGGTAGCGGCCTGAAACTGTGGTACGTGTCAGTGTGCTGTCTTTGGTGCTCTCAGACCGACAGATTAAGATGTGAAGACCGGTAGCTCCGGTAGCCTCATCAGAGCAGTGACCCGAGAAGCCCAAGCGTTCCCTGGGGATAAAGGTGCAGGCTCAAGAGCTGTACATAAGATGCTTTCTCTCTCAACAGGGTAATGAAATCCGATTGGCGTTTGATAGTCGAATGCCAACACGGGTTTTTGCATCCCGCCGTTACTACCCGCGTGTCAAGCGTCATAGGTCATCTGATATACATTTGGTGCTCCAGAAGAACTCGGTATCCGGGGCTATGACTTGACAACCGGAACCGTCGCGGTTGTTAGTTGCCGTGATGACAGGCGACGGTTACATGGTGAACGTATTTCTGCGCCACAAGCTTAGACAAAAACAAGAGCGCGGTTCGTAGCAAACATAGTGGTGGTCGCACGTAAGGCGGATGGTGCTAGAACGCGGAGGAGCTTGCCGTAGGATGTAGGCACGGGCCTGGAGCAGTCACTTTGTCCGTTGACAGTAATTCGGCTGCGGTCAGTTACAATTTGAGTGTTCGTGCTCCAGTACTATTCATGGTGTTTTGTCCGGTAATCTCAGACTTTAGAAACGCCCAGTAAAGCTGAGTACGAATTGGAACAAACTGTCGGTACTACCAACTCCCTCTTTTAGGTGCCCTTGGACCTTTCGCGGATCAATTCCTGTAAGTCAGTTGCCATATGACACCGAAACCCCTTTTGAGCTGTGGCAAGTTGCGGGGTGAAGCCTCGTACGACCAGGCCGAATTTCTGGTGCGGGTATATCACCGGCTGCCCAACTTTATCAGGCCCGTCTTGGATTGAGGTTGGACAAGCTGAGCTCTGGACAAAATCGGCGGAAAACGTCAACAGGCAGACTCAGATGGTGCAGTTAGGGGGACGTCGAACAGTCATCGAACAGAACAACCCTGAGATGAGACTGTTACGAAAAAGAGTGTTTTTGGCAAAGAGTTCTATGCTAACGCATGATTATATTGACGGATGCGTATATCGAAGCTGTCAGGTTCATGCTCTCTCCAACGACCTGACAGATGACTCGTCTGAGGTTTGGTAAGTCAGATATCACAAGCACCCGAGGAAGAAAGTTCGTAGTGGAAGTTGTCTACATTATGGCCTATTGTTTGGAAATAGAATGAAGAAGTGCAAGAAGCGACGCGAGATGGCGCGGTTGAGAAGCTCGCGACGGCGCACGTAACGGCACCCTCCGAAGAACTTACTCCACTATGCTCCTCCCATCCGCCTCAAGGACGGAGAGGTCGACTTTAGCTGACGGCTGTCCCAGGACCAAGAACACCTCGGTGTAAACGTAGAGTTGTTGCTCCATGAGTTGACCTTCGCGAAGGAAACCAAGAGCCAAAGAGATTCTTAGATACGCACGTCTATTTCTTCAGCTCTCGCTTGGAAACTGCGTTCAAGTTATGACGCCTGAAAAGGATGGCCCGTCACTCCCGTTGGAGGCTCGACGAACTTTTCCCTACTCTGGCTTCTTAGCTTTCTCTCTATGCAGTTGTATCACAGTCCGGCCCTCCAGGCACGCGGTTCCCATGCAGCAGCGGCGCTCCTCAGCTCACCACAGGAAGCTACCGACACCGTGAAAGGCTTCCAGACTGAGGGAAGCCTTCAAACGTTGAGCACCGCTACATCGGCCTAATCCGAACCGTGGAGATCGTGATATTCTGCCGAGGTTCGGCTCAGAGCTTGTATATTGATGGTCTCGTCCTTCGGAAGATATGATCCCTTCTTGTCCAAATTTAGAGCTCTTTGAACGTATTTGTATAGATCAAATCATGTTGGTGGGCAGCGAGGCATATCTTTCGAAAGAAATAGGTCAGTAAACCGAGGAACTTGTCTTGTTTCCAACTTGGACGTTGAGGCGTGTACTCGATGCATTCACTGGCGACGAAGTTACGAAGGAGAGTGTATTTTCGGAGGAAGCGGCCGCTTGATGGCGCGCGACCAAAGGTTTTCTTAGTACAATCTTTAGGTGCTTGGGGATGGGGACTGGTTCTTTAGATATATCTTCAGTTAACATAAGGTCCAGACACAAATTATATGAACTGATGATTAGCGTTTGTTAATGATATTGGAGGGTGGTCAAGCGGCCACCGCTTCATCAGTAAAGACCTCCTCCTTCGTAGGTTTGAGCTGTCCTGAGGCAGAAGCGCCCGTTTGAGCCACCATCCCAAAGTTCTGGAAACCCACGCCAAGCGGCGGGAAGCCAAAAGGATCGATAGGCTCCCGGGTCCGCGCTAAACCTAGCTGCGACAGATATCCCTGTTCACAGCCCATCTTGAAGCAGCCCTCCGTTTCATGTTTTTCACTCTCCCCTTTCCATCCCGGCTCAGAGTCCGTTGTGCTGAAGAGCACCAGATGACACGAGAACCCATTAGTGACGTGTAGACCGTATCGAATTTCCAAGAGCAGAGTCCGGATATCCTACTCCACCGCTCAACATGTGGCATGGAAATGAAAGGTTCCGTGCAGTTGTGTGCGCAATGCACTAACTCTAGGTGTCGTGCAGCGCATCTCGACCATGTGGCCACGGCGGTCATGGACGCGGGCCTGCATGAGCCCAGTGGGGAAGGGCTGGAGCTCGTCCTTTGGTCATGAGGCTCATCTGCGGCAGTGAACAAAGAACGCACAACCATCCTGATGGAGATTTGAAATCCGAGCGCCATCCGCTGAAAGAGCCTTAGCTGACATCTCAAATATTCTAAACTTTTGGCTGTTTGCAAATGAATCGTTACTCGCGAGCCCTTTCGACACGCGAGGTCATACATGCAAACGATCTTCGCTCCGCCGACAGTCGGACATACACTCGGAGGCCGCGTAGTCTTGCTGGCATACATTCTCTAGACAGAATCTAGTCTACGCCCGCAAGCTGCCTTTGAGGTACGGTGTCGGGTAAGATGCCGACGCCATCGAGAGACAGGGGACATTGCCAACGCATGGGGAGGTAAACGCTTTTGCACTCGTTTGAGACAGGTGGAAACGAAATTTTGCGGAACTGTGAAGCAGAACACCATTGGATAGTTGGAAGTTGTAGCACTGTGGTGATACCTGTCGGCGGCAGTCGACGCTGGATATGCCTGCCGTCAAACCTTATCTGTGGGGCTCAACCGCGCTTCTTATGCACCTGTGGACGATCAGAGCTCTCGAACGGCAGAGATCACCACACAGGGCTTAGTGAGGTGCTCTGATGTGACACGCGAAAGCGCGCGAGAAGGAGATGCGGGGTGCTCTGGCCAGCGAAGCTCTTGGCGCCTCGACTGGCTCGAGGCCCCCGCCTTCTCGACCGGCTCCTCGCGTCTCCTGTGATGATGCACGCGATCCCGAGATGAAGGATTCGGGCGCACCGGGTTACAGGGACACGGTGTTTTGGCTACGGGCGGCTGTGGCGTTTGTTCCTTGTCACGGTAACCCGTTCCCGACATGTGCGCACCGAAGTTTGCGCAATCCATGCAGATTTTCAGGGGTACAGCTGTCATGCGGCGCAGGAACCCAGACAATCTGATACGCCGCGACGGAACAGAGTCAGCCACGGGGGAGATCAAAGGGCAGGAAACATCCACACCTCCATTGAGGGGTTAGCTGGCAGTAGACAGATGAGCATTGCTAAGCGCAAGGGAAGAGAGAGAGACTCCTGCGAACGGGCAGCTAGGGATGAAGCGGCGTCTCCATAACGACATGTGGCATGAATCGTACCAAAACAACGACTGCGATTCGAAAATGTACATTCTATGGAGCCGGCGTGCATGTATCACTTCGAAGTCCGTGAAGGTGACGATCAATTGGGCCTTTAAATTGCTCGGACGTTTCCGTTTGTCTGCGGCAGCACGGGTGCTTGTTGTTCATCTCGTCTTGTCTTTGACTCGCCCGCCTCCACAGCTTCACCACCACAAACTTGAAACACGAGACCTCGTCCTCGCTTAATTAGCGTCTTTCCGGTCTTCTTAAGCCTCCTCTCCCTCAACCACATCCTTCTCGGTCATCCACCAACGTCTGTCTTTTGTTCTTCATCCACCTTCATTTGCAATTCTGCCTTCTCTTGTGCGAGCATAGCCTCCACGAGACCACTTTCTTTTCCACACACTCCACAATCCTTTGTCCCGCGCGTGCGCCTCAGTCGCACCCTTCCAGCTTCTATCCCTCAGTGAGGTTGATCAACCGTTGCCGCGTAAGTAGCCACTCCCGCTTCGTGACCTGATCCTCGGGCCTAGAACAACGTGCTCTTCTTTAAATATCGCTTTGTTCTTCCTCAGATTGCCGGCGTCTGGATGGCACGGAGCTAACTTCCAGTCAGTCTTCCATAGCTCTGTCAGCGATCTGAGATCCGGACACCAAAAGTCGAACTCACTCACAACCGCACTCAAACAAATCAACATGCGTTCCTCCATCTTCGTCACTGCGGCTCTCGCCGTTGGCGCCATCGCCACTCCAGTGCTCAAGCGCGACCTCGTCACTGAGTACGCCTACGTTACCGTCACTCAATACGTAACGGCTGGCGGGGAGGCTCCGGCTCCTACTTCGACTGCTGCTCCGGCGCTCACCGTGACGCGTAACCGTGGCTACTGGACTCGCCGTTCCAGGAAGTCCACAACTACTTCCGTCGCTGCTCCCGCTCCCACTTCGGAGCAGCCCACCTTCGTCACTGTTCCTACCACTACCGAAGCTCCTGCTACCTCTGAGGTCCCAGCTACTTCTGAAGCTCCCGTTACTTCCGAAACTCCGGCTACCTCTGCTGCTCCGGCCCCCACCGAGGCTCCGGCTCCTTCTGAAGCTCCAGTGACTTCCGAGGCAGCTGCCCCTGCTCCCACCTCTGGTCGTCCGACTGGCTACGCCGATCTTGTCTTACGCCATCACAACGTTCACCGTGCCAACCACTCCGCTCCTGCTCTTGTCTGGGACGAGAACCTCGCCGCGATCGCACGCGAAATCGGAAGTTCTTGCAAGTACGAGCACAACACGTAAGTAGCCTTCTCTGCTCACAACTTCGGTGCCGTTGTTGACATCCTTACAGCAAAGCCGGCGGCGGGGGGTATGGCCAGAACATCGCTGCTGGCGTTCGGGAGAACAACGTCACCGCTGTCATTACTGAGTTGTTCTACAATGGCGAAGTCAACTTCTATGAAGGCCAGTACGGCAAGGCGGACCCAGACATGGGCAACTTCCATGGTTGGGGCCACTTCTCGCAGATCGTTTGGAAGGAGACTACTGCGGTTGGCTGCCACACCTTCGACTGCTCCGCCCGCGAAGGCAAGTTGGCCAATGTTGGTGCTAACGTCGCTCCTTTCTTTACTGTTTGCAATTACAAGAAGCCAGGTTTGTCCTCCGTTCCCGGCTTATATCTTCCTTGCGCTGACCAGGCAATGCAGGCAACTGGGGCGGACAGTACGGCAAGAACGTCGGTGCATCCCTCAACCACCCAACTGTTCGGTGGAACTACTAGTGTATCATCCTAGACGGGATGGCGGATCCAGATTTTTCGAGATCCGCTGCCACTTCTGACGTCTCTGCTACACCTGGAATATCCTCGCTCGGAAGTCGAGGGTGGTATTTGGCTGCATGCTGGGTCGTTCCTTTCACGGAACTGTTTTGATCTTTTCTTCCTCATCGGCCCATTTGCGTAGATGCCGGGTGTCTAGTCTCGATTCCTCGCAACAGATCGATAGTCGGTCTGTTGAGGCTTGCCTCGAGGATATCTAGATCTGGTGCATCAGGTCAGCCTGGGTCCGACTTTCGTTCACTGTCAATACTTGTGGCCATAGGGGAGCCTCCAGGCTGGATAGTTGCTTCACCTTCTTCCCACATGCATCAATGAAACTCAACGATACCTCCTCTGTTCCTCACCTTCGTGACGTGTTGGAGTATTGCTGGCTTGGACACTTTGGTGTATGCACGTGATAAAAAGAGCCCTTCATCATTGTGAGACCAAACGTCGCGCACAACCTGAAGTCTCGTGCCGCGTTATTGATACTAACAACTGGAGAAGCTACGAAGGGCACTTTCATTCTTGAAGTATCGGAAAGACCATTGGCGGGCTGGTGAGAAATGGAGGTTGGGCTATTATACCAGAGGCACGTGCATTGCGGTACAGAACGCCTTTCCAAAGCTCCGCCATGAACCAAACTTAGCATAGACTGCATGACGCTACACCCCTTTCGCCTATCCGATCATATCCTGCCAAAACGAACGTGTGGATAGTGCTGTTTCCGGATCCACCAAGTTCTAATCCTTCAGATCCTTCTCTAGATACGCGCCGCTTCCATGGCATGATCGCGATAAGCGCCGAAGGCCCAACCGGGAGAGTGTGGTAAGCACGTTCTTACCTCAATGAGCTCACGTCGATGTTTTGACGATACTTCCTCGTAGTCAAATCTCATGCGCCTTTCACGGCTTAGACATTAAGGTTGGGACGGGGAGCATCAAGAGTTGGTGTCATAGCTCGAGGATTTCTGGCCTCAGACTGCGACTGCTTCCTTACGAGCGCTATGCGGTCCGAATTGCCTGGTACGCGCTTGGGGTTCTCTTATCCAATCGCTTCTTACGTCTACTGCCGCCATAACCTATTTAAAGCCTGCATATAATCCGCTACAGGGGCTACAGCGTGCCGCCAAAACAGCATGGGGGCCAGATGCGCCATGCTGTGCCGCAGGCAGCCCTCCATATATTCTTGCCTCACAATGTCAGACCCTTGAGGCTATTCCCGCTGCGTTTACGTTCAGTTGTTTTCTCAGCTCTTAATCCTATCATGTCTACTGCTCCTGGTACTCCTCGTTCGCGTGCGGTGGGCTGGCTCCCGCAGCGAGTCCTTCCAACAGTCAATTACTCTCCCGTATCGCCCGTATCTGATTCTCCTCCTTCTCTTAATTCCGAGCGGGCCTCAAACTCAGAAAAACTCTCCAAACAGATCAACATTCCCAGATGGCCGCAGAAACCGCAAAAATTGCACAGAGGCGGTATCATTTCAGCCCTTAGCTGTTTGGGAGACATCGTGGTCATTCTGATATCCATTGTATTCTTTGTGTACGGTGGTATAGTGCTGAAGTACGACGGCGTCGCAACGGCGTCGATATCGTATAAGGCCAAGCTTATAGATGCAGCTCGATATGTACGTGCCTCTCATTTTCCGATTACCACCTCCATACAATTCTTGTACAACGTGTTGCTTCCAAATGCAACACCCTTCGATCATGTCATACCTTGTCCGACCTAAGACGACAGGCGAGATGCTGAATCTTTCGTCCATAAGAAATTTCATGCCGCAGCTTCATGACTACATTTCAGAATAGAATCGGCAGTACTAATGCCAACCTCTTCTTAGGACGCATGCTGACTCGAGCCATAGGGTCCCACAGTGTTTCCGATCCTGTTTGCTGCGGTGGTCAGCCAGGCTTTACATTCCATCGCGCTATGGCGGCTTGAGCGCGGTGAACGCCTAGGAGTACTCGATCAGCTGTTCGGCAGCACGGCCATATTTGCCACCGTAACAACACAGCTCAAGCTTCGCACCGTCGGCCCCGTAGCTATCAGCCTTATTCTACTGTGGTCACTCTCGCCGGTTGGTGGCCAGGCTTCTCTCCGCGTCCTCGGCTTCGCTCGGGAATTTACGCACACACCTGTGACGATGAGATATCTGGATATGAACGGCTCATTGATTCGCGGAGATGATGTGGCTGTGACAGGCGTAGGCGATAGTACGTCCTTCTCGCAGCTTCAAAAGTCCCTCTTCATAGCGGCACTGCTGAGTCCTCCATCCACCAAATCTTCCAGCATGGATACCTGGGGCAACGTGAAGATTCCTATGATGGAAAGCTTGAACACCAGCTCCACCAGCGATGGCTGGCACGCGGTCGATGCAAATAGTTCTGTCTATTCTTCCTTGATTGGTATCCCTGTCTCGGCCGTAGCGGATCGAGCGAATACCACTTTCAGCCTGGAGACTTCGTACTGGGCCCTTGACTGTCCGCGTTTAGAGGAGTACGGCAACGACACGAGAGATACGGATAACTATGATTGGATCGAAGCACAAGACTACTCATGGGCACTAAAGACAGAACGCATCGCCGACAACTCTTCGCGATACCTGGCGCTCACATCAAACACGAACGATCCACCACCTCGAAACTGGGTGTACTTCAGTTATGACGATACCGACAACGCCCGTATGAGCTATGCCGAGTGCACGATGCGCACCCGCCATGTTGAGGTTCAAGTCCATTGCAAAGGCAGGAGCTGCGAAGTGGTGCGAATGCGCGACTCGACGTTGCCACATCTGCCGTCCGGTTGGACTTTCCTCGATGATTCTCATCAGAACACATATATATTCACTCTAAACCTTCAACAAGCCGTTATGGCGAACATGTTTACACCATCTGCAGTTCAGCGATATTTCACCAACCCTGGATCTCCGTTCAACACCACGGCCAAGATGCCGCGGCTATACACTGTCGGGCCGAAGTCTTTTGCTATAAGCTTTGCCCAGTTGCTGAACACTTTCTGGTTAGCGGGCATCGGAGCTTTCGTCGTTCCCGGTGGCATACCACATTCAGACAGCAATCTTGGGAACGGCACCAATGTGTTGCAAGCCACCAACGCTGTCATGTCCGAAAGCGAAGAGATCTTAGTCTGCGACAAGAGATGGCTCGCAACGTTGCTCGTATCCACTTCAGCAATGTTCATCGCTGGAGTTGTCGGACTGGCGCTGGGGTTCGTGCGTCGTGGACCTGATCTTGCGATGGACATTGCGACAATGACACGAGATAATCCGTACATGAACCTGCCGCAGGGCGGCTCGGCGCTTGACTGCGCCGAACGCTCGAGATTGTTGAGGAATATTAGAGTGCGCTTTGGCGACGTGACGCCGCATGGAGAAGTGGGATATGCTGCGATAGGATCTTTGGTAGATGAAAAAGAGGTGGACATACTCAAGGAGGAGAGACTTTACGCTTAGACAGCCGTCGGGTGGAACCTGTCGCCGACATCCTCTCAACGTATACCATCAGAACTCAGACTGCCTTTGTGTAGGCTGCTACCTACACTGCCGCTGCGGTAAAGCAAGAAAGCATGCTGCTTAAGCAGAAGCACCAAAGACAGACAAAAGCCACAGAGAAGCAGACACGAAACAACCCATTACTCCGCCTAGCAGTCGAACTCACACCCATCCACCTCCCCTCCTGGCAGCCCACCAGCCTCTGAAAACTCTACTCATCATCCTTACCGTCCTTGCCATCCTTCATATTCTCGACCGTGTTCGCACAAGCCAGCGCATTAAGGCACCACTGCCAAGGTGACCTCTTGCCCAACCACTTCACCACACGGCCTCCCTCCTCCGCCTCCGTCTCCATCTCCGGCCTCTTCATCCCCGGGCCCTCCACTTCTCCCGGCCCTTCCACTTCGACGACGGGCGCCTCCACCTCGCGCTCCACAACATCACTCTCCCTCACAACACCATGTCCCCCAACAAGCAGCATACACTTCTCATCCAACCCGTCTCCACACACGACCTTGACAGGATCCCCGCCAGCGTCCTTGCCTGCGCCCTCATCCTCCTTCTCAGCCTCGCGACGCTGCGGCTTCTCACGATGGTCAAAGCCCTTGATCACGTCCGGCGGAGCGTTAAAGTCCTTGTTGTTGAAATCGCCGCCGTTGACGAGCGCGTAGCAGCCGGCGAAGCCGACGAAGTTCCAGCGCGGATCGCTGCAGGGGGCGACGACCGGCATGTTCATCGGGTGCGTGTCTTTGCCTCTGGTGTCGGAGCTGGGCAGCGTGTAGGGGGCCAGTGTTGTTGGTGTGGCGGGGATGGGAGCTGCGGTGGTGGCGATGGTGAGGGTGAGGAGGAGGGCGGAGACGAGAAGTGTCTTGGCCATTTTTGGTTGGGTGGTGGTGGTGGTGTGTGGTCTTGTGGTATTGATGAAGATTTTCTGTGGTGATGATGGAGGGATGGATGATGTATTGAGAAGCTGGTGGTAAGAAGAGTGGGAGGGGGAATCGTGGATCCTTATATAGGCGTGGGCATGGCGAAGTTGATCAACTTTGTGGGTTCGCTCAGACAGTGGGTTTCGCTTACACGTCGAGTATGTGGTTCTAGCGAAGAGTCGCGACTGAACCGGAGTTGTGGCCATACTGCAGTTCCGCGGCTCCGTGCTTTGGATACCTGAAATCTCCCGGATATGCAATTCTCATACTGGTAACTCTGCGACAGTGTCTATTCTACTCCGTCGCACGTATTTGCCGATGGTGTTTTTTGACGATGTATTCGCACCTCCCGCTTGCGCGCAGCTCCATGTGGAATCGCCATGAGGGTCTGGACTGTGATGCAGATTAAGGTTGTGGCCCACGTGGCCGTTGGGGCCGTACCATGGTCCACAACGGACAACTGCCAGGCACGGGCGCAGGGCGTGGATCACACTACCACTCGCACAACAGAACAGGAAGAGAATTGAAATTTTGTAGGCGTGATGGGAAATTCTAAATGCCGGTACTGACCCACATCGAACCCTTGTGGACACCGTGCTGCATACAGACTCCAGATGGCACACTGAGCAAAATCCAAAAAAACCCCAAATCAACTTCACAACTTGGCCTTGATGGCTGTCGAAGCCTTCTCCCACAAGGACGGCCCCTCCAGATTAGCCGGCCCATCATAGATCTCCTGTTCCACTCTGCGCGTATTGATCTGTCGCCCCATTGTCAGCCTCCCGCTCTGAAACCCACACCAGTCGCACCGACTCTGGAAAACACTCACATGCTGCAACCCCAACTCCTCCACCCTCTCAACCCCCAACAACCTCATCGCCGTCTCCGTCTCGGCCTTCAGAATCTCCAACACCCTCTCCACGCCCTGCTGCCCCCCGGCCCCCAACCCAAACAGCGCCGCCCTCCCGACTCCGACCGCCTTCGCACCAAGACAAAGCGCCTTAACCACATCCGTGCCCCGCTTGATCCCGCCGTCCACCCACACCTCGACGCGCTCGAAGACGTCGGGGCAGTACTTCCGGATCTCCAGCAGCGTGTGCACGGCGGGCGGGGCTGTGTCCATGGCGCGCCCGCCGTGGTTGCTCAGCACGATGGCCTTGACCTGCGGATGGCGGGAGGCTATGTAGGCGTCCTCGTGCGTTTGTATGCCCTTCAGCACGATGGGGAGAGTGGTGTGTTTCTCTAACCACGGCAGCGTGGTCGCCCATGTCAGGTCCGGCGCCGTGCCCGCGAAGAGCGCCTTTCCGACGCCGCCGGTTGGGGCTGGGATCTCTTTTGCCGAGGCCGCCTCGGGGTCAGGCGATGTGGTCGAGGCTGAGCCCTCCTGCACAGACGACCGTATAGGCAGGTTAGCGCCGATGTTCTTGCTGCGCTCGTCGTGTTCCCTTTTCCCGGGCACCGGCGCATCGAGCGTGAGGACGAGGAACTTGTAAGCCGGCAGTTTCGCTATCCGCGCGAGCATGGCTTCGCTCTTCGCCCGCTCCGTCTGCACGTACAGCTGCCACCCAAACACCTGCCCCTCCGCCGCGCCCGCCACGATCTGCTCGGGCGTCTGCGACGCGTTGTTGCTCACGACCTGCACGGCGCCGAAGCGCGCACACGCGGCTGCGATGCCGGCTTCGCCGTCCGGGTGCGCGAGCCGCGCCATTGCGGCCGGCGCGACGTAGATGGGGATGTTGACGCTGTGGCCGAGGAGGGTGGTGGCGGTGGAGCAGTGCGTGCAGTCGCGGAAGATGCGCGGGCGGAGGAGGATCTGGCGGTATGCGGTGTTGTTGTGAGATTTGGTGGCGAGGTCGTCGCTCGCGGAGAAGTAGTAGGCCCATGCCTTTCTGCTGAGCTGTTTCGTGGCTGCTTCTTCTATGTCGTCGAGGTTGAGGAGGTCTTCGAGGGGCGGGGGACCGGTGTCTGTGGGATCGTCGTCTGCGGGCGCTGTTTCGGTCTTTGGTAGGGTGTCTGGATCGATGGTGCCGAGTTTCGCGGAGGACGGGAGGGATTCTTCGAGCGTGCCTGGTGGGTGGATCGGGTCGTACTCTTCTGTCGCGTCGGTGCCCGCGAGCTGGAGTATTATCTTCGAGCCGCCTGGGTGCGAGGGGAGGAAGGAGGTCACGTCCCAGACGGAGCCGTAGAGTATCACCCAGCAGGACTCGGCGGTGTTGTGTTTGGCCACTGGGGGGTTGTCTTAGCACTTCTACTACCAGCATGGTGGATGGATACTGCATAGGTGTACCCTCTTCATAATCGAACACCTTCGACATGTTGTTTGCGTTGTTGTCAGCCTTTTGCTTCCACTGGTGTATTAGGTATATGATAGTGCTTGGATATTAGGGCGGTAGGTAACAGCAATGGTCACGGCGATTGTGAAGCTCTTCGCGCGAAGGAAGTAGACGTGAAGCAGTACAGGAAGCCATTGTCGGGTTACGAAGCCGCGATATGCGGATTGAGTGCCGCACTTCTCGGCGACGGCAATGAGGTTGTCGGCGATAATGTCCCGAACCCCAGGACCCTGAGTTTGAATGAGGAAATTCGCTCCGGGCTGCCACTTCCACCAATCATACACGGCAGGGGCGACATCCGGGGAAGATGTGTAAAAAGAGTAATTCGCAGTCTTCGTATTTCTGGAGGAGGTTACGCTTGGCTATGCTGCTGAAGAAGAACTGAGATGGAGGATGAATAAACTGGATATAATACAGCGTAAAGAGTGTTACAAGAAGCGCATAGAATAGAGCTTGGTTCTGTATATTTCTTCGTACAAATAGAAGGCTCAAAAGAACGTCGCTGGGGAGCCTCACTGTTGGCTTCTCACCATGCACGCTTGTAATCGGAACAGATTGTACCTGGCTACTTAAGGGTAAGGTACGGGTGCGGATGCGAATAGATTGGTATATGCTGGCTGATTTATTCACTGCTTCGCCAATGATTTGCAGTCACCAAGGCAGCGCTGGGGGACCAACGAACATCTATCAAGGGCACTCGAGGAAAGAGGGGTGCTTGACGCAGGTCGCAAAGCTAACGTATTAGGACTTCGTATCAATCATCAAGTTCGGCGTCAACGTACGCGCATACATTAGCATTAACAATGAAGCCCACCCAGCGACAGACCCCTTAAAGAAAAATGCAGATCAACCATGACCTCAGCGCCGCCTCCCATGCATGCTTCAAGCATATTACTGCCGTGTCTCGCCGTGGCGACATCAAGCACTAGGACTCCACCCTTACGGCAACATAATCCCATCCCCATCCAGATTCGCCTCCGCAATATTCGTCCACACATCGAAACTATCCTCCAAGTGGCGGTCCCCCCTATCCAGGCGCGGCACCGCCGCCCTCCTACTAACCTCGACTCCCCTCCTGCTCCTCCCTCCATACGGCTTCGGCACAGGCACGGGCGCGGGCGCACCACCTCCGATGCCTCCGGCAACACATTTACTCTCCCCCGTGCCAAACGCCGAGTCCGCCGCCGCCCTCCACGTCGCCTCGACCGCCAGCGTCATCTCAGCCGTATAAAAGATGCGACAGTCCGCGGCCTCCCACACGAACTGCTGCGGTACCTCCCTCTCCCCCTCATCGCCCTCGCGGATCGCGTCGCGGAAATTGACGTTCGGCCCGATGGCCGCGCGCTCGAAGGGGATGTAGTTCTTATACAGCCCCATCTCCGTTTGGTTGTACGCCGCCTTCTCCTCCTCCGTCGACTCCGCGTACGTCGCTTCGACCAGGTACTGCACGTAAGACCAGGGGAAGACGTTCGCGCCCTTGACGCCGCCGATGGCCTGCATGGGCCCCGGTTGGCTGCGGCCGCCCATGACGATGGTCCTGACGCCCGCCTGCTGGCGCATCATCTCCGCGAAGAGGGTGCAGGTGGACGCGCAGTAGCCGTCTGTGAGGATGACGATGTTTTCGGCGGCGAAGGGCTGCTCGGTGACGTTGGTGCGGTCGGCGTAGCCCGTGACGTTGATGCCGCCGCTGTTGAGCGGAGTGAGCACGTCGCTGAGGTTCCAGCGGATTAGCGATGAGAAGGAGTCGCCGCTGGCATCTTTGTGTTGGTCGTATTTGTCGGGCCAGGACTCGAAGTTCTCGCGGTTAAGGTCGACGTCGCTGCGGTAGTTGAAGACGGACGAGATGTACTCCAGTGCGGACCTGTTGGCCACATTGAGATCGCGCGGATATTGGCCGGCGAGTTCCGAGTACTTCTGGCCGATGAAGTTGGGCGCGTCGTGGGCCCGGAATCGGCTCGCAGAGAAAGGCTCGATGGATGGGAAAAGCTGCTTGAAGAGGTCATGGCCGAGGAGGATGGTGCCACCGCCGTTAGCTTGTACGTCGATGATCAACTTAGTTTTCCCTGCAGCCTTGGCCAGGGCCAGGAACTCGGTCGTGATGAGCTGAAAGTCTTCCTGCACCCCAGATACGCCGACGAAGGAGGGGACGGTAAGAACAGCGACGTCTTCGTAACCCGCATCGTCGATGTAGTAGCCGCCGATGTAATTTAGGGTTTGCTTGATGACAGGGGCCGGGTAGCCCGGCGGAGGGGTCACTGTGCTTGTTGGGCCGACTGCCACTGTCGAAGTGACACCAGGCACGCTGACGATGGGGTCCGGTGTCGGGGCCGGCGTCGGGGTCGCCGTAACGGTCTCCGTAATGACCTCATTGCCGCTTCCATGCGGTGACTGTGGGTCTGCAGGGAAGGTCAGTCTCATGCCCTGGCAAGTGTAATATATTGTCAAATAGCTCGCGAAATATGGGTAAAGGTCGTGCTGCAAAGTGACAATCCAGCACTCAGAACCACAAGGCCCTAAACTGTACGCAAGCAGCTCAACGGGAAAGCAGAAGAAAACGCATCGACAGAATTTTGAAAGGCGCCGGCATTCATGACTAAGCTGCGCGGATCATAACATGAATACTATGCGGAGTCAACTTACCTGGCCTGATAAAATCCGAGCCCGTCTCAGAGTAGATGATATACTGCTCGACGAGGGTCCTAGCATCCTGGACCTGCCTCAACGACACCAGAACACGCGCGATGTTCTGGTACGTGTTCGTCGTGCCGTTCGCGAAAGTAATCTCCGTGGTCGGTCCCGGATACACCCATCGTGCTCGCCCACCACCCACGAACAAGCCTTGGCCGCTACCGGACGGTCCCAAAGAGATCGAGGGCAGGTTGAAGAAGACGTTGTTGTAAAGGGCATCTCGGTCTTGCAGTGAACCCCACTGGCTCCAGTTCTGCAGAAACGCGTTGACATCTTGTCCGTCGATTGAGGTGACGGCCGAAGGCTCGTATGTCTTATTCGGGAAAGACGCTTGCAGGACGTCGATATAAGCAAACACGGCGGGCAGTTTCTTGCCATCCTCGGACACAGAGACAAGCGGCACGGTTCGCCCAAAGTTGAAGATGCCGCCGACAAGGTCCGGGATGAAGTTCAAGTGGCCGTCGTGCGCGACGTGGAGAGCTCTGTATAGCTCCCATAAAAACTCGTACTCGTTGGCGTACTCTTCCGATTCTAGCTTCCCTTCGATCTTATCCAGGTTGGCTATTACGTCGACCGGACCCTGCACTTTCTCCACGTACTCAGCAGGAGGGTTCTTTAACCACGTGAGTGTGCTTTGCCATTGGATGTATGGCCGAATAGACCCGAGCAGGCGCAGTCCAGCCGTTGCATTCAACGGCACGCTCGTAAGACAGTTGTACGCAAGTTCTGCGGGTATGGTAGGTGCGGCTGCGCGCGGGGCGGCTGCTACTGCGGCGCTGGCGAGTGCACATGGTGTTGATGCATTCTGCCTGGGGTAGAGGGCGTGGACTTCGTGAGGGCGTAGGGGAGATGCTGCTGCCAGGCCTGTGCAGGCGGCGAGCCAGACGGAGGTAGACCTCATGTTGATGGCGGCGCAAAGAGGGACGCCTGACGACCGCCAGTCAGTAATCGTATATCACGCAGGAGCCTCGGAGGAGTGTATGAAGCTCTCCGCAACATAGCCTCCGCGATTGACGTAGAGCAGATACAAGGGTAGCACTCGCTTGAGTTGCCATAGCAGATCTCGGAGGAGGAGCCAGAAACGGGTTAGGAAGAATTGAAACGACTATAGCAGTGCGCAAGGACACTCATATCGACATGTGACCACTGACCTAGAAGGCTTAAAGATGACCAGAGGAGACGGACTTGACCTCTGCAAACAGGCGCTCTGTTGATACGATGGAAGTAGTAAGGAATGCCGCACACTCGACCGACCCACCATGGGGGACTTCATGCTATTAAGAAGTACCTAGTCGGCAGACTATTGCACCCTCAATGGCCCGCACGGAGCAATCGATGGATCGACGCGGTCACAAGCAGCCGGCCGGTGTGCAGATGGCCCTATTTCCAGCGTTCAAGGTCTGCATGGAGCAGCAACAGCGAAGCAGCACACAGCCCACCAGAAGATTTTCGACGCGCTAGGCCACTCTGCTGCACACAATCCGGCCAACGCGGGCAGCACAGCCGTCAGATGCCTGCTCCAACGACTCTTAACGCAGGGTCCGCGAATTGCTGCTTGCTGCCACCAGGGGGCTGCAACGAGTGACCGACGCAAACCCCCGCATCGACCGCCGTTAAACGTCTGGGGTGCGCCAATCAAGCCGCGGAGCCTCGCCCCACCGTGAAACGCGCCAGTGTGCCTGAAACGCCACTCCCGTCCATCAGACCAGGAGAACCATGTTGGCGCGAGTAATCTGGCCCAACGGCCGCTAGAACCCTGCCTCATCCTCTGCATCCTTCGCGTCGGCCTGCAGGATTTTGCTAATTCGATATTTCTCGTGTTGGTAAATAGGGTCGTCTCAGCCCGGCAGCCATCGCGAGGCTCAGCAAAGATGGCCCCCAAAGAGTAATCCTTCGAAAAGAATAGAAACTTTGAAGGCTGATCATCCAACACTCCATCCTCTCGCAAACCAACGGGCGGAAACAATCGCTCGCTAACTTACACACCTTGCTCGTTGAAGATGGCGGTGAACCAGGCTGATGCCGACAAGCCGAAGGCGCCATCCGAGATCTCTCCAGCCGCGCCGTGGGGAACACCAGCGTCCGAGTTTTTCTTTGTGCGAGGAGCCTCCAGGAACCAACGCTGTTACGCAGCATGAGCATCGGGAGATTGCGGCATCGTACATGCAGCCGTTGACCGTTGACAGCAAACCACTCACCCACACTGGAAGGAAACAGGTTTTGTGTGTTGGATTGAGCCTGGATGAGCACGGCAACAGTATCAAACACCTGCCTATCTTGGACCTGCTATTATGGGAAGGGCAGACAGCGATCAACCAACCTTGCTTCTACAAAATCCTGGTGATCAGCAAACTTAATTGTATTGCGCCTCACTGATCTAAGAAATTGACCATGACGGATCAAACCGTCAAGCAAAGATCAAGCAAAGCTAAGCCTTCGAGCGTCTAGGCAAAAGGGGACCTGCAGCATATCTAACTCCACAAACGGCCTAAAGGAGCATTCATGGCGAAAGCCTTCCGACGGACAACACCCGACGGGATGCTACGTACAATTGCCATTGCCGTAAGCGGATCTAGATCTAGATCCGCACGGGTTCTAACCTGATCAATGGCTTCAATTGTATCACTCGCGTACCTACAGACAATCTTCCCGCACCAGTTATGTCGATATCATAGCTGGGCCGTCTATATCAACGGGAGCAAAGCACGTAGATGCATATCAAGGGATACAACTTGAAGGGGCCTGCGTACCCATACGAGACGTTGAAGTGATACTTTCGCGCGACACACGGCGGATGCGGTAATTAATAAAGTGCTAGCTGCTCCCGTCTCTTGCTGCACATCTGTCGTCCATCCGTGCAGTGTTGCGCGAAACGAAGCTCAATACTCTCATATCCGTCTGCGCGCAAGCACCCGCGACGGCTGCTGAAGTGATACGGTAGCGTTGGACGGACGATTGTCTCTGCAGAGAACGACAATCGCGAGATAGGATGCAGACGTACAAACAACGGCAAGGCCTGTTGCGAGCACTTCTCCTAGCGGATCCAGCGCACTCACACATTCGATGAGTTCAGGATCATCCTGGCCATCGGCTGCTCAACGCAAACTCGACACCCGTGCCCTCGTAATTGCGATACCGCGCATCCTAGAGCTCGCCCACACCATAGCTGTACGGGTACGTGGCATTCCCCATGCCTTCATGCTGTCTCGACCTCTCCTGCATCGCCGCACGATACTGCCACTCCATTAGCTTCTCCCAACCACACCCCCCAATCGCATCATCGCTCACCTTGAACCCAAAATTCAAACACAACGCGACCACAAGCCCCAAACACACCACCACCGGGCCCAGCGCATTGTCAAAGTCCCTCCCACTGCGCCGCTCAATCATCCTACTCCTCCAAATATACACCCCCCACCCCCAACAGCCCGCAAACGCCGCAATGGCCGTATACACGACCGCGAGACTCCTCGCAACCCCGTTCGTCTCCCCGGCGGCATTATACAGCCCCAGGCTCAAGCTCGCCAGCAGCACGCTTACGTGCTGCCACTTGATAAACGTCCGCTGGTTCGCGAGCCAGACCTTGGCCTCGACTTTGACTGGGCCTTGGTCTTTGATCCAGAGGCCCGGGTCCTTGACGCCCGCGGGGAGATTGGCGCGGCGCTCGCGGTGCGCGCGCGCGTATTTCGAGGTCGAGAACGAGGGGAACAGGCTGCGGAAGCCTCCGGTGCTCATGGTCGTGTTCGCGGCGTCGCGATCAGCCTGCTGGCCGTCGTCATCCGAGTCCTCCTCGTCGACGACGGCCTCCTTGCCCGAGGCGTCGCCGACGTAGGCCTGGCTCGCTCGGCGCGTCATCTCGGCCGTCGCGCGGCGCTGGAGGCGGGCGTCCATGCGGGACGGGCGGTCCGGCGAGCCGACGGGAGAACTGACGCCGTGCTTGAAGGCTGAGGCGGACTCCTTGGAGCCGGCGCCGAAGAGGCTCCCCACGGCCACCTCGTCCTCGGCCACCTTTGCTTTGCGCTCCTGCTCCTCTTCGAAGGCTTCGTGCGGGTCGCGGCGGATGTCTGTTTCGAGCTGCGACAGCCAGAAGGGGAAGCTGTTGACGTGGTCCTCGAAGAGGAGGGCGACGCCGTGGACGAACTTGCTGAAGCGCGGCGCTTCTTTCACGAGGTGAGAGGAGGTGAGGTCGGAAACCCATTCGTAGCTCTTGCGCCCTTTGATCTTGATTTCCAGTAAAGCGAAGGGGAAGCGGTTGATCTCGCCTTTGCGGATAGAGGTGAAGGGGTACTCTAGTTGCGCGTCGTCGATGTCTCTGCGGTGCCAGTCTTCGGGATCGCGGCAGGGGCGGTCTTTGTCGATGGCGTCTTCGCGGATCAACGCGAGGTCGGTGTCGAGGCTGATGCGGACGCGGTCGTCGCCGGGGATCTGGAACGCGGTGCGGGTATAGTTTGCGCGCACGACGGGCTGGAGGTCGTTGTCTTTGATGAAGGACTGGATCGAATCGACGGATTTGTGTAGCTGGTCGGCTCTGGCGCCGTGGTCGCCGGATCGGTCTTGTAACTTTTGAATGCTCTTTTCCATCTTGTAGTCGCCGCGGATGAAGGGCTGGATGTACTTCTCTTTGATGGCGAAGCGTTGCTCCTCGCTCGCGTCGCCCTCCTTCATCGTCTTCTTCTCGAAGAAGATCTCTGTCTTGTCGGCCAGCTGCCCGTACCATCTGAGCCGCAGAGACGAGGCGTCAGGTCTGTGGTTGACCTTGTCGTCGTAGAGCGAGAACCGAGGATTGTCGAAGTAGATGGACGTGATGGTAGGGTCTTTCTGTGTGCCCTCGGCGATCCTGGAGGTCTGCGGGTTGTATACCAACACAGGCAGACGGCGCAAGATGACCGTCTTGACCTCGAGCAAATTCTCCGGATGCACCCAGAACTTGTGCGACGTGAAGCCCTCGCCGCCAGTCTGGCTGTCGGAGAACGACAGCCCCCTTGGCTGAGGCTTGTCGCGCTCGAGGTCCTGCCGCACAAACGAGTACATCCCGGACAGCCTGTATAGCAGTGGCGAGTAGTCCTCCTTGTTGAACGGCAGCGCCGCCAGCCGCACCTGCAGCAGAGGCCTGACCCGGTAGTCGTGTCCCCTCTTCCGGTCGTGCTTCTTGGCTGCTTTTAGAAAGCCGGTATAGTTGATGCGGGCGTATCTCTCCAGCTCGTTGACCTCGCGCGTGATGCTATCCAGCTCCTGCAGCACCTCCTTCAGCGTAGCTTCCTGGTCCTCATCACGCCCCTCCTGCTTCTCATCCTCCTCGTTACTCTTCTCTTCCGCCCCATTGCCGCCATTGCTGTCCCCATTACTATCCCCATTGCTATCCCCATTGCTATCCCCAACCTTCCCCTGCCCTAAAGAATTAAGCTTCGCCTCGCACGCCGCCGTCCGGTCCCGCAGCTTCTGGTACGTCTCGGAGTGGAACGCGTGAACCTTCTCCAGCTGCACATTCACGAGCTCCTCGACAAACGCGCCCTCATCTTCCTCAGTCCATTTGTCATCGTCGTCGTTGGTGGATCCCGCGGTGGACTCGTCTTCGCGTAGAATCTTTTTCAGCTTGTCGTACTCGATGTATTTATCCGCCCAGGGCGTGTAGATGGACTTGCGCAGGGTTTTGCCGAAGCGCATTGTTGGCGGGAAGCTGGTTGATTGTAGTCGGTCTTCTATATATGCCGTACAGTGGTGTCTATTTTGTATCTGCAGGAATCTAGAATGGTTTAGAGAGTTCTATGTCTCAATTGAGACGCTCTTAAGCTCGATGGCTATGAACCCGCACCTGCCGCAGAGAGTAGAGCTTCCTCGCACGTGGGATATTCTGCCGCGTCTGACCGCCGAGTTGCTGCTCGTCATCGGCGCAAGTCAACAATCTCCCGAAACTTCCAATTCAACAGAAGCCGGGCGCAACATGTCTGCGAGTTTGGGAACAGCTCCCTCGGAGCTAGTACAATATCTGAAGACTGTCCTCCTTGATCTCCATTCGAATCCTTACCCTTATGTACCGAATCCGCCAACAATCAGCAAACGAGCCTCCGTCGCCCTTATCATCCGCATCCAACCTCACTACTCCCACTGGCCCTCGAAAGATGTCGACGCCCCTGAAGCCTCCTCTAGCGCTCCGGCGTCCATTGAAGAGCAGGTGAACACGTTCTTCGACCAGGACTGGGTGAGATATGGAGATGCAGAGGTCCTCTTCATCAAGCGCGCCGAGCGCAAGGGCGACCGATGGACCAGCCACGTCGCGCTCCCCGGCGGGCGTCGCGATCCCGAAGACGCAGACGACCAGGCGACAGCCGTGCGTGAGACCCTCGAAGAAGTCGGCATCGACCTCTCGGCGCACGCGCTCCAGCTCGGCAACCTGCCTCAGCGCGTCGTCACCACCTCATGGGGGAAGGTCCCGTAGGTAGAACTCACACCCCCGTCTATATTTACCTGTGAGGCGTATCTGACGAGCTGCCATGTGCGCCGCAGTCTCATGGTCCTCTGCCCTTACGTCTACCTCCTGACCTCCCCCTCCCCTCCCGCGCTGAAGCTCCAGCCGACGGAGGTGGGATCCTGCCACTGGGTCTCGCTGCGCGCGCTGCTCTCGCCCGCCCTCCGCACCGTAGAGCTCCAGGACGTCTCGAACCGGCTCGCAAAGGCCGAGATGGGGATCCGGCGCTGGTTCCTGCGGGTCATGTTGGGGAAGATGGTGTTTGCGGCCGTGCGGCTCGTGCCGTCGCAGAGCGTGTACTGTAGCAGCATTCCTGGCTTTATACCGGAGGGGGCTCATGACGACGTCTCGAGCAGCACGGCTTTTGTCAAGCGGAGAGTTGCGAACTGGTGGGCGGGCAGCGGCAGCAGCGCCGGTTCAATGTTGGGGGTGAGGCGGAGTATGAGTAGAAGCGTCCCCACGGCGAAGCCGCTGCTGCTGTGGGGCCTCACGCTAGGCATCGTGGCGGATTTTCTGGACTTGCTTCCGCCGTTCGACGCGTCAAGACTGTGGACGTATCCGACGTTCACGCCATGGGACGTCAGGTTTGTGGTCTGGGCCTTGTCCTACAATCTCCGCAAGGAGAAGCAGAAGTTGGTTGCGCGGGGCGCGCATAAGGCGCCGGCGGCGGTGGAGGAGGGGCTGGATCCCGTAGCCGTTAGGAAGCCGGAGCCGGAGGAGAGGGTTGGAGGGGACGAAAGCGAGAAGCCGGGAGAGGCGGGGATTAGTGGGTTGGGGGTTGGGAGGTATTATGGGAGAATCGGACGGGAGCAGCGAGGCTCTAGATCGAGCGCTGTGGGGGTCATGTTGGAGGGGTATTATGACGTTGTTAGGAGAGCTGTCAAGGTGGCGCTGGTGGGCAGGGTGTCGGCAATGGCATTGCTGGTTTTCATTCTCTGGACAAGGCTCAGAAGATGGAGGATATCCAGTTCGAGGTGATTTTGCTAAAAGCACGAGCGCCGGCGTTGGCCTTGGTCTTCGAACAATGCAGCATCGAGAGCACTCTTGTAGCTGGTAGATGTCTCTCTGTCGACCTACTAGCCCGAGCTGAGCAGTAAGGTACACGCATCAGTCGAGGCCAGGTGCACGTCGATTGTTGTAGTCCAAGGCCTGAATGGGTGTTCGACAAGCCCTGATCACTCTGGTGAAGTTTGTATAATTGTGTATTGAGTGCAGAGCTCGTATCGAATTCTCTAAACGGGGCGAGCGTCTTCTGCTTCGTGAATGCGAAATGCACTGGCCGCTTCTATTTCTTCAAAGTCCTTGACTATACACTAAGCGTACAGCCCTGCCGAGAATATCAATGAAACCCCCATTAGGCCTCAGCATACTCACCCCTTCAAACGCCCAGGCGTAAATTTCCCGAAGACTGCCTGTCAGCCTCACATGCATAATACCTACGGCTCGAAGCTGTGCCATAAGGGTATCATATGCTCTACAGTTCCGCACAAGTCCTCTTGATAAACCCAAGCCGTGGTGGTTGTACGGCGATAAGAGAGAACTCGCTACATGTTACGGAGTACGGGATGCTCCAGCAGCCATAACAATCCCATTAGCTAGCGTTGCTTCCAGAACAACAGATATACGCCGCGTCCTCTGTGGTCCTGGCGTGACCATTTAGAGGACGGCATCCAGAACCCGATCTCGTAGAGATTGCACTTCCTGATCTTTCTCCCTCAACATGTCCTGAAGGGACATGAACTTCTTTTTCCAATCCACACTCTCGTCACTTGCTCCATTGTTGCCATTGACGACCTCGCCTTCTGCCTGTATGTCCCCACTCGTCTCGCCGTCCTCTTTCGAGATGATAAGTCCCTGGATCTGGAATTTGCCCATCACACCCCCAAGCGTCGCACTCCACGAGATGTCAAATGTCTCCTTGACCACGGCAGGCGTCTCGCTCTCTTCCTCGTCGTCGTAGATAGGACTATCGTACCCATCCTTGCCGACGCGGAAGCGCTGCACAACTATCTCCTTGGCACTGCCGCCGTTCGGAGCACTGCATCCATTTCCCGTCAAACTAAGGCCAAGCCAGTTGGCAGATACCGACGGAAAAAAGTCTTTGCTCATCTCATCTTGCGACGAGGATCCGCCTTCGGGCTTCATGCGCCGTAGCAGCGCGTCTGCGAGCGCCTTGGCTTCGGCGCCGCGCAGGCGCTTCCGCCCCGTTATGCGGGCGCGGAGAAGATCGGCTGTGAGGGCTCGTTTGACGTCCTCGCGGTCGGGGCGGCGGACTTCGCTTTGCGAGTGCCGCCCGCTTTGTGTTTGTCTAGCTTGCGGAATCGGAAACGTGTCACTGCCACCCGCATCGGAATCCTCGGGAACGTGCGAAGAGCTCCTTCGCGAGCTGGAGCCAAAAACCGAAGGTGCAAGCGCGAGCGGGCCAGCCGGATCGGACTCACCGTTTACGAGCAGGGTCGGCGTGACTAGGTGCACCGGTCCACCGACGTGCTGAGGGACCTGAAGGGAGAGGCGCCCGCGTCTGCTCGGCGGTATAGGGAAGGACTGCGGTGGCACTGTCGCTATTGCCGATGCTGGAAAGCTGTTTGGCGGCAAGCGAAATAGTTGAGTCGGTTTTTCCATGCCAGATTCCGACTGCGCCCTCTCTCTATTGGGTGGGGGATCAGGCGTGCTTCTAGGTATAGCTTGCATCGACCCTTCCCTGCTCGCAGGGTTCGCCGGAAAAGTACCAAATGGCCCGTCTTGCATAGAGCGGTTGCTTGGTGGGCGTCCGCGAGGCTTGCCGCCAGATGTGTTACTGCCGCCGGACCAGGCAGATGATACTGCGGGACCATGACGACGGCGCTTCGCCCTCGAAGATGATGGACTGATGGCGGAGCGGGGTTCATCGAACGCGGTGTGAGCTGTTTGCCTTGGACCTGGAATAATGGCCGAGAATGGTTGTGGCGTGGATGGAGTGAAGCTGTTGTTAAGCCGCCAATGGAGTTGCTGCCCAACTGATGAGGGATGCGCAGATTGCGACACAAGAGCCCTACGGCTGTCTGAGTTGCTATTTGCTCCTGCCACAGTATCCACTGCGGCCCAGGGGTCACGCATTCCATGGTCTGGATGCGCGCTTGAAGGGTATGCACTGCTAGGGTAGGCGGACATTGGATGGCTTTGGTTCAGGACCGCTGTGGGCGTGTCCAAATGAGGCCGTTTCGAAGGGGTTGATGTCGCTTCGGCGGCGCCGTCCTCCTCGTCCGCTTTGCGGCGGCCGCGCTTGGGTCGGTATTTGGGATCAAGCGCCCTAACAGCAAGATCTTCTTCCAAAGGGACGCCATCTCGACCGTCCTCCGGAAAGGGCGCGTGTAGTGGCGGTACTTCCTCGTAGTACGCATGCGGCTTGTTCATGAGATACTCGAAGAAAGCATCGATGTGTAGTGCTCGCATCCATCGCTGCGGTCTGTCAGTAAGTGGACTTAGGAGTTCTAAAGCGGGCCTGAGGGAGTATGGAAGCGTGGATGACAGATGGAGGGCCATCGCAAGCGAAGCCAGATGGATAGAGAAACTCTCAAACGCTCAAGGAATAAAGACTTCAACAGCAAATCTGTACGTAGGAGGTAAGAGCTGATCGATGCAGGAAGGAAATAAACAGCTACATAGCCTATTATCCCTCTCACATGGAACCGTTCGAGTTTTCATGCCGCGACATGGTCGTGCGTCCCTCTTGGTTGCAATTCCACATCAAATTCGTTACTGCACAAGGACCAAACGCGATAGTAAATCACACTCTTAATAAAACTACTTAGATTCAATAAGTGAACGCCTACCTTTAGTCTGACCGAGTATTGCTGAACTTTCTGCGTGCTCTGACCCTTCTCCAAGTCTGGTGGTAGCACTCCTAGTCTCTGGGCGAGCTCCGCCCATGTCTTGATCTCCTTTCGATCAAACTCTTGAATCAAATTGAAGAGCGTCCAAGTGCTATAGTTCTTGCCATCGCTCTTCGGTGGATTTCGAAAGGCCTTAATTAACTCCGAAGTGTCAATTGATAGAGGAAAACTAGCATTACAATAAAGGATAAACGCCGCATATGCGGCATCAAGTGTATCATCAGATACATCACGAGGAGGGAGCGAGCGATCGGTTGGTGTGAAGAATGGAGTTGACTGCCTTTGCTGGTTGGGTGATCCACCACTAAAGCGAGGAGAAGCAAAGATCTGAGACGGTGTTGATGGCCTTGCAGATGAGAGACTGCCAGCTCCGGCGTGATACTGGTGCGGTACGCTATTTGTTGTGTTCTGCGGTCCATGAGATTCCAGGTTCGGATCAATCGCCGCGTCTGATTGTGGAAAGGGAGGATAAGGGGCTCCAGAAGCCTGCTGCTGGGTGAAATGATCGTCAGTTCCAAGATGAAGTGGCTGCTGGGCATGAGGCCCAGGTCCAGGTCCCGCCTGGAGGAAGTTCATGTTCTTCCTAGAGGAGTAACTGCTTGCGCTGCGCCAAATCGGTGTGGATGAGTTGCTCAAAATTTGGAACACACTTTCTACTTCTAAAGTGCTTCACAGCCGTCACCCACGACTAGTCTGGACGCCCTGAACTCTGATATAACCTCTTGCGCGCAAGGCGCGCCTGCGCGACTCCGCGACTGCAGCAACAGGAAAACTTCGAGGAGGTCGTGATAGCAGTTGACGTTAGCATAAACGAATTAGATTGTCTGTTAAATATGCTGAAGACTGCACACAGAACCAATGGTGTGAGAGTCAGTATCCCTTTCCGGAAGAAATTCATGGTAATTTGGGACAGCGGCAGCGATCTTGTCAGCGGGCCGCCACGGGTGCTCCTCCAACTCCCGTCCGCGTGCTTGCAACGAGAGCAAAACACGTGACTGTTCCCGAGAGCACGCGTAACCGTCTTACCTCGGCACCTTCGGGATGCTCATGATGGGAGCGTATCTTGGGGCAACAATCAAACTCCCCTCCTCGTCCTTTTCTTATATCTCGGCAGATCGCTTGTCCTTCAGCTATTCTGTACTCTGTTCCTGTTCGTAGTGCTTTTAAATTACGTTGACAGCTCCACTTTCAAACCTCAACTTCCCCGCAGACACCCCTCCTGTCAACACATCCCTCGCCTATACCACAAAGCTCCAGCCATGGCGCAGTCCACGAAGACAGCTACTGAGAAGCTCGGAGAGTCGACGAGAGGAGCTCCTGCTAGCGCTGCTGCCCAGCAAAGCGACAATGTCGCGCACGCGCTTGCCGGCGCAGGCGGGGGTCTTCTATCCATGGCTTTGACGTGAGTCCAGCTTCACAATCAAGGAGCTTCTTACCCACTCTGTGCCGGTTACATTGCTAACTGCTGGCCTACTAGGTATCCCCTCATCACCCTTTCGACACGCGCGCAGGTTGAGTCAAAGCGGGCGCAATCAAGCACCCTCGACGCCGTGCGCCGCATTGTCCAACGAGAAGGCATCACCGGGCTATACGCGGGTCTGGAGTCAGCGCTGTTCGGAATTAGCGTCACAAACTTCGTGTACTACTACTGTAGGTACTGCCTTATGTAAACTGGTTGAGTGTGGTATACTTATACATCGGGTATAGGGTACGAATGGACCCGCGCCGGGTTCGAGAGGGCCGCTTTGAAGGCAGGCCGAGCTTCGAAGAAGCTCACCACAGTCGAGTCTATGATTGCTGGTGCAATCGCCGGCAGCGCAACAGTCCTGATTACCAACCCGATCTGGGTTGTCAACACGCGCATGACGGCGCGCAAGTCTGATTCTGATGAGCAAGGTCTTCCGGGCAGCAAACCGGCAAAGAAGCCATCGACTATCGGCACTCTTCTCAGCATCATCAGGGAGGAGGGTTTCGCGCGCCTCTTCGCTGGCGTCATGCCGGCTCTGGTCTTGGTTATCAACCCTATCCTCCAGTATACCATTTTCGAGCAGCTGAAGAATGCTGTGGAGAAGAGGCGACGAGTGACACCCACTGATTCGTTCTACATGGGCGCGTTGGGCAAGCTTCTTGCGACGAGCATCACATATCCCTATATCACCGTGAAGAGCAGGATGCACGTCGCCGGGAAGGATGGGCCCAAGGATGATATGATCACCAGCTTCAATAAGATTCTGAGGGAGGAAGGTTGGAGCGGTCTCTACGGTGGTGAGTGGCTCACTCAACGTATACAAGTGGATACATCATCTCTAACACATGACCACCGCTTAGGCATTGCCCCGAAGGTTACCCAGAGTGTGATCACGGCAGCGTTCCTCTTCGCCTTCAAGGATGCACTCTATGATATGACTATCAAAGCCAGACGCTCACTTGCAGCCAAGAAGTAGAGTCCTTCCCCGCAAGGCGTTCTATGACCGTCAGACGTCTTGATGCGACGGGATGAGGCCGGGCGTGGATGAACGAGATCGCTACACAACCCATGTCTTTGATGCAGTTGTCGCGAGGCTGGCGAGTTGGAGCTCATGGGGGCCGTGGTAGTAGAAGTTGAGTGAACTTTGTTTACTTGACCTGCCATGATTGTGTCTGTTGCAGAGCTTTCCTTGGCTCTTACGGAGTCTTTGAAGAGATGTACGGTACATTCACTCGTTGGATTCGAGTGTGCAGAGCCATTATGCTCAAGGTCTAGGTTCTGTATAATGTTGTTGCGTTCCTCGCAAATGCTGCATGCGAAAGCCCTTTGCGTGAACACCTAATGTCTTGTCGTCCTTTCTACTTCCAATGAGAGCAGTCTCCAGACGTTTGTCTACAGTTCGGACTGCCTCTTAGGAATTGTTGGACGTCTCCGGCGTACCCTTGATTTTGCCCCGAGCTAAGCTGCCCCCAGAGTGCGAACGTGATGCAATAAGACGGTGTCCGAGAATGGCTTCGATATCCCGGTCTGATTCTCGAGCGGCTAGCTATGAAGCTGGAATGAGATGGTTCTGACGAAAAAGCGGAATGCTGGCACGGTGCGCGCCGCTGTGGCTGTTGAGTGGTGCCTTGCCTTCGCTGAGTTGTTCTGAATGGATGATTAGCATGATTTCAGATCGGGGTGTAAGAGCGGGAGGAGCTGGGAGATCGCGGACCGTCTTAAGTGCATGCGCTGCAGAACCGTTCCTCAACCACCTTTCTTATGAGGCTGCTTCCCTTCGAGCCACGAATCCGAGTATCCGTTTTATGGAAAGCCATACCAGCCCTACACCGATTCGATCCAGGGCGGAAAGCCAGGAAGCACCACCACCGTTAAACTTTCAATCACAGCGAGAGGTCCTCCCTCTATCCCATCATCATAAGCAAGCAACAAACCCCTCTCCCCCCCCTCAACCCCCGAACAAATCCTCCCCACTCCCCCCCACCAACCTTCCCAACCACTCATCCCGCCCTCTAACCTTCCATCCAACCCTCCTCCCCTCATCTCCACCCACCCACCCACTCACAGCCGCAACCACCGCCCCTCCATCCTCCCTCGGCACGCGGATCCACACATCCTGGCCCTCAAGCTTAAGCACATCGATGCTGATAGCCGCGCCCGTGAGGCCGAGGAACTGCTGCAGCGCGGTTGTTAGGCGAGTGCGCGCCGTTAGTGCGTCCAGGGGCGTGGGGTCCACGGGGGAGGTGTGCGAGGTTAGGTGCAGGTAGGTCCAGGGGGGGTTGCGGATGGTGAGGGGGGCCGGGACTGAGGGGGCGGCGGGTTTTGCTTTGCGCTTTTTCTTCTTTTTGGAGGCGTTCGTGGCGGTGCTGGTGGTGGTTGCGGCGGAGGGTTGTGGTGCTGGGGCTGTGGGAGGGATTTCTGGCATGGTGGTGTCGGTGGGTGCGGGTTGGGCCATGCTGGGGTGTTGGGGCACGGTTTCTGAGGTTGTGGTATTGTTTTGGAATTTTACTCTGCGTTCTCTTCGAATCGATCAATGGATACAGGTGCGTTTAGAGGATTTGACAGTCAGCACTGTAGTTGTCACGTGCTTATCACAGTGTTGACGAACGTTAGAAATGTCCAGCGGGTAAGGTAGGGGCTGAAGGCGGTGAAACCCTAGCGAAGAGTGACTTCAAGACACCTGAAGCCTACCACTCCCCGTCCCTTCAAATCCATCTTTCTAGCACAACACCAGCTCCTCCTTCTCACGCTCCAGGCCACACTCTCGCCACAGGCCAAAGACCACCATGGCCTCCCAAACCCCCTCTCAAGCGCTCACCAAGCGCTCCTCCTCCACAGCCTTGATGCCCCCACCACCCCCACCAAAGCGCATAAAGCGGCCCGCAACTGTGCTGGACGAAGATACCTACACGGACGCGCTCTCGCACATCATAGCGCGCGACTTCTTCCCCGGCCTTCTCGAGACCGAAGCGCAGTCCGACTACCTGAACGCGCTGGACTCAGGCAACAACGCCTGGATCGCCGAAGCCGGGCGGACGCTGACCCAAGTAATGACACCTGGGCCGGATGGACGCCGGCGGAGAGGGATGTTGGGAACGAGCATGACGCCAACTATGCAGAGCCGCGGGGGAGAGGCGACGCCGCGGTCCTGGGGCGGAGAAACACCAGCGTCAGTCGCGGAATCTGAGATCAGCAGCGCAACAACCAAGCCGCGGAAGCCAGACGTTGACACCACCCTCTCCCTCACAGCCTTCCAATCGAAATACACCTCCGAAGACAATGAATCCTTCAACGCGCTGCTTGACATCCAAAACGCTAAGCGCGTGGAGAAGTACACCTGGCTCTGGAGCGGCAACAAGATCCCCTCAGGGCGACAGATCGCCTACCGCGCGCGCTCCGCTCAGCTCCTCGAGTCCTCCGAGCGTGCCGCAGCGAGCCAAGCACTCATCCCCCGCCCCTCACAAGACCCAGACACCCGTCCCGCAATGGCAGACACCGCCCCTTCCGCCCCGCGCAACGCCTTCATGTTCGCGCCCGACAGCATCGAAGACGACCACACCACCGTCGCTGCAGCCGCGGAAGCGACATCCACCGCGCCGCCCCGGGCCGTGAACCACAGCGCCACACGCCTTCCCCTGCCCCCTTCTTCCGACCCAGATAGCCTCGTCCCGCCCTCCCCCTCGCTCTCCGCAATCGACGCCGCGATAGCCGGGCGGCCCCGCCCCACGGCCTCGGAGCCGGGATACGCGGGCTCGGAGACGCCGGTGGTGGGTGGGTACAGGTTCGTGGATGCGGAACCGACGCCTTCTGAGCTCGCGGCTGAGGACGCTGCGGATCGGGGGCTGTTGGCGCGACTGGGTGTTGAGAGTGATGCGGCGCCCAACCCATTTACCATCAAGGAGGCGAGCGGGAGGGAGAGGCTGCATCATCGGATGGTGGAGAGGACGAGCGCGGCGAAGAGGTCGGGTGGGGGGAGTGGGAGCCGACTGGCGGCGTTGAGGGGGGACGGGGGTGGCGGTGGTGGTGGTGTGGGGGGCAAGACGCCGACGCCGAAGTTTATAAGTAGTCCTGTGGTCGCAAGAGGCAACTTGACGCCTGCGGCACAACGGCTCTTCGAGCGGGTGGGGACGCCGAAACGGGACGGGATGGAGGGCGCCTTTGGGGGACATGGGAGGAAGGGGGAAGAGAAGGTGAGAGGGTACTTAACGCCCAAGCCGAGAATCAAATGACCAAAAGAGTGGAGCGAGGATTTGGGATGGAATCCTCAGCCCCTCTGTTCAGATTGCGAGGGGGATTATAGCTTTTGTAGCCGAATATGCTAGCCTCTCATCGCCTGTCTTGCTCTTCTGGCTGGCCTTCCATCTTCCTCACTCGTACGGAGCCAGAGCAAGTCTCGATAGCCCCAAGCCTTCAGCCGTTCCGCTACCAGGCGCCGCCCATCGTCAATCGTAAAAGATCCCTTACAACCGGCAAACCCTCCCATCCATCTCGACTCCCTCCTCCCTCAATAGAACGACTCCACCATCGTGTCCTTGTTCTTCGTATTCACATCCCCCGGCCCCATGCCCTCCCCGAGCCTAAACACACTCTCCACAACACTCAACTCCGTAGCCGTAGTGTCCAGGCCCGTAACGGCCATCCAATCATTGACGACCATGCCCGCGCCCACAACGGGACTGCCCCTATTCACCGACCCGGCCACCAGCGGCACCTGCAGCAGACTGCTCAGCTCGTCCTGGTCCTGGATGCTGGTCTTGGGATGCACGATGCCGCCGGCGTTGCTGAGCGCCATGTAGGAGCCGACGAGCACGTTGTCGGCGATGGTCTGCCGGAACACCTCCACGCCCAGCACGTCGGCGATGATCTCTTCGGTCTCGCGCTCCAGGTCTGGGTGGATCAGCGCGATGTGGTCGTTGGTTGCGATCACGTTGCCCAGCGCGGAGAGCCGCTCCTCGATCCGCTGGATCTTGACGCTGTCGGGGAGCGAGTTGCGCAGGTGCTGGAGCTCTTGGTCCGTTGTTGAGGTGGGGACGAGGAGGCCTTTGCGGTTGCTGTGGGGGTGGTGCGTGCGCGTCAGTTTGCATGCTACCTTGGTGTAGGCCGACGGCCGTCGTGAGGTTTCTGGGCGCCCGCTCGCTAGGACACATGAAGGTGCAGAGCGGGCGAAGGAGTGTGAGATGAGGGAAACACAAGCATACCCGGCAGTCAACCGCCCCACAATCCGCGTCCCCGCGATCGTGGCATGGCAGATGGGTATCACGTCCTGCAGCTCCGCTTCGAACACGCTGTAGAAGTTCTCGGAGGCGCCGACGGCGACGATCGCGTACGAGTTCGTGAGAGTGGAGAAGACGCCGACTCTGCGCGACAACAAGGCGTCAGTGGGGAACTCTACTAGAGGCATTTGGTGGCGTGCGTGGGGCATGGTGGGGCAGGGAGGGTTACTCGTTGGAGTTTTCGAATTGAGCGCGGACGGCCATGATTGCGTGGACTGGTTGTTGTGGTTTGAGGTTGTAGGTGCTGAAGATGGAGCTGTCTTGGAGTAATATCGGTCGTGTGCGGCGGCGAGAGAGCTCTGGAAGTTGCGGTGCGCAAAAGAGCGGCGCACACATGCAGCTTTTTGATCTCGCGAAGATTGACGTCAGGGATCCAAAACGTGGGGCTGTGCGCGCGTCGAGTCACAGAGGAAGCGCCACACGGTGAGTCTTTATTACAGCGTGAGTCAGGCACTGGATGCTCGCAACTGCAGTCATGGAGTACATACAGTTCAGCTCTTGATTGAGCGAATCGCCGAGGATACTAGCGTGTTTTGACGCAGCAAAAGCCAATGGTCGCCTCTTTCCCCCCGGGGTATCAATATTGAAGACCTTAGAAACATGACTCCTCCCATCTCGAACGCCTGCTGGTCCAATATCTTGCAGCTCAGAAAGCGAACACGATACAGCAAAGGGGTATATATAATGCAAAGAAAATGTATGATCCTTCCCGCGAACCACGCAGACCCAGTCGCATCCGAACGCCAAAGCTTCTTGCATCCACATAGTCGTGAAGGCCCGGCTGGTGGACTGTGCAACGTCGGGTTAATCGTCCGGGAGAGGTAAGTGGAATTTCACCTCCGAAGCAGTCTGCCTCAGCATCCCATCGAGCTTGCCCACCCATTCGACCTGCTCGGAATGGTAATCGAAGAGCTCCTTCGTACGGCCCTCCACGGACTCGAGACGAGACTTGTAATCCCCGACAAGTTCTTTGCTCTGGCTCTCAAGTTCCGACAGTCTGCGATTGACGATATCCAATTTATCCGTCGTCGAATTCTGAAGATACTCTAACTGGTTGTTGGTGACGGTCAGGTCGGTGTCGTAGTCGTGCTTGGATACCATCTCCTCATCGGGCTTCTCGCTCAGCTTCTGGACCACCGTCTCCAGTTGCCCCACCGCCCTCCTCACTTCATCCACCCCCGCAAGAGATGTCTTCGCCTGCTCTTGTACTGCCCCTATGGCCTTTTCGACCATCTGCATCTTCTGTTGCAACGTCGTATTCAGGCTATTGGCGTTCGACTTGTCGTTGTGTTGTTGCACAGCCAACTGGTTCACCAGATTGTTCAGCCTGTCGACTTCGGACTGGAATCTGCTGGCAAGGGGGTACATAGACTGCATCTGATTGGCCATCTGCCTCACAAGCTCATCCGTGGTCAGATTGTTGTACCTGTCTTCCAACGTCTGTATGGCATGGATGTTGACTCTGATTTGCTGAGCGTGAAGATTGACGGCACCCTCCTGCTTTAGAAACTTCTGGTCAAGTTCATTGTGTTTCTGAATGAGCGAATGGACATTCTTTTGCAGGGCCGCCGGCACCGGAGAGGGCGATGGAGAGGTGTGGTAACCGTTCGTCTGCGGAGATTGGCTGGCTAGTAGTTGCTGAGCGGGTACATGAGGCGGGTGCTGGTACATGAGTCGATGATCACTTTGCTGCAAACCTGGGGACATCGGCTGGACGGGACGTTGCTGTAGACCGGTCACTGTTCCTTCGAGCTTGGAGATTGAGTCTTGCAAGCCTCCTCGCGCATCCTGGAGTGTCTGGTCCATAGTCGTCACTCGGCTGTCAAGGGTCGAAAGAGTACTCTCGAAAGCTTGGTGAGACTCAGTGAGACTCTGTTGGTGATGCTGGAGGCTCGTCTCTAGCGAATCGAACTGCGCGCTAACAAGCCCATCCTTCTCCTCTTGTTCCGCTTGAAGTACCGCAAATTCTTGCCTGATCCCTACGATGTCCGTTCTGATGCTCGCAAGTTCGTCCTTGAGCTCTTGGACGTCAGTGGTGGGCTGACTTGGATTGAACTGCTGATCTGAGGGAGTATCGTTTGCCGGGTCCTTCGCACAATCCAAAGCAGCGACACGCGCGTTTAGCTCTGCGATCAATGCTTCTAGCTGAGACATCCTTTGAGCGGCTTCGTCATCGGCAGCGGCGCGACCCTCTCCAAACTCCGAAATGAACGGTTGAAAGTCGTTGACTACTTTCTTGAGGTCAGACTCCAGGGTGTTAAATCTGTCTTTGAGGGTGGCTCTCTCGATCTTGGCAGCTGCCGATGTCCCCTTGAGCGATTGAACAACATTAGAACAGGCATCCAATGCTTTGCCGAGATTGGAGGACCGCTGTTCCATGGCTTCCGCACGGGCCTCTTGCTTTCTGACCTTGCTACTCAAGCTGTCAACGTCTTGGTCCAGATTCCTGACCTCTTTGCTGAGACCTGTGACATCGCGTTCGAGAGCCTCGATGTCGTCCTTCCGGCGATCGTTGCTCCGTTCTAGACCTTGGATGCTCTTGGACTGTGCTAAGAGGGTCTCAGAGTGTGCGTCATATCGCTTCAATATGGCCGTCCTCTCGTCGTCTAAACGTTTCTTGAGTGACTTCACGACCGTATCGAGCTCCTTCTTCAGGTGGCTGATGTCCTCCACCATAGGCCCTGCTTGGTCAACAACTTGCATTAAATGGCTTCCTTGATCCGCCAGTCGTTTCAGCTCCTGCTCCTGCTCGCGGAGCTTCGATCCCAAAACAGCTACTTCCATCTCTAATCTCTCTTTAGTGGAATCGGCGACTGCCGTAGCGAGGGCTTTCACCAGCGTCTCATTAGAAGCTCTCTTCTTAGACAGTTGGCTGTTGAGTTCATTGAACTTCTTCTCAGCCTCAGCTTTAGCAACAAGTTCGTGCCCCGGAACCGACGATTGGCCTTCATGCTTCTTCGCAGCCCAATCATATGCTGCGCTCTTCTGCTCGTACGCCTTTTTTGCAATAGCCCTTTCTACCGACATCTCTGCCATCTCTGTCACAGAAGTCGAGAAACTGGCGAACAGGGTTAGAAGCGGATTGGTAGGCTCCGGGGCTGCAATTGCAGGGACGGGCGGAGCCGGAAGTGGTGTAGCACCCATGCGAGCTACCGGTGCCCGAATTGCATTGCCGTTTTGCAGTGGCATGGACTGTGCTCTACTGCCATTGTTATCGGCTTGATCACTGGGACTCACGACCGCCGAAGAAGGCGACGCCACGAAGGAAGCGGGAGAGTCGTTACCCCGGCCCCTTCTCCTAGGGTCAAGCACTACCTGAGGGTGGCTTGCAGGTAACGGCTCGGGAGGGTCTCCGCCTACTGTTGTGAGAGGGCTGTTGGCTCCGCTGGTCACTTTGCTGCTTATCTGTTGAGTTGCAACTGAGCCTGGAGGCGAAGGATGAGACGCGATAGGCGCATTCCGACCAGAGGATGAACGTCGGGCATACGGATCGCCGGACCGCTCCTCGCGGTCTGATTTGCCGAAAAAGGAACCGATGTTATGATTGACGGGTGGTGGTGCGGCGATAGGGTCCTATATAATAGTGTAGTGTCAGCTTGGTGATCGGAGAACTTCGATGCCTTTCAAGCTGCCTTCTTGCAAGATGTGACAAACCGACTACGAAGGCCAGCACGAACAGATTCTTGCAGCGGATCCAGTGAGCAACCGTTCCATGGTCGAAGGAGACCAGGCGAAGACAATCTAGTGATATTCCTAGAGAGCTTCTCGTTACATAAAACTGCGGCGGTGTACGACGGTGACGTCATCAATTTGTGGAGCTTAGTGTACAATATCGACAGTACACTTCTCTGACCGACAGAGATCGTGCATAGATGCAACACAACAGGACTCACCGAACTGCCTTTCCCGTCAGACTGGGTCTTAGTCCTCTTGGCATTGTCGTCGGAGACCTCGCTTGGTAGAGCCCTCTTCCATGCAGACATGTTGTCTTTGGCCGTGAGCGGTGACTCTGCGTCTTCCCTGGGTGATTATCGTACGTCAGAATGTGTACAGCAAATGGCGCAATCAGCGTCGCCAGAGGTGTTTGATTAACATGGCAAGAGGAGACACGCTATTGGCTAAGGTAAGGTAGTGCGGCTAATAGCGAGACGTTCAGCTGTGGAGTGTGTAGCATGAAAGCATCCGATAGTGAAGTATCTGCTATTGTGAGGATAATGACGGATTGTCTAACAGTGAAGCATAGACACTGAAGTGGCAATAGTGAAGTAAATAATAGTTGAAGCGGTATCATACTCTTAAGCTCACCTTTCAATATTCCAGGGCGTCGGCCAAGCTCAATATTAAATGCCTGCACTACTCCCCCCACGGCTTGCCCGAGAGGGATTGGCCTTTCTCATCTAAAGAGTGGAGAGGTTTGCTAGGATGAACTTTACGGCTCAGTTGGTGAAGCGCTTGTGAAACCGGTTGAGAACGTCCTTCAAGGTTCTGCGTTGCTCTGTCGTACGGAGCGTACAAGGATAGAGCGCTTCTGAGGTGAAAGTCGTGAAGCGTCTGCACTGAAGACAAGCTTTTCGTAGGATCGGTGCAACTTATGGCAGTGTGGCACAGCCAAGGGTTCGAGAGGCGACGTGAGAGCACCGGCAGCGCTCCGCAACGGATTGTGGAAGGAGAAGGAAGAAGGGAGGAAGGGACTGAAGAGGAGACCAGAGAGCACTGCGGTGTGAGATGTGTCTCATGCAGGAGCCCGGTCGGGCGCATGTAGGGTCTTATATAGTGTTTACAAACAGCTGCTGTGCAATGCTCGCTCCCCCGGCCCGTTGCCGCAAACGCGCGAAATTGGTGGCGACGCGTGACATCGTGAAGCGAGATTTTGAGCTGCCGACTGACTGCAGAGCTCCAACGCAGCGAGGGGACAACAACGTCAAGCTCTTATCGCAACACTGTCCAGAACACCACGATGGCTGCTGTACGCTCGATGGGACTTTCACAATACGAAGGCTGTAAGAGAACTAACAGCATGCTAGCAAATCACCACCGTCGCCCAGAGCAAAGAGCTCCGCGGGCTCAACCTCATAGCAGCGCACTCCCACATCACCGGTCTCGGCGTCGAGCCAGACACGCTCGAACCCAAGCAATCATCACAAGGCCTCGTCGGACAAGAAAAGGCGCGGAAAGCCGCCGCCATCATCCTACGCATGGTCAAGGAAGGCAAGATTGCTGGGCGAGCAGTCCTCATCGCCGGTCCCCCCAGCACCGGCAAGACGGCTATAGCGATGGGTATGGCGCAGTCGCTGGGTGAAGATGTGCCGTTCACGATGCTGGCGTCATCCGAAATCTTCTCGCTTGAAATGTCGAAGACGGAAGCCCTTACACAAGCATTCAGGAAGTCGATAGGTGTGAGGATAAAAGAGGAGAGCGAGGTCATTGAGGGAGAGGTCGTGGAGATACAAATCGACAGGAGTGTTACGGGAAACAACAAGCAGGGCAAGCTCACAATCAAGACAACGGACATGGAGACAATCTACGACATGGGCAGCAAGATGATTGATTCGATGACGAAGGAGAAGGTCATGGCTGGCGACATCATCTCGATCGACAAGGCCTCGGGCAAGATTTCGAAGTTGGGACGGTCGTATACCCGGTCACGCGACTACGATGCGATGGGTGCGGATACCAAATTCCTGGCATGCCCGGACGGCGAGCTACAGCAGCGCAGAGAAATTACACACACAGTCAGCTTGCACGAGATTGATGTTATCAACTCCCGAACACAAGGATTTCTAGCGCTCTTCTCCGGCGATACTGGCGAGATCAGAAGCGAGGTACGGGATCAGATCAACACCAAAGTGGGCGAGTGGAAGGAGGAGGGCAAGGCTACTATCGTACCCGGTGTGCTGTTCATCGACGAAGTGCATATGCTGGACATCGAATGTTTCTCATATATCAACCGAGCACTAGAAGACGAACTCGCGCCAATCGTCATCATGGCCAGCAATCGGGGGCACACTCGGATAAGAGGCACGAACTACCGCTCTCCGCATGGTTTACCGCTGGATTTCCTGGACCGGGTTGTTATTGTCACCACGCACGCATACGCGCCAGAAGAGCTGCAACAGATACTCTCGATACGGGCGTCCGAGGAGGACATTGACGTCTCGCCAAATGCTCTCGCATTTCTCACGAAGATCGCACAAGAGGCCGGTCTCCGCTACGCAAGCAATCTCATCACAACCTCGGACCTCCTGCGGCAGAAGCGGAGAGCCAAAGAAGTCGATATCGATGACGTGCAGAGAAGCTTCCAGTTGTTCTATGATCCTGGCAGGAGTGTTAAGGCAAGTCACCCATAGTACCTCATTGAGACCCTCCTAACATTGTCGCAGTTTGTTTCCGACTTCGAAAAGCGCTTCATCGGTCAAGAGGGGGATGTCACTCTATCCTTCACGAACGGGGCTGATGCTATGGAGATTTCGTAGTCCTTTCACTTTCTCACCAGCATTGGCGTCAGGCGTAGGACGGCGGTTGGAAAACGCTTACGAGCAAGGGCAGTCGCTGTGGGTTGTACAACACAATAGAGAAGCAAGGACTTCCAGTAGAGGAAGACCTTGAACCATGAATCAGTGTCACCCTTCTGCGTGTCCTGAAAGTTGAGCCTGCTTCCCCCAAAAATCATCAGTCATGTCAAGGTTTTGGTGAAGTCTCCCAGTAGCGGCACCTTCGGAACGGATGATTTTCAGACCCGCGAGACTACGTTTCATGTCCCTGGAGCGCGGCGTCCACTGGCGTTCTTATCGAACTGCAACATGCCCAAAACGAACACGTGCATCTTTTGACCCAAGCATTTTGTGCCAGACAGACGGCCATTGATTCGTGCCAGTGAGCGGCGCGGCGTTCTGCTCTTCCTTGAGCAGCCATGAACCACAGCATGCCCAAGCGCCACGCCGCGCACGCCCAGCAACACGCCGAGCAAGGCCGCGTTGACGAACAAGGCTGAAGCACCTTGGCCCCCCCTCCAACGCCGACGCATGGCCGAAGCTGAAGCCCAGTGAAGGGCCCTGCGCGGGCAAGGCCACGCTCTAATCTTGAAGCCCTCCGGGGAGACGCCGAGTTTTCCGACATGGCGCACGCGACACTGTTGTGAGAGTAAGAGTGACATGCTGTGCTTCTTCTCCTCCTCGCATTCGTTGTCCTGGCGTCTTTTTGCACGTTTCTTACCCTAATTACCTTGCTTTGCGGGTCTTGTTCTTCTACACTGTCGTTTCTAGGCGCCTTGACCGGCGACTTCCCATAGGGGTAGCTACTGTTATTCGTTCGGTCCTTCCTTTTGCTCTTAGCTACCAAGTCTCCTACCGCCACTTCGAATACTCTGATCGACAACCCTGCGTACTATTTCGAGGACATTGAAAGATCTGTTCAGGGCGCAGTTACTTTTCTGAAAGATCTGGCACTGGCCTGGATCACTACATATGCCAGCCTCTCCGAAACAGCTGTGGTTCGCTATCTTCCTCCAATCTCGAACCGCGCCCGTCGTTTGTACATGATCGGTTGTTGGCTATGAGGACCTTACTATATGCGACTACGATAGCACTGGCTGTCCTGATCGGACAAATCGCCGCGCTGCCGGTGGAGACTAATCTGGTAGAGCCCAAGCCGGTAGAGATTAAGCCGAATTTGGGAATGCTGAAGGAGGAAACGGACCACAAATACTTTCGTACGTCCCCCATATGGCACTGTAGAATATTCCAACGCTGACAAGCTTTCAAGATGAACCCGGGTAAGCCTCCATCGTCCTCAACAAGCGGATCGCCGTTTTGGAGCATCTTCCTCAAGTCATCGTCTTCCTGGCGAAACGCTCACCTCACCCTTCGGCCGGGCTTCTGAACTTCACGACTGACAAGGAAACAGCAACAACGACATCCTCGGCCACTACGACGTCCGCTACTACCACGGCGTGGTCTCCTACGACGAGCGGACCGACACCCTCCGGCACATGATCCGCGCATATCTACAATTCTTCAGAGCCGAGGGGATCGAGACATGGATAGCACACGGCACGCTCCTCGGCTGGTGGTGGAACGGCATGGTAGTCCAGCCTCCTTACCGCCCCTGTTCAAGCCTTACATTCGCTAACTAGCTCCACCGCAGCTGCTCCCCTGGGACTGGGACGTCGACGTCCAAGTCTCCGGCGCAACCCTCGCACACCTAGCAACCCACTACAACCGCACACTGCACGACTACACCTCCCCTTCGCTCGCCGGTCCGCGGTCCTACCTGCTCGACATCAACCCCTGGTCCCGCGAGCGCGAGCGCGGCGACGGACAGAACATCATCGACGCGCGCTGGATCGACACCCGCAACGGACTGTACATCGACATCACCGGCTTGAGCGAGACGCATCCGGATTTGGCGCCGGGAGTTGTCAGCTGTAAGAACTACCACCGGTATAGGATGGAGGATCTGTACCCGCTGCGCGAGAGCCTGTATGAGGGTGTACCGGCGCTGATCCCGAATGATTATGTCAAGATTTTGACGGATGAGTATCAGGAGAAGGCACTTGTGGAGAAGGAGTATGAGGGGTGAGTATTGAGGACACAAGAGGTGCTGGCGCGGCGCTGACTGATTATAGACATTATTGGGATTATGGTCAGCGGGAATGGATCCGTCGCCCAAGTGAGGGTGAGAGCAGCAAGAATCAATCATGATACCAGGCTCTGAGGTGCGATAATGTATTGGACATGGGTTTCTCCTCGAACTGGCTGCTCCAATGTGGCGTCGGGTGCTGGTGCTTTCAGGCGCAAACCAGGGATTAGGCATCAGCGCACTACGGCGTTGGGTACAACCCCTGTTATTCATGGATCTATCCTTAGGCCATTGCTGGATATACCGGTAATTCACAGCATTGGGCTGGTCAATAGCATACTACGTAGCGAGTAATAACGAGCGGACATAATAGTGGCACATCACCATCATATTGTTCACGGAACTCAGGAGTGATCTGTCTTAAGGGGATGCTTTATTCCAGCCTCACAGCTGGCAGCTGTCAAAGCATATCACGTGCCTGTGAGCTACGACGTTCCGCTGACAAATGACGTGATGGCGACCACGACCCCGAAGCTCTCCGAAAGGCAGTGAAAGCATTGCGTGGTTAACACTGCCACCGCCTGTCGACCGTCCACGATGTCTTTGACAAGCTACAACAAGTCTCTCCGTAGACGGCCTCCCTCACGTCGACATGGCATCAACCGATGAGCAAACCCCTTCGAAGGCTTCCACCCCTCCAACCGACATGGCAAACAATGCCTCCGACACGATCCAGCTCACAATAACCCACCACGGGAACCCTCACACCTTCACATTCCCCTCCGACGCCACCATCACCGACCTCTCCAACACGATCACGTCGACACTCTCAATCCCACCCCCAAACCAAAAACTCCTTATCGCGCCCAAAACGGGCCTCCTCCGCCCTCCCTTCAAAGACGCCACCCTCCCGCTCTCCTCCCTCGTCTCCAAAAAGATAACCCTGATGGGTTCGACCGCCACCGAAGTCTCGACGCTCCAATCCGCCGTCACCAAAGCCAGCACCCCGCGCACCTACGGCGGCATCAAGCCGGCCTCGCCCTCGCCCTCGCGCGACCCACGCCGCGCGCAAGAAGACGCCCTCTACACCTTCACCACCCTGCGCCCGCTCCCCTACCTCCCTTACCCAGAGCGCTCGCTCCGCTTCCTCGAGCGCCTGCGCGACGACCCGGGCATCCGCGCCAGCATGCGGCGGCACCGCTTCAGCGTCCCGCTGCTCACGGAGATGAACCCGGCCGAGCACACGACGCACGAGAGCCGGACGCTGGGGCTCAACCGCAACCGCGGCGAGGTGATCGAGCTGCGCCTGCGCACGGATGCGTACGATGGGTATAGGGATTATAAGACTATCAGGAGGACGCTGTGCCACGAGCTAGCGCATAACGTGTGGGGGGAGCACGATCGGAATTTCTGGCTGCTGTGCAGGGAGATTGAGAGGGAGGTCGAGAGGGATGATTGGACGAGGGGCGGGAGGAGTGTGGGCGGGGAGGAGTTTTATGAGCCGAGCGAGGGGGAGGTGCATGATCATGGGGGGTGGACGGGTGGGGAGTTTGTGCTTGGGAGTGGTGGGGCGGAGACGGTTGCGAGTAGTGCGGGTGGGCAGGTTAGTGCCGGGGGGATGAGTAGGAGAGAGGTGTTGGCGAGGGCGGCGGAGGAGAGGGCGAAAGCTGCAAGGCGAGTTGGTGGGCAAGAGGGGGAGGGGGATGGGGCGGCTGGTAGTAAGCAGAGTTGAAGAGGATGCAGAAATCCCAAAGGCTTTTGTGCCACTTTAGAGTTCCATCGAAGAACCTGATGTTAGCATAGCGTGGCGTATTTCTAGATACAGGGCGTTCAAAATAGCGCTAGTTTAAGTCGAGCGGTCAGCTAATCAACGCCTTGTTGCTACAATGTTATCCTCTCTCCATCGCTGATTTTGGTGCATTAAAAGGTCATCCAAGGCGCAAGCAACGCAGATTGTGACACAAAACACTCCGCCTGGGTATCGCTCCACGCCGATGACAAGCAAAGCAACATTATTAGCAAGGAAATCGTCGGGCGCCATGAATCCAGACTGCTTTGGACGCGAAACCCAACCCAAAGCCAACCGCGCTGTAAGAGCAAGTCGAGATACTTCAATTGATGCTCATGACACGTCCTGGAATCGTAGCAAAGGCGGACCGAACACCCTTCCTCTAGACGGTGTTGTGGACGGCCATGTTGGGATCCATGTTCTTATTCTGCGTATTGCGCGTGCGCCAGACATGCAGCGCCGCCATCACAGTCGTAGCCGTGAACAAGAGCCTAAGAATTCCACACATCAGCCCCATCAACCATGTACCCCCCCTCCCCACCAAAACCCTCCTCTCACCACCCCCGATCACACAGGGGAGCAACTCACCACTCAAAAGCGCCAAACACGACCGCCGCCTGCGCAGTCCTGCACCCTCTTCCAAAACAGCTTCCCCAGTTGTCGATCCACACCGCGGCAGCAATAAAGCCCGCGAACCAGAACAGCATGGTGACGGCCTCGACGCCGAGGATGCCGAACTTGTGCGCATACTGCGGGAAGCGCGCGGGCGCGACGATCAGGTAGATGAGGGCTAGCAGCGTCCAGATGGAGGTGAAGAGCAGGAAGCTGATGGACGACGGGGCGCGCGCGCCGGGCACGTCGTAGAGCGAAACGATCCAGGCGCTGCAGCCGAGGACTATTATCGCGAACAGGGCTTGCAGTACGCGCAGGGGGAGGGTATAGTTGAAGGTCATTTTGGTGGATTTCTGGGGGTTGGGAAGGTTGAAGAGTTAGGCTGACTTGTGGATGTCAGCTTGGATGAGTGAGAGGGATGAGCTGGTTTTTGGAGCGACGTCTTCGTTCGTATTTGAGAGATGGAGAGAAGAAGCAGTGGAGCTGGGCAGCAGATAGAAGGCGTTTGAGTGAATCAGCGGGCGCTTACTTGGGGGCGCAGCGCTTTACGGATAACGCGTTCTGTGGAGAGTGAATGAGCTCGTATCGAAACGGTGGCTGGAACGGTGACGCGAGGTCTGGGAGGGCGAGATCGAAAAGGTCCGACGCGTCGGTGATATCTGACACGAATTCTCAACGCGTTGGAGATTCAGGAATGGAATAGAGCAGATAGAGAGTTGCAGCAGCGGCGGGACTTCAGATATCAGAAATGTCAAGCCAGGTCAGCAGGCCTCGCAGCTTATTCATCGACCCTATCATCAGCGCCGCCCCCAAGACTTGTCATACTCAACCCATCCCCAAACGTGACGCGGCAGCAGGTTTCAAGGTCTGTGATCAAGCCTGCCCCCAGCTTGACAGAGCTCTGCCAGCGCCTCTGGGCACCACGCACGCCCCTGCGCGCAAAACAAGTGGCTTGGACACGCCGATCTTCTTCCTTGCGTGGAACACTGCACAAGGCAGAAAGCTCGCTTGGCTGCGCTCACAAATTGCACTGCGGAGAGGGCGCATGATCAGGGCCGGATTGGTCTGCGAGGCCTTGAAAAGTCTCCGCTGGACATGGGGCGCTGAACCCTGTTTACTGAATACGAAGGCTGGTGTCACGATAACGGGCCGTTTGCGACGTCATTGGACTTCTTGAGACCAACGTTAGCGGTGGCGGTGCGTCTGGCTCAGCCTCATGCACCAGCCACGCTTAGCGGTTGATCTTCAAATATCTAAACAGAGCTTCATGCTTGCGTTCTGAACAGATATCGAATGATCTGTATCCTGGCCCACAATGTCTAGCCTCCAGAGTAGTCTGGGCACTGCAGTAGCCTGATTGCCAAAGCGTTCGATGCCTTGGTGAGCGTCACCTCATGCACCTTGATCCTCTTCGAATCGCAAACATTGCCGGTGAAGACAGGCGCATCATCGATTTTTTTGGTATCAGAATTTCTGCGTTGCCCACACCTCACACCACCATCAACGCGTTCTCACTCTCCGTCAGCACCCACAAGCACCTCCAGAACCCCACCGCCCCTGCGACCAGCAAAACATAATACACCACCGTCCACACATTCCCCAGACCAGCTCGCAAAGGCGGACCGCTCCTCGCATCACCACCCCCTTTCCCATCCCCAACATCCGGCGGCCCCATCGGCACGCCCGCCTCAACCTCCAGCTCACCCACCCGTCCCCAAAGTCGCGGCAGCCCCTGCCAATTGCAGAAACTGTGTGCCAAGGTAACAGCGACGACGCTTCCAGTCCTCAGAAACACAAAAGCCGCAAAGAAGCCAAAGACGCTCGTGTACCCGAACTGGAACAGCGAGCGCAGCAGGGCGGGCAGAGCCGGCGTGCCTGGATGCGTGAGTCTGAACTCATAGTAGTGGTGCACGTGCGCGATACCGAAGTACAGCGGGGTCAGAAACACGATGCGCGGCGCTGACTCTCGGGCAAGGATGTGCAGCGGGATGATCAGGCTGCGGAACAGCAGCTCCTCTGTCACGGGCCCGGCGACGAAGTTGCGGTAGCCGATCCAGGAGCCCAGCGTCTCTACTAGGTCGCGGCCCCGGATCCAGTCGCGCCAGCCGCCGTCGACGATGCCGGATTCGTAGAGCGGACCGGCGAAGAGGATGGAGCAGAGGAGGAGCGTTTTGAGGATGTCGAGCGGGCGGAAGGGCCACCAGCCGAGGAGGTGGAGGGTTTGGGATAGAGAGGAGCCATCGTGGGTGCTGGTGATGTAGATGGTGATTAGGGTGCTGAGGAGGCAGGAGAGGGTTACGGCGCGGATGCGGGCGCGGATTACTTGGGGGGTGTCGCGGGAGAGGTAGGGGGAGGGGCGGGTGGTGCGCGAGAGATAGAAGGGAGCGACGTAGAGGACAGTGAATAGTATCTAGGTGTGCGGTTAGCGAGAAGGTGCGCCATTGAGTAAGTTGGTATTGATATGCTATAAATGCCGATGTCTTTTAGAAGAGATGGAGTGTGCGCCAAGAGTAGATATGTTGAAGTCATTGTAGTCGCCGACAGGTCTTCAACTGCCAGTAGTACAATCACCTGGCGCTCCCCCGCAATGCCATGCCCCTCCTCGCGTCATCTTCTCGGGCACCGTGCTTCAATGAGGCGCAGTCAAACGGGTGAAACATGCGAGGCCAACCGTTGTGTACGGAGATGAATGAAACGGGCACCTACAGACAAGGCGGCTGCCAATCGCGACGATATCGCAGGCTCTTTCTTCATGACCATCCTGTAAGGGTATGTCTGGTTCAGAGTGTAGTACAAGATGCTCTTCAGCTAGTTGGTGTCGATATGCAGGGGCTAGGGTTTCGGTCTGAGATTCTGTGAAGCTCGAACCGCCCAGCCAGTCGTTTGCGGCTCAGCAGGCGCTTTGTCGTAGTAGCCCACAGATGGGGCAACAACTCGGCAGGCTCCATCATGGAGATGGCGCTGCAGATACAGCGCGTAGAGCGCAGTGGAACAAATATAAGAAGACGCGACAAGTCGCGTGTGTTTCTGGCTGATCATCCAATCTCTCGAAATACGCAGCCAGCAGTCGCATAACCGCCGAATCAGAAGCGATCAAGCCCCGAGACCCGCTACCGCGCTTTCGAAACCCAGGCCATTGGGACCGTCAGCCAAAACTGCGCCTCCAAGTCCGACTCGCCGCATCGACGCCGCCGACCGTTGGCGGGCGTTAGTGGCCGCCCTCTCCGTGCGTTTAATTAGAACCTCATTTTACCAGAACGCGCTCCTGGACGAGTCGCGTCAGAGAGCCCCGTCTGTGTCTATCGAGTATCGATAGAGGGGCTCAACGCTGACGAGTGCGCAATCCGGCTGGACCGATTGCGCTCTTTCTCTTCTTCCTCACTCTCACCACCCCTCAGGAGCCCCTCCTGTGACTCTCTTTACGTCTTCATTCTTCCGGATTCTTGAGATCGCTCAGTTTGGGTCGAGGGCGAGGTGCGGGTGCTTGACATTGGTCTCTGCATGCAATCATCACTTGCAGAAGCTGATACACCGCTTCTCCTCCTCATCTGCTCTCCTGAGAGTCGACTCTCGAATCCGCTTCCTCTCTTCTGGCTATCATTTTATGCTCTCTACGGGCCAGTAATCACTTGTTTGATATGTACTGGTAGCTTTCTATCACTATATCACGCCATATCTGAGCATCTTCTTGTCTCTCTTTGATAGTCATATACTAGTAATCTTAATTGTCCACGGCCCTCCCCTAATCTAATCATCCTACACTGTCGCCATACGATACACGACATGTCTACATCTGCCAGTGCCGGAGGGTGGCCGGCGTCACCAAAGCGATCACGAGGGTCTTCCAAGTCATCTCCAAAATCTTCACCGAAACGGAAAGCACTGCACGTGCGGTCAAACTCGAGTCTCAACGAACTAAACGGTCCTGGTCCTACCATCCGCATGGTTATTCCCTCAGACACGCACATATATTCAAAATCTCCTTTTCCGAGCAATCCGTCGCAAATCTTCAGGCCACGCAATGCGCCCGCCATCGAGGTGTTCCAAGACGAGGTCTCGGGCGTTTCAGAACCCAAAGTTCCCACCAATGCCGAGGTGGCCAACGCACTGATCCCTGAACCACTACAATCTGATGAATCAAAACGAGCTTCGTCGTCTACGAATGCGTCAGACCCCCCGACCACGGCGGGGAAGTCGCCTTTATCTCCATCGTCCAGTCGCCACTCCGAGACAACCACAGCTCCGTCATCACCTGCGACGTTCAACAATGATAACTGGATCGAAGGGCTGGGCATACTTCACGGGGCAAAACCGGGCGACAGGTCTTCCACGATAAGAGCAGTCATCCCCTCAACTTCAACCATCGCCCACCACCTAATAGCAAGGCCATCGCTAGTAACAAGGCCCTCCGAAAGCTCATTGGCTTCCTCAGCATCTTCCGACACCATAGCATTCCGCAAGCACGAAGATCGCAGGGCTTCCTCGAACCCTACCTTACCTCTCCCTCCACCAATCCCGTCAAAAAGTCAAAGACGTCCTGCTTCCGCTGGTTCCTCTCGTTCTCGCAGTTCGAGGCAGGCTTCGACTACCCCCAAACGAGCCGGCAAAGCGCGCCCCAAGCAGTCATCAGAATCCCTCTTCTCAACCGTGCACTCGTACGAGTCTGAGGAACGTCCTCGATCAGCGTCGACCCCGTCTACGCCTTCAGATGCCGCCATCGGACGTCCCCTTGGTAGAGGTGTTAGATTGCAATACCCGATCGTCAAGCCGCCCTCAGCCAGCGGTTCATGGGCACACTCTCGTGTCCTGCCGAAGAACCCTTCCCGGATGAACGCATACTCGCACCGGCCGCAATGGAGTAGCGCGCTGTCCACGATACCGTCAGAGTCGGATCGCACTTCGCGCAGCTCGCAACACATGCGGAACGTGTCGCAGTCAATACCCGACATCTGGGTGCAAAGCGAACGGCCGCGCAGAAGGGCAACAATAACGAGTACGGCTTCGTCCGGAGCAAATGAAGGATCGCCACTACCCAATGATTCCACGATTTCCATCTCGCAATCTTCTGTCGTAAATACTCAGCTGGCGGAGGGCAGAGACTCAGACGAGCGCCAGGACACAGTGGGCGAACTGCAGTCTCCGCAGCTCAAAGCGCAGCGGTCTGCGAATTTTAGCAGGCACTCGACGGAATCGCGGCCGAGTTCAGGAGGCTCAATCATGTCGGTCATACCAGCTTGGGCTAGGTACGCAGAACACCGCATCCAGCCGCTTTAGCTTTGCTCCAGCCAACTAAAAAGTGCAAGCCAAGCAGAACGAGGGATATACTGACACAACCACAGATCCTACTACAGCCGCGGCGAACACAGCTTCCCCTCGCCCCAGACCAACACCTCCATGACCGACGTCTCGGACTCCCGCCTCGGCACAGCGCAAACGGTGCAGAGTACCGCACCGAGCCGCTCGCCCATCGAATCTAGCTTTCCCCTCAGCATCTTCAACCCGCGGCGGCGACTACGTCAAGCTTCTCTTCCGGAACCGCCGGCCGACACGCCAGCAGTCGTAGAAGTACAAGATGCACCTGTCGAGGAAGAGATTTTCGTGGTTGGTGGCCCGCGCCCTGCGATCTCGGAGCCATTTACCCCGCGCCTGAGTCCGGATCGGAGGAGTAATGCGCGGCTGAGCACTTGGAGGCCGCCGTCGCTGGACGAGGCGCTGGGGAATTTGGTGTTTAGCAGGGCGAATATCCAGATCATGCTGTTTTGCTTTGGATTTATCTTTCCGCTGTGTAAGGCTCCTAACCCCTTTCGACGCCTCATCTTCCGTAAAACGGACTTGCTGACTTGTCGGAAGCTTGGTTAATCGCTGCATTCATACCTCTACCGCCGAAGCCGGAGCGGTCGAAAGAAGCTGCAACGAGCCAGCACGACGTCGAGTGTGCAGTCGACATCAGTCTTGGTCCGTGTGATGTGAAGGGGTATCTGAAAGCCAAATGGTGGCGTAATCTGAATCGGATTATGGCGGTTCTTGGGGTCGCACTTGTAGGAGCTATAGTGAGCTTTTGCTTCTCTGAGCGCACGGATATGAATAGTGCTAACTTTTGACTTCCAGATCGCAGTCGCTGTTGTTGCATCACGAGCCTAAAAGTCGTATCTTACCCACATCTCATGGTTTACGCGTCTATGCTCAAGCTGGAGCACCACACTCCTTTCGAGACGTCTCATTTAGTCTTTTGCATGGAAGTTGACGGGCTCTATTATCTCATGCGTCAAAATGTTTCTAACGCTATCTGGCATGCGTTCGCTCTCTTATGTGCTCCCTCCTCTTTACGATGTCCATGGGTCATGCATCAGTGTTCAGGCGTTTGTCGGTCACCTCGTTTGCTGGTCGCTTTTGATGCAATCTCCATCTGCAGTATCTGAGCGTTTTTGTTTACGTCGTGGATCATTTGTTGTCTGCAGCCTTCAGCTCTGCAGTCCATCCGGGAACACTCGATGAGGTCGTCTTTTTGAGGTACTGTGTACTCGGATTATAATGAGATATCACTAAATCGGCTCAATATCCAAGAGTACAAGTTGGGGCCTTGAGACTAACAGATTCCCATCTGCGGAACAACTGCGCATGATTACGTTCACGTATCTCGACGCGCACGTTCTGCTCAACGGTCTCCGTTCAAATCAATCATTGTGAAGGACTACTTCGCGCCAGTTACACACACACAAAGAGGAACCGGTCAGAAAACCCCCAATGAATCGTGTGCGCTTGTAGTCCGATCTACCACAAAATCAACATCGCACCAAAACGCCCGCTTTTCGACTTTCGAGCCCATTGTCATCAATCGTTCACCCCCCACCAGCCCCCCATCTCCTCATGATTTAAATACCTTCTCCAGCCCGTCGAGCAAAATATCCGCATGATGCCTCTGGAACACCAACATCGGCCTCAACCTAACCGCCCTCTCACCACTGCCCCCGATATTAATCCCCACGCTCTTCGCCTTCTTCAGCACCTCATCGCGTCTCGGACTATCCCACGCGATAAACGTGCCCTGGCCCTTGCCCCTCAAGTTCTTCACCTCGGCCGGATACTGCTGCGCCAGTCTCTCCAGCTCGGCATACAGATACTCGCCCGTGTTGGCAGTGTTCCTTACCAGATCCAGCCTCTCGACCTCCTTGATGATCGCCCTGAAGAGAATCGCGCGCGCCGGGTCCCCCATCCACGTGTTGAACTGGCGGTACGGCTTGTTGGGCCTGAGCTCCGGGTTCCCGAAATAGTACCCCGCCGTCTGCGCCTTCTTGCTGAACGTCACCATGTCCGGCGCGTCGTCGAGGCCCCAGTGCTCGTGCGCCCAGAAGCGGCCGGTCGCGCCGACGCCCGTCTGGACCTCGTCGACGATGAGTAGGATGCCGTGCTTGCGCGTCAGGGCCCGCAGGCCCCGGAAGAAGGCCGGGGTCGCGTGGTTGTCGCCGCCTTCGGACTGGATGGGCTCGATCACGACGGCCGCCGGGGGATGGTGGAAGGTTGTGATGAGGCGCTCGGTCTCGTCGAGGCAGCGTTGTTCCTCCTTGGCGTTCTCTTCGGCGTGGGCTTCGAGGGGGTATTTCAACGCCGGGAAGGGCGCTTGCGGCCAGTCGAAGGCGGGGATGTCGAGTTTGTGGATCGGCTTGCTGCGGGTCGTGCTCAGGGAGCCGAAGAGGCGGCCGTGGAAGGCGGACTTGAAGGAGAGGATGGATAGAGATGGCGCGCCGGGCGCTTGGTTGTTCATCGCAGAGCTCATCTCCTCCGGGGTGAAGTCGACGTCGGCGCCCCCGCGCTCTTGACGCCGCTTCCACATGAAGGCCGCTTTGTAGGCGAGTTCGTTCGCGTCGGAGCCGGACTGCCCGGTGAAGACTTGGTTTAGGCCGCGGGGCGCGACGCTCAGGATTCCGGTCTCCAGGATGTCGGCCCAGTCGTGCGAGGGGAAGTTGCCCAGCGCGGGCCGGTTGATGATCGAGGAGGCCATCTGGGGGGAGGAAGCGGCGAGGAGGAGGGACGGATTGTTGTAGCCCACGGGAATCGAGGCGATCTGGGCGTAGCTGGCTGCTGTGTCAGCCGTGGTGTCTTCAATTGGTCTATGCGCTGTGACTTACACATCGAGCAAGAGGTTGCCGTCTAGATCCGCGAGGCTGGTCTTGGTCAGCCAATGTCTGTCTTTGCGTAGCCAGGATTGTCCCTACTAATTGCCAAAGCTACTCGTGTAGTCCGCCATCATGTTCAAGCTCCTCGTATCAAACACCTTCGTCAGGCGCTTGATGGCTTCCTGGCTCTTCGGGCCCGGTATCTCGGTCTTGATGATTGGCCCTCTGGGCTCATCATCGAAGAATGGCTGCTCGCCCGCATCCGGGACCGCAGCGGCAGCGGCAGCCGACGCCATGTGCCTCGAGGATGCTGCTGCGAAGGCTGGCATTGGGAGCCTCGAGGTCGGTCGGACGATGCTATGGGCAGAAAATAGCCGCATACGGGCCGTTGTGCGGAGGAGGGAGGCCATGATTGATCGAAGTTCACAGTCTACTGTATAGAAAGTGGCGTGAGAACGCCCTGCGTCAAGCGTGCGATTGACGGGTCGACGAGGGTGGAGTGCGCAGTCCGCTCGCTTGGTTTGCTGGCTGTTCAAAGTGTCAACCTCTGGACGAGATTCAAAAAGAGCAGAGAGTGGTTCTTCGAGTGAATTGAGTCGAGGTCAATCGGCGGGGCAGTGTTGATAACCGCCAAAAGCCGTTGCGTGCCACCCGCCGGCGCAGCGCCAAGACACAAGACGCTAGGCCGAATATAGCTATTGGATCCGAGGTGGGTGAGTGAATCCGAGGAAGGCGTTGAAGACATGATAAGCAGCATTACAATGTTGCCATGGCGTGTTCGAATCTGGAGCGATTGAGGTGGCTTGCGGGGGTTGACAGTTACGGTGGTTGAAGAACTTTGCAGCTGCGAAAAATTGGAGGTAAATAGCTGGCCAGCCAGAGTGAGGGCCCCGCTTGCCTCAATGCTCTAGCTACCTGAGATGTGTCATGGTAGTATACCTACAAAGATTCATTGTAACTAGGATCCGCCTCCCTGCTCCCGCCCAAATGCTTCCAACCGGGTATCAACGCCTGGCACACGAACACCCAATCTGGTGCACCGTGGCCCCCGTCCCTGAAAACAAATGCTTACGCCCCATGAGCGCGCCGCATGAAGCTGTAGTATTAGCTCCTAATGATGTAGAGACTATCCCGCGTAGCAGATGCACGTATTACTCGCTGGTCAACCCAAGCTGCCGAAGCCTCTCCGGATTCATGCCCTCGAATCCATGTGATTTCGCCCTCACGTTGCGCTCCTGCTCGTCGGAGCCGTTGGTTGGAGGTGTCGCAAGTTGCATGGGGCTGGGATGACCGTTTAACGCTGGGGAATCTAGATGTTGTTGCTTCGCCATGCTGGCCGCAGGAATCCAATCTCGGTCGTGAGTATCGCCTGCCTCGAGCTTGTAGTCTGAGGCTCCATTGACGGCCTCCAGAGCTTCGTCTGTGAAGGACCCGGATACGTCTGCATCGTTGGTGAATCCAGAGTCATCCACAGCGTCCGGTATGTCTTCCGCTGGAGGCGGAGGTGGAGGGGGCGGCGGAGGAATTTCGGCCTTCAGCTTCTTCGACTGCACGGCATCGTCATCTGCAGGCGATACATCGTTTGCTGACCCCTCTCGTTTCCGTTTGAGTTCTAACGAGCTGGGCGATGGCTCCGATGGCGAATCTGGTTCGATCTTCTCCTCTTCAAGCTCGATGTCCGAGACATCCGCCTTTTCATCCTCCTCAGCCTTGACCTTGGCATTGTCGCTATTGACCTTGATGTCCATAGGTGTCGCAGAAGCTCCTTTAGCTGCTGCCTCCTTAGCCTTTCTCTCAGCCTTCTTCCGGTCGTACTCCTTCTTTTTAGCTGCAGCCTTCTCGAAGAACTCTTTAACGTGCTTCTTGATCTTCTTCTCCTGATCTGAGGTGATCTTTGTAGGGTCTTTGACGCGCTTGTGCTTGAAGTCCGAGTTCGCGATGGTTTTGGTGATCTGTTACCAGCGTGTGAGCGGCGCGCTTGCTGGAAGCTTGAGCACTACTTACCTCCTTGGCGAGCCGCTTCAGGTCGTCTCGGTCAAGCTGTTTCTTGAATTTATTCATCACGTACTGGACGGAGGGAGCCAGCTGACATACGGTCAGTGTTTGTAACAGCCATATGATGAAGGAATCTCACCGTGTTCTCGTAAAGCTTCTTCTGTTTCTCCTCAGGATACAATCTCCACTTATCTTTACGCTCCACCTTCTCCTTCTTTGGTTCTTCCTGCACAGGCTGGGGTGTAGCTGACGCGGACGACTTCTCTTTCGGTGTCGTATTCTGGGTGATGCTGTTGATGATCTCCTGTAGCCTCTGCTCATGCGTAACGACCTTCGGCGGTGGAGGTGGCTGAGCAGCTGGCGCAGTCGGACGTTGCCATGTAACCTGACCGCTTGCGCTGTAATAGTATGTCTGGCCACCATCAGACTTTGCTATGAACCAGCCAGCTGGGAGAGCGTTGAATGGAGCGGGACGAGGACGGTATGGAGGTCGTGGCCCGAAGAATCCGCCTCGCTGTGGCATGTTGCTTCGTGGTCCTGAAGGCGCAGCGGGGCCTCGTGGAGCATCAGGAGAGCGTGATGGCGACTTCGACTTTGACCGGTCCTGCTGGTCGCGTCTTCGGTCGTCACGGGGTGCTACCACCATCGCGGCTGGATCCCGCTTTACTCGTGGAATACGGTAACCGACTTCGAGCTGGCTCCAGATATGAAGGATCTCCTTGGCCTTGGTCTCAACACGCTCATCGCCGCAAGTCGTGAGCTTCTCCACGGTCTCCTCAATCTTGGAGTCTTGGATCTTGTTTCGTGTAATTCGCGGGAACTGGAAAAGGATATCCAAGACCTGCAGGGCAACGTTGAAGTCGTCTATCCACGTCGACAGCGTTGTCTTGAGAATCCGGTAACCATGCATCTTGGTTATGCGGTTACGGACTTGTTCTTCGTCGCAACGCTGAATGCGGCCGAGGAGCTTCACGGCAATCCATTTCTCTTTGCACTGCATGAGCGTGGCCATGACCTTCGTAACACCGGCTTCATCCAGAGCCTTGGGCTGGACGCTGTCGACGTATTCCTCATCGTCCTCGCCTTGCTTCTTCTTGCGGGGCTTCTTGGCCACGGCGAGATCCCATCCATCGCCATCGTCAATACCAAGGGCTTCGATGGTAGTGTTGGAAAGCTTGGTAGCGCGCTCGGTTTGTGTCTTGCCTCCGATAAAGCCGGTGCAGTTCGGTTCGCCGCAGTAGCATGGTTGAGGGTCTGCGCCATACCTGTCGACGTTGTAGTTGAAAACTAGTTCTTCGCCAGCTTTGATGTTGCGCTCGGCAAAGATGCCCATACGCAACTTGTCCCCAACCACCCACTTGTCCACATATGAGTTCGGATTGCAGGAGTGGTTGCAGAACCGACCGAGGTTGCCTTTCTTTGTCGCATCAACAAACTCGCCTTTGCTGAGCGACATAAAGTAGAAGTGCTTAATACCCTCCTCATCGTACTGGTGCATCCGTCGTCGGAACGCCCCTTCATTGATAACCTCGCCAATATATTCGAAGATAAAATCGTGTGCTCGCAGGTCGGTATTGGCGCGCAGTCCATATCCTTTCTTCTCGGTTTTGATGACGGTGACGTTGGCGTACTGCTTTAGCTGGAAGCGTTGGTTCTGGCAGCCGCTGCCACAGCCGCAATCGCCCACACATTCCATTTTCGTCGCGCGGTTGATACAGTCGGAGTCTTCGCCACAGGCATGGTTGGTCTTCGATGCAGAATCTGTAGAGCCGTCAGCTAAGCCAGAATCTTGTGTCAAGCACTAGAGGCGGTCGACGTACCCCACTCCTCAGCGCAGTCGCATTCCAGCGCAGGCTCGGTGGAGCCCAGGTGCTTCGCCGCATAGACGCAATCCGGCAGCACCTGGAAACTGGAAGTGGCCTCTTCGGTCTTGTCTTCCCAGTCAAGGAAAAGTAAAGGCGGCCGTGCGATAATCTTCTGAGATGTGGTTCTTGACAGCTTCGGAGCCTTTCCAGGCTCAAGCTTGAGCGTAACGTCTCCCCCTACCACCTCCTCCTGCTCGCCTTTAACAGGCGACTGAGATGGGCTCTCCTTCTTGACCGGCGATAATGTTTTCGACCGAGCTATGAACTGTGATGCGGTGCCATTAGACGTTGTGGGTTGAGCGTCCATGTTGTGCGATGCCGGCCGTGTCAAGGGCGAGGGCACCTCCGAGGGGCTGTCCGCTTCAATCTTAAGGCCTTTAACTTCTGCCGCAATCGGCGCGACTTGCTTCTCATCACGATCGCTATCCGACATGGTGGGCAATGTTGCAGCAATTAGCGGGGTGGAAGCTGAAGTTGTGATGGAGAATGCGCAAAAGCTGCGGAAGGAGGCACTAAGCGACCCACGAAGACGTCGAAAGTCACTCGACAGCGGCACCCCTTACTACCCACTCGATGTGAATAACGCTCCTCTAGCATGAATCACACGTCGCAGACCCAGATTATAGAAATACGTTCAAACTAGGAAACGACCTGGTGACCGTAGGGAAGTCACTGCAGGTGCAACACTCTACGAGGCGACAGCCGGTGGCCCGCAGCGAGGCTCAACTATGCGGTGGCGGCGCGCGTATTTCTCTGAAGGAACGTCGGGTGCGAACGAGCGGACGGGCTCAGTGGCTGTCGACTGCAGACGCAGTTTGACATAGGAAGAGTGTGGAGCGGAGGATGGCGATGTCGATGCCGCTTGACGAAGTTGGGTCGGCTTCAAGGAATGCGAGAACTTCAGAAGGACGACGTGTTCGTTCTGGGTGCCCGGTTGGCCGTCTTGTAAGGGGAGAGGGCCGAAAGAATGGGTTTCGCTGCTGGCGCAGTTGTCGCAAAGCACAGAATAATGAAAGATGCAATTGCGGCTCTGCAACCTCACCGAAAAGAGTAGCTCTCTCGGCTACAAGAACGCCAAGAGGTGAGCGCAATCAACAATCGGAATTATCAATTGGCCGAGAGAGGTGAATAGTAGAAGTCATTGTTCATGTATTTAGAGCCATCCGCCGCATGATAGTGCCATTCGTGGCCATCCAAGCTGTTGCCGTCAATACATCTACAGGAAGATAGAAAGCGTCAACAAGCTGAAGGAAAAGCGCCGCCTTGGAAGGGTTTTGAGCTGATCAACTGGTTGGTCTCTCAGCAGCGCCGCGGTGGTACAATGAATGGTGTCTGGTGGATTGTCAACAGCTGAGAGACAAAGATGAGACAATGTTTGGGCAGACTTTCACACAGTTCGTGGGGAAAGATGGCTTTGAGATCTCGAGGTGCGCAGTGATCCGACTCAGGCTCCTTGGCGGCATGACTCGCTCAATTCAGATCACGTGCTTATCCCAAACATCAACATCCCGAGGGCCCGACCACCTCCCCAATAAAGATGACCTGCCGCAGATGTCAGCTTCCGATAGTATTACAATCTAAAAGACTGCTGGGGCTTGCAATAGACCCAACAGAGTCCGGCTGTCACTGACTGGATTGTCCCGTCGCGGGACGATATTCCCATTCACGTCCATTTGTGACTCGTTCTACGGCGTTGCTTTCGAACAAGTCATTTCGGAACCACCGACACTAGGCTCCAACATCTAGCTCAGAACGATAGCGCAGACGTCGGGGCCAAGATTATGGAGGGCTTCGAGCGCGGATCTTTCACAACTGCGCGATCCCTCACGTATGCTTACTACTCCTCGACGAACCCAGTCGATGATGACAAGCCCGCCGTCTTACTTCTCCATGGCTTCCCTGATAGTGCCCAGCTCTGGAGCGAGATTGTTACCTACCTGACCGACCTCCCGTACCGGATACTGGTACCAGACATCCTTGGCCACGGCGGGACTTCAAAGCCCACAAATGCCTCAGAATACAATTCCAAGTCCATGGCAGACGACATGGTCGAGCTTCTGGATGCTGAGCATATCAAAAACGTCATAGCCGTCGGCCACGACTGGGGCTCTTTCCTTGCCCAGCGGGTTTACCTATGGCATCCAGATCGCGTTGCAGGCCTGATCCTATTGAATGTTGCGTACATGCCTCCAGACCAGGAGCACCGCTTCGACCTGGACACCATCATGGCCATGTCGGAAGAAATGTGTGGATACCCGCAGCTGGCCTACTGGAAGCTGTTCACCGCTCCAGATGGTGCAGAAACCATTGGCGACCACCTTGAGAGTTTCTGGACCGTAATGCACGGAGATAAGGAAGATTGGATGAAGCGGATGTTCTGCACTCGCGGTGCCATGAGGGAGTACCTCCTTGCCGACGAGCGTGTTGAGCTCAAATGGTATGCGAAGGACCGCAAGTGGAGGGAGCCCTGGATGGAAGTCGTGAAGCGAGACGGGCTCGCGGCTCCACTTAACTGGTACCATGCCATGAAAGACAACCATCAATTCGAGGCCGAGAAGGAGTTGCCAAAGCACCGGTTTCGCGTCAACGTGCCGGTGCTGTTTCTTGGGAGTACGAGGGACGCCGTGTGCTTGACGTCTGCCATCAAGTTCCCGCAGGAGAAGGGGCTGTTGCCAGATCTGGAGGTCAAGGAGATTGAGAGCGGTCATTGGGTGACGATGGAGAAGCCTGAAGAGGTCGGACAAGCGATACTAGGCTTCCTCAAGGCGAGGTTCTAGCGTTAGCCGAGTTGGCGATGGCATGGCTCAAGGATAGCAACAGTCGGATGGGCGATTCCAAGGTGATGAAAGGAGTCCGTGATACTTCCGCTCGAGACCAGAGCTAGCATCAGCGAAAGCGGAACCATGGTACGGCTCTGCACGTAATTGCAGCTTCAGTCGCTTCGTTCCGTATGTTCGTGATTGGAGTAAAATGTGTGGGTCACGCAACGAGGATCAAACCCGATTCGTGTATGCTTCAATATCTCTGAAGGTTGAGAGGAGTCCGCGAGCCTTGTCGGATGACGGGACACATGCACAGTCCAACATGCCGAACCAACCTTAATTCCAGTTGTCCCTATTGAACAACCCCACGCTAGGTGCAGGCATGCATCAGACAGGAACCAAGACGTTGCTTGTCGATTCCTTGGTGCTTGTGGAAAGGCTCACTTTCGAAGCTAGAAAGTACACCGTTGGTGAAGCGCTACGTGTCAATGCGCTTGCTAGAGGCTTAGAGGCTCGCAAGCGCGACAGCGAGGCATGAGCGGTGAGGTGCAGCTCATGGACTGGCTATAAGTAGGCCGCTGCCGACTTCACCGAGCAAGATGCTGCGCCAGAGGTTTCCTTCCAGATCGAGCGCTGAGGGTCGGCGGTTATGTGCCATGTGCCATGTGCCTCAGGCTGCCTGGACATCTGCACGTCTGCACGTCTGCACGTCTGCACGTCTGCACGTTCAAGTGGGCACCCTGGGCCCGAAAACCCTCCGACACTCGACGCATGCGACCGGTCGCAAGCCACCAGGCCGACGACGAGACGAGACGAGACGAGACGTTCCCAGCTGGACGACGAGCCGCGCCCGTCGTATCAGAAATTCTGCTCGTGAAACTGGCGCTTCCGGGCCGTGGTCAAGCCAGCGGGCAAGGTTCCGGTGCTTGCGTCGACGCGAATAGCACGCGTTGCCCTATGCGGGAAGGTCGGCGATCCTAGCACCGTTCGGCCTCGACCAATGCGCGTGCGGGCTGGAGCAGATGCGAAAAAGATACAACGCTACTCCTCCGTACAACGCCCTTCTCAACACACACACACAGCTGCGAGGTCAAAGACCGACGGTCGACTTGCGCGCAGCATGCAGCACGCAGCATGCAGGACCGGCCAGGCGCAAGTCGTCCCTGGTGCTGCCCCAGGTCATCGCCGCGGCTCTCGTCATGTTGAGCCCGCCGTTCCCTCCGCGGCGACGGCGGTAAGCCATGCAGGTAGTGTGCACTAACACTGCAAAACATCCAAGCGTACATGTTCGACCCCTACGTCTGCATAGCAATTTCCTGCACCTCTATTCTGTCCTTTTCCAGCCTCATGGTCGCTCCTCTACCAGACCTCTGCCTGCCGGCATGAGCACCACCGCCAGGCCGGCCGTCTTTACCTTCGTTTCGTCGTTTTGTCCCTTGCCCATCCATCCGTTCGTTTTGTTATTCCACCTTTGTCGCTTTAGGGCGCTGCCCGCACCTGCAGTGACGGCACTGTGTTCGCCTTTCTTCTTAGTTTGTCTTCTTGCATTGGGCTTTAAGTCGGGCGCATTGCCATTCGTTCACTTTTTAATTGCGAGGTGCCGCTGGCAAGACATGGAAGCACACGCAGAAAGGCCCTGGACCGAGCATGAAAAGGTACGTACTTGCGCAAGCCACCACTATCGCAACCTTCGCGCGACTCATCTTTGCGCCTCCAGGTCGAGCTACTGGCCGAGATACTCAAAGCTGGTCCGATACCTTCACATGTGCTACTTGGGATCATCCGAGACTCTGGGATCCAGCTAAGATGGCAGGATATCCCATTGCCGCATGGTATGTCGTCAAAGTGCGGTCTTCAGTACTGTGAGCGCTGTCATCCTGCATCCATGCGCTTATGTAGCCTTGGTGGAACAGCTCGCGCAAATCTTCAGCATGACCCCACAGCTACTGACTCGTCACTGAAGGCCGCTCTATGAGATCTTGTCAAGACGCATTCGACGAAATGGCTCGTGCAGGACAGCAGCCTCCTTTCGACTTTCGCAGACCCCAACCTCTCGCTGGTCCAGTACATCTACCGGCCCCGGAAATCTCGGAACGTCGCCTACTCCCTCCTAACTCTTCGACTAACCTCGGCCGCTTCATACAGCCTCGACCTCCGCATCCGTACCCCCCAGATGTGCTCAACCAGCCGCCGTACATGGGCTCGCCAACGGGCGAAGGCCGTGAGAGGAAGAAACGTGGACGGCCGACAAAAGCAGAAGCTCAGGCTAGAGCAGAGGCAGCAGCTGCACGGGGGGAAACTTATCCACCACCAGCGAAGCGGTCAAAAACTGGACGTTCGTCTTCGGGAGCTGCCGAAGGAGGGCCCATGCCTATGACACCCGGTTCGGCGCCGCCTATCGCGCCCCTAACGACGCCGCCTCGAGCGAGGGGCGTCCACGCGCCTTCTGAGACACCGAGTACTGGAAGACGCAAGCGTGGCAGACCATCAAAGACGACGAAACCCGAGGAGCAGGAGGAGCAGGGGCTATCGCAAAGCCAAGGAAGCAGTGGTGGGCTCGGGCCACCTTATATGGAAACTACGCCATCGGGGCCGAGCGACAGGCCTGGATACGCCCGGCCGCATCCTATAGGTCCGCTCGCTCATCCAGCTGTACTGGAACACCGTGAGCAGGAACCGCGAATGGAAGGAACAGAGGAATTTCAACATCGAACCACAACGCCACACTCGTTCAAAGACACGGTCGGGATATGACACGACTGAAGCAAATGAAGCACAGCGGGAGGTCTTCTCTTTTAGCGCGCATATCAAAAGTCTGACATGCAGTCATGATAACGGTCTCACGACACCTCGACGCTTCATGGAAGGTATGCATTGTTGCTTCCAGCGCTCTTCGTACACGCGACATCTCTTATAGCATCGCTTTCTTTCCTATTTCACGTTTGTTTTGATGGCTGCCTCGATTCTATCACGGCTGATGTCACGGCATAACGCTTCTAATGTGTACGCATAGCATCCTGAGCTTTCCTTCAATCTCACTGTCCACAATTTTCATTACCACTTGCTATCTGTACGACTAGCATACGATTCCTATATTTTCATTACGTATCGCTCAGTTCAGCCGGGTACATAGCGTAGTTGACATATAAGACTCCACGATGACCTTACTACTCTTCTCCTCCGCAAAGCGAGATTCCGGCGCTTAGCAGATGATCAACCCGATGATGCAACTACCCGCTGCAGCGTCTGTTGGAAATTCGCTGACCTAGATACACCGCGTACGCATCGGGCGACGGAGAATTGACACTAATGTTGCACGACATCCCGCTAAATCAGTCACGCTCCGCCGCTCTCCAGCTAGCGATAAACGTCTACGCGAATCATGACCGTCATTTCGTGTCAACCTCTTTCGATGCTGTCCCGAGCTATCTATCTTCACTCACCGACTTTTACATGCACCACAAGAGATATGGCTCCTGTGGTCAACTGACCGACAAGGCTCTAAGCACTTTCGCCAACATCAGACCCTCCGACCAACTCAGGATGCACTGAGGGGATTTCACTACTCTGGCAGTTATCACGCCATCGCGGTCGTCGAAAATGGTTTCAAAATCCCATCTCCATCACATCCAATATTTCTTTCGTAGGGAAGCCTCTTGCACAATCGGCAAGCGATCACTACGCTTTCCAGTCGGGTACCCGGCCGTCTATACACCCAAAGATGCGCGTGTCCATCATGTTGCAAGACGCCAATCACATGCACACATAGGTGTGATCCCTCGAAACCACGTATGAGAGTGTACTACTATCGCGCATTTTCAACAGCCACGTCGCTGGACGCTAGTTCGTTAGTTTGCTCGACTGAGGCCATCGCTTCGGTGTATCTGCGTCAATTGATCACCATTGGGGAACAAGCAACCCGGCAGAGGCGTCTTGCTCCTCGGGAAGACCTTTGCGCATATACCCAGGCTAGACGAATCTCCCTGGGCCAAATCGTGCAGGCTATTAGGCAGGCAAGAATCTACAGACCACCACAGCAGCTACAGAGCACGAAGTCTAGCCTACTTCCACCTCCTCATGAGAGATGACCGATTAGACTCTGTGCCCCAACACTGTAACGCGCTGAACCCCGAAGTCGTTCAACCGATAGGCAAGTCAACAGCATGTCTTGTTTTCATGATGCTCACCCAACTTGTCAGGATACACTATCATGAAGCCAAAACTTCCACTATTGCAAGCAGCTGCAGCAAGTTAATAAAGTTTACCTGCCTCAGAACATCTATGACACGTCTCAGCTGCGGTGTTCTGGCCTTGTCATCGTACGGCATTCGGAGTCTGCCCATCATGAAGTCCTCGCAGCCCTTTGCCAGTATATGTACCGTCGGCTCTGCGTGTGCATCATCTTCAATATGACACCGCGATCCATAACGTTAGTGGATAACGATGACGCCACCACCCCTGCAACATGGCTTCTCCGTGCGACCAGTCGACGGCAGTTTCGATGTAAGAGTCTCTCATCACGTGTTATTGGCTGTGTTTCCAAATCGTGTCCTTCTTTGATTGCGCAAGTACGCAGAACCTCGTCAATCACTACGGTCCAAAATCCGGTTAAGAGTCCATGACGGCGCAAGACTGGTCCTTTGTTCAGAGTCTCTGGCATACTGTGCGGGTCGACTCAGATGCTACACTTGTCTTAGTTTATTAGCACGGATGAAGTTTCTAAATAAACGCGAGACAGGCCCACCAACCAGTGGAACCCTTGCATCCAAGACTGAAGAGTAAGACACACCACAATGCTATCATACTGTGCAAGACGCTCTCCCAGAGAAACACACTGACACAGCTTCCGCACCTCCTCACCGCACCCACGACCGGCAAAGGGAGTACAAGATCCCACTGCCCTCTCCCAAAACTCGTTATACACTCAACAACCGATCGACTTCTCATTACATCAAAACCTCAATACAACGTACCAGCATATCAACCTCAACACCCATCAGCATCATCAGCACCAACCACGCCAACCATCCACGGCTCCACCACTAAAGCACGTGCCGCTACTGGAAAACCCGCAGCTGCAACGGCACGATCAAGGTGCGCAAGATCGACTGTCGCCTGCCATACTGTCGGCGCTCCTACGCTTACCAGTCCTCGCCACCGAATAGCTTCGGCGATAGTGAGGGAGAGGAGAAGCCGTGGGGCGGGCGGAAGAAAGGAAGGAAGGAGGGGAAGTAGGGGATAGCGGTCGGTGAGGATTATGGAGGTGAGAGATGTAGTTATGGCGGATTGAGTTTTGGGGTTTGATTTTTGAGCTTCGGTTCTAGGGGGTTGATATTGAGGGTGTTGGGTGTTGGTGCAACTCTTACGGAATATTCTTAACCATTTGGAGGACGTCTGCAATGAATGCTGTTCTGTGCGACGTGATTCGTGGTTCGTCTTGAGCGTTGACCCTCAGCTGGGTGAGAGACAGCTCCTGTTCCCAACGGTATCAATGTGCCCGATCTCAGATCGTTGGACAAGCAAAGATCGCGCAATATCGAATACCGTTTCGTGTGACGTAAACCCCGACATCTCCGTTTTCTGCAATAATGGTAAACCAGCAAAAAAGCCACCCTGTCGTACGTCAGAATGCAAGACTCGCTGCCACAGGACTGCCCCACCCCCAATCCCAGAAAACTCCCACTGAACATGCCCAGCGCTAATGAGCAGAACCGCAACGTTGCCAGATCCCGCCTCCACATTCAGCTCAACTCTCCAAGGAAACCTAAACACCGTCAGGCCCCCTACAAACCATACTTGGCACTCCCCCACACCCCACACTCTCAAAACACATCATCCGGCCACTCAAACTCCTCCCTTACCAGCTCCAGCCCCTGCGGCATGGTCGGCAGCGGCAGCACCTCTCCTCCATCCGGCACCAGCTCTACAACGTCCTCCTCCTCGATCTGCCCATTCAAGTAGCCGTTTCCTGGAGGCGGAGACACAGAGCGTCCGCGTCCATCCTTGCTCGGCTCCCGGCTCCTGCTCCTCGCGCGATGCTTACTCGGATGCGAGGGCGTCGCAAACGCCGTCGGCTTCTTCGGAACGTCGTTGATCGCGATGGTGGTTATTGTGGTCGTTACGGTTGTCTCTTCCTCCACGGTCGTGAGTTCGAGGCTTGTGCGCGTGGGAGAGGACTGGACCGCTGGCTCAGGGTCCTCGAAGATCTGCGCCTGCAGCGAAGTTGTCCTAGTAGCGAAGGCGGAAGAAGCCGGCACAGATTCGCGCTTCTTTTTGCTTTTGGGGCTCGATTTGGCGGTGGTCTTGGCGGTTGCGCGCTTCTTCTTCGGGGTCGAGGCGGCCTCCCATTCGGCGTCGTCTTCGGGCTCTGCGGATGCTTTGTAGGTGAGGTCGCTCTTGTTGCCGCTTTTGCGCTTCTTGCTGGCCTTGGGAGGAGCTGCTCGGGACTTTGGGGCAGGTTCTATGTCTGCAGTCCAGATATCACTTGGTTGCGCGTCTTGCGAGGCCGGAGGGTTAGTAGTTGCTGGCTTGATAGACACTGGTGGCGTAGACAACTCGGGAACCACCGCTTCTTGAACGGAGTGCTCAACACGGCTGGTGCCATGGCCTTCAGGGCTTCTCTCCACCTCCAGAAGCTCTGGGAAGAGGATCCGCTCAGAAGGCAACGATGGAAGCTGCCCAGGAACAAAGGCTTTTTTGAACGGAGAGTTGCTACGTGATCTATACGCATGATCGAGCGTTGGCTTGGGCGGTAAGGCTGGTAATGGATGAGCTTCACCAAGCGCGAGATTCAGTTGAAGGCGAGCTTCCGACAGTTTCGCCTCGAGGTCGCTGACGCGCTTGTTGAGCTTCTGCTGCTTTTGAAGATCCTTCTTTGATTTCGCCTTGCGGAGTGACTGGTGTTCTTCTATAGCCCTTTCCGGCGAAAGCGATGAAGAGCCTGATTGCTTGTGGCCAAGATGAGCTTCAGAACGGACCTTCTTAAGATTCGTGAGCGATGGAGATTTGAAGCCAAACAGTGGTCCCCGGTTCGCGGTACGGTCTGCCGTGTCTTGCGGTCCCAGTATTCTTGCCACTCGGTGGCTCTCCTTGGTCTCAGTGGAGGATCGAGCATCGTCAATCTGAATGGCTGAATCTCGGAATGTGCCAGTGGTATTCTCTTTTCCCGTCGAGCTGGTGTAACCCGCGGCATAGATCTTCGCATTGCGAGGCATTGTCTGAGTGCCTAGAGCACCAAGCTGTCCAGTCCGTTTGAGCTCAGCATAAGTTTCCTCTGCCATCGCCTGCCTCTCCCGAAACTGCTTCTCGCGCTCCTCCTCAATCGCCTCCTGTATCAGTTCCTCCCGAGACTCTCTCCAATTGTTTTGTACGCTACGCCAAAGGTTGACTGGGTTAAACGACGAAGCGATCGATCTACCGAAACGGAAGATGCCAGACTGCTTGCTGTCCGCGGTGGCGGTAGTGGAGATCGAGTGGTTCGGATGATGCGTCAAGCCCTTTCGCTGGGTTGCCTTCTCTCCATGTTTGGAGGATGATGATCCGCCCGAATTGTCTATGTAATCATCCATGAGGTGCTCAACCGTTGCATCTCGCGCCGTAGTCGGGAAGAGACGCGTGAAGACGCTAGGCGGCTTGTCGCTTGCTCTGTCATGCATGCTTCCTTCTTGGAACTTAGAGGGCCGTCCTGGCCTTGAGAAGTTACGGCTACTGGTAGATGCATACAGCTCTTCAGACGCGCGGTGAGACGACTTGGAATGTGAGTAGCGGCTCCTCTTGGATGCGTGAGCTTCGGCTTTCAGTGTTTGACCCTCGTTGTGTGTGCCATTGCCCTCCTCGTATGAGCTGCGGCCTCGCTTTGGCGTTCGGCTGTGTTCGTCGACTAGTGTGTCTAGATCTTTCGCCAACGGTCCAGCAGGACTTATGGTGGTCTTGCTTGCGCATACCGCTTTTGCCAAATGCACCTATATATGGTCAGGAGTTAGCTTCATGCCTCCAATCGCTTGAGCGTTGCCAGGGAAGATACGAACCTGCGATTCTGACGCAGATATAGACATTTTGGTCATTGCAGCTACTGGATCCTCCGAATTGCTATGTACATGAAGGTGTAGAGCGTTGGTTTGTGTTCACTCAGAACTGAGTAGGTTAAGAGTGCGCGGCACAGGTGTTAGATATGTCCTGGGCAGTGACCGATCGAAAGCACGAGACGAAAAGAAAATTGTGAAGGCCGTCAAATTATGATGCAAGATCCATGACCAAGGGAACAATTGCCCAATTACGGGAGCGAAATGAAGTCCGGATTGTTTGTGATGAGGGGCGGCGGCCAAGTTGGCGAGGTGAAGCACCCGAAGAGCGCGAAGTCACGTGCACCGAATGGGCTAGGGGAACCACACTCTTACACACTCTTACACACTTAGTCAAGCGTTCATGAATATCTATTGTGAAGGAAAGAGGCCTCGTAGTGTTTGACAGCTACAAACGCTGTTGTAGAGAAAGAACATTCTCCTGAAGGCAGATACAAAGGTTTTCTGAGCGGTTGGCCCTAGAAAGCTTCAATCTTTTGATAGCGAATAGCGCCGTCATGGTTGGTAGTGTTTTCCTTCCTATAGCTAGCGACACGATAACGTTGACGACTGCATGAAGTTGAGATGCATATAAGAAATAATGCCGAATCTTGCCGTCGCTCATAACTTATGATATACAAACAGCTAGATCTGAGACCGGCTAAACCCTATGATCCCTGCGGCAATCGTAGAGCTTTCCCTGTAGAACACGAAAATATGCATGTGTACAGAAGGGGTAGGAAGTTGCAGAAAGCGCTGAGTGCTGATCCTATTTCGAGGTCTTTTCTGATCCAAGGATCACTTCTTTGAATCCTTCCCCGAGTCTTTCTCTGAATTCTTGTTGTTGTTGTTGTTGTTCTTCGCCTTGGAATTCTTGCCCTCCTTGGCATCTTTCTCCTCCTGCTCCTTAACTTGCTGGTCTCGCTCCTTCAACTTTTGCTCCTCAGCCGCGACCATATCTGTGGCAAGTCAGCAGGTTACGCACAGCGACATGATTGTAGTCCGTAAGTAAGGGGCAGCATACCCATCCACTGATCCTCACCCGCATACCGCTCGTGGTGTATCTTCTTCTCAATTATATGCTTGTGTGTCGGGTCATTCGGATCCAGATATCTGACGGTCTCCCACCTCCCAGCACCCTTACCCGCATCGCTGGCCTCGAACGCGAAACTGCACAGTAGTACCGCTAGCGTGAGACCCTGTGCGTATACACGAGCCTGTACGAGCTTCTGCTGGCCGGTCAAGTACGGGTTCCGCGAAACGATTCCGAACGACGCGCCCATAGACAACACCCACGCTCCGAAGATAATTGGATATCGATTCTCCTTGGCCCAGTCCGTGATCTGCTGCGTCAAGGGCTTTTGCCTTTCGATCTGCCGCTCTGTCGTCTGAGCTTCATCTTTGTAACGCTTTTGGGGGTTGCGTTGGGCTTCGTAGCCTCTGGAGGCGCGGTCGGCTGTGATGATGGCTATAGGTGAAAAAGGTTCAGGTCAGCAAATGTTCTTCGCTGAGCCTGATAGGTAAGCTCTGGGGTCCGACGGGAGCTGTACCGGCAAATGTTCCTGATGATGCGACGAGGAAAGCTCGGAATGGCACTGTGAGCTGGCGGAACATATGGGATCGTGCGCTTGCTGCGTAGACTCCTAGACCGCCGACGGCGACACCAGCGAGGCCGCCGAGAAGGCCGCCTTGGACCGTCGCACTGTGATGGACTCATTAGCTATGCTCTGTGATGGAAGCTTTGCTATTCGAGCCATTGGCGATAGATTGATAGCTCCTCTTAGCCTTGGATGTCGAGTGACCTACTTGTAATGCGCCTGCTCCTCCTCCTTCGTAAGAATCTTCATGGTGGAAGACGAGGCGTAAGATTGATGAATGGATATAGCAGCTACTGCGAAGATAAGAACTTGCAAAGCCGAAGAGGAATACTGGCTATCCGTAGCGTTGATTGAACCTGCGGCGAGAGCTCCACTCCCGCCTTGCGATGTTGTGACGTCGGCGCCTGAGAGCTGCCGATCGTCCGTCCTACCAGAGTCAACTCAGACCTCGGGTGAATCCAGGACATTTGACGACTCTCTTCGAGCGATCAAGTATATAGGGCACTGTATCCTATATTGATCCAGTATTGATTTGTTGTATAATAGGGGAAGAGAGGAGCAACTGAAAGTAATCTCGTTTAAGATTCAAAGTTTGATTCTTATAGTTAGCACACTGAGGCAGAAGATATATTAAGTATCGTTAAAGACCGAAAACGTTACGCCTTCCTATCGAACAGAAAAGTCTTCGAAAGACCATACGCCAGCTTCGCCTTTGCCAAGTGCTCTTGTACAAAGTCTTCCCCAAGCCTAGTTCTGTACCATTATCTGGAATATGTCCCTCAGGCCCTCCACCGGGTGGAAGGTTATAGGCTCCCGGTACAGTTCTAAGGCTATCTTTAAAGAAGCATGGAACTCCTCGTTAGAACGCTGACCCGAACGAGGAGCAGCTACCCAAACAGTCAAATGGGTCGTGTTGGTGCTAACGACGGTAGGGTTCTGTTGTAAGTCAATTTCGGCATGCGTCTACAGTTCCGCGATTCCTGTTTTGAAAGATGCGATAAACTCCAGTCACCTTATCTCTATCTCTAGCTGTCATACCAAATACGAGAGCGAAGACAAGTGCCTGACATGCAACGGTTGTGCATTTTTGCCGTGGCAGGAAGACTCCTCCGGCAAGATGCCATCTTATCACAGATTACAGAGCTTCGCTGGCCGGTTCGAGGATCCCCTTTTAGAGTTGTTCCACATTTGCTTTCGTAGCGGGCAGCAATGTGCCCAAACAATAGATATACCAGAGATCCTGCGATCGTCTCCCACTAATTCGCCGCTACCGACGCCGCCATAACAATATGCAATAGTAAGGCGGAATAGACGCTCAACCGGGACCTGCAGCATATAAACAACCTGAAAATCACCGTAACAACTGCCAGTCCCCAGCTATACTCAGTCCTAAATGATGCAAGCACCACTCCTGCTTCGCCAGCAACCGGCCACCTAACACACCCCATTACCTTCATCCCCTCGTCCCCTCATCCCTTCCTCACCACCCCTCCAACTGCACTTGTCCCTCCTGCTCCTCCTCCTCCCTCATCTCCACAAACCCCTCCGCCGCGACCCTCTCCCCCATCCTCTCCAACTCCCTCCTAAAAAAGTCATCCTCCCCCCCAACAAGCCCCCTCCCCGCGCCCACCTGCTGCGGATACCGTCTCAGATGTCCCCAGTGCACCAGCGCCCTCCCCGCCTGTTCAACCCCCAAACTCTCATCAACCTCACCATCCACATCCCCGCCCGTCAACCACTCCTCCCTTAGTTCAGGCCTTACATGCAGATACACAGCCGTGATGACGCGCATATTCCCCTGCCGCCACTTCCGTCCGCAGTACGGGACCTGGTTCTTGAACAGCTTGAGGGCGTAGAGGCGGAGTGTTGGTTGCGGAATCCTCAGGCATTTCTTCAGATAAATACTACTCTTGTACTGAACCAACAGTAAATTACGATGCGCTTTGCGCTTGCAGATCTTCTGCAGGATGCGGAGGGTGTTGATTGACGTGAAGAAGGAGCGCCAGCTGTAGGTCGTTATGGGCGCTTGCGGGAGCTCGGTGATGGGGAAGCCGAGCTCGTCGACTTCGGGGGGCGCGGAGGAAGTCGAGGTCGTGCGGCGGGGGGAGGTGGGGGAGGTGGAGCGCGGCGGGGAGCGGTGGCGTTTTATGATTGGTGGGGGGGCGGCTTCGTCGGAGGAGGATGAGGAGGCGGAGGAGGGGGAAGAGGGGGGTTGAGAGGGGGTGCCATGGCGGGAGTGGGAGAGGCAGAAGTTGAAGAAGCTTGCAAAGGTTAGCTCGAGGGGATTTAAGGACCCTGGTAGTAGAGAGGGCCACGTACTTGAGATCTTCGCGGTCACAGCGGTAGTTGATGGCCTTCTCGAGTTCTTGTGTCTGCAGAAGCTTGAGGATGAGGGGGATGTAGTTCGAGTCGACGAGCAGTTGCGTCAGGTATTCGAATTTGAGTATGTCTAGCGGGAGTTAGCTTTCCTTTCCCTGGAATTAGTATTTATGGTTGACTTACGATTCACCTTGAACCATTTGAGCAGCAAAACCATGATGCCAGTGACGGCTTTCATCATGATCTCTTCCTGCCGCACGGCGTCCACTTTTGCCGTTGCGGTGTCAGAGTCTATCGGAGACCTGCCGTTTCCGTTCATTTCAGGGTTGCCGGCACCGTTACCATTGAGGTTCTCCTGGAACTGAAAGTTGCTCTGAAGCCCGTTCTGTCCATTCTCCGTGAACAGCCGCGTGACATGCGCCAAGATGATCCGCATCAATACGATGACAACAGACTGGAGGTGAGGAAGAGACTTCTTCTGTTGGATCTGTCAGCATCTCATGTCAACACAAAGCAACGACGGACCGTACGTAGAATAGCTCAACTGCCCTCAACCGTGCATCAACGTCCGGATCCGCACTAAACGCCGGCTCTTGACTTGTTCCCTCGGTCCCCTTCGGACTAACCGGCCTTTCCTCGAGCTCAAACGCATCCACATCCCCATCATTCCCCGGCCCCGTCCAACCACGCTCATACCGCATGAATTGGACCCTCTCTTCCCAGAGCTGCTTCATCGCCCTTGTCGCACGCATCCTCTTCGCAAACAGCTCCGCCGCCTCCAGGATACTCGCCGGGATATCCGCGCCCTCCCACTTCCGCCCCACAAGCACGTCCTGCAGGTCTGTGGTGCCTTTGCCGCCGAGATTGTTGCTCGACGCGTCGAGCGGGGGGTAGAGAAAGGGGAAGAGCTGGTTAGTCTGGTAGTTTTGCTTCTTGCCGCCTTTGCCGCCTGGCCCGGCAGGCGAGGGCGGGGGAGAGGGTGCGGGCGTGGCGATGTGGACGGGTTGGTGGAGGATGGAGACGCCACTGCCGTTGAGGTTGGCCAGGCCGGCGCTGAAGGTGCTTGACTGGGACGTCTTCCGTGAATGATTCTTGAGCGGTGGCAGAATGGAATTGCTTTCGGGTTCCAGGGGAAAGAGTGGCGGTGGTGGGTTGTATGCCGGGTACTTGGAGCTGATCTCTTGACGGAAAACATGGTAGTCCAAAGGTGAAGCTGTTATAAGTGGCTGGCCACGCTTGTCGGCTGTCTCCAGCGTCTCGTCTACAAAGGAGGCTTTGGCCTTGTCGACCTCGGGTATACCACCGAAAGATACCAGGGTAGCCTTCCATGTGAGAAGGACGAGCTGAGGAACTGTCAGTACGTAACAATGTGTCTGGGCAGTTGACATTTACTTTATTCAGAGGAAGCCCCAGTGATTCATCCCAGCGTAACCGCGCAACAAGCTCAGTCAACGTGATCAAAAGATTTGGTTCAAGCGTTGCTGCACCAGTCAGGAAACACACTCTTGAAGTGGGGAAGATCAAGTATACATACTAATCTGCTTCGATATCGCAATATCTGACTCGTCTCCGTTTGTCCTTGCAACTTCGAGTATGGCATACATCAGAGTGAGAGCACACCACATTTCGCGCCGCTCGGCTTCCGCTCCCTCAGCAGACGCGCTCTGTACTGTGTTATCTGTAAGACTGGACTTCCGAGTCAGTATTATAATAGAGCTTTAGTGAACGAGGCCGCATACCTACCATGCTCTCGCCAATGCCGCCCGCATGAGATCATAAATCGGTCGTATGCCATTGCAGTCACATACCATCTGAACATTCCTCTTCACCCACTCGATCTGCACCGCCGATTTCGCATACGTCGAGTCCGCATCCGCCGTCTCGTCGGTCCGCGCCTCCGCACCCGCTGTCGACGATTCTTGAGCCGCTGGATCCTCAAGCCCAGCAGTCTCACCCCACGCCCCCAACGCCAGATACACAAGCGCCTCCAAACACCTCAGCCTCTCCGCGGCATCCTCCTCCCTGCCTGTCCCCTCCACCAGCACCTCCACAAACTCCCTCCTCTTCCCCTCATCCACCTCAACCCACTCCTCGCCCTGCCCTCGCTCCCCCCATACGTCTCCCCACACGTCCCCCCACGACCCCTGCGCCTTCAGCAACATCGCCCCCTCCTCGACCCCATACCCAAACCACTCCTCCACCTCCTCCGGTAAGCCCTGCGCGTCCGCGTACTCGAACGCGTACGGCGTCGGCTCGATCCGCGGGAACTCTGTGACGAGCTTGCGCAGCTGCATCAGGCTGAGCGAGTCTTCTGGGTTTCCCGGTCCCATGTTTCCCTGCCCTATACTCCCCGGCTCGCCTCTCAAGCTTCCTGCTCCTGATAGTAGTGCGCCAGAAGGCCCACCCCTCTCCATACCTGACGCAGGGCCAATTTGCTGGGTACTCGACGGCCCCGGCGGCGCAGCTGCAGGCGGAAACTGCTTCGGCTGACCGGTTCCGGTAAAAGGGACAGACTTGTCTCTCCGCAGCATCGGCCTTGCAGGCAGCGCGACGCTGTCTTTCTGAGGAGCGGGCCGAGTGCTTACGCCGTCGAGGTTGTGGAGGTTGGCGGTGTCCATGCCTGGTTGGATGGCTGGCTCGGTTGTGGAGGGGATGGTGGAGGCGGAGGAGAGGGGGATCTCGACGGCGGAGGGGGAGAAGGCATCGCCGTCAGAGGGCGTAGTGGGTAAGGACGACATGGAAGGGGGCGCTGGGGTGTCTTCTGGGGAGCTCATGGTGAGAGGGTTTGGGGCGTGTTCGGTATGCGGATGAGGTGTGTTCTGAGCCCTTGGTGGAGGAGCTGGGCCTGGATAGGGAAGTTACATTCGCATCATGAGTAGCTCTTTCTCAGTCTACGCTGAGGACTGAAGGATCAGTACGAGACATGACTGTCACTGATGTCTACGGCTGTCAAAGTCACACCCAAGCTATCAGCTCGTCGACATTGGCCCGACGATCTCCCGGTGGCATGCGGCCCTATTTTAGCCCGCCGCAGGGTCCATTGAGGCTCAAGCGCTCATGCGCGGCAGGTAGAAAAGTCGGGAAGTTAAGAGTTTGAAGACAGCACGTTAGTCCTCATATCATGTCATGTCATTCTGCCGGGGCTATGTACATCTGCGTGAAGCATTACCAGCTTCCATGGAGAGACAAGAAGCCTCCTGCAAATTAAACCCCGTAGCCACATCCACCAACCAATCAACGCAATAGCACGCTTTGCAAATGCAGAGGGCTCGAAGCAGGACCAGAGAGTGTGAGCGAGGTGTGAAGGTGAGGCTTTCGATGAGCAAAGATTGTGATCCGTCTACGAATCGCCTTCGTCATCCGGCTGGTCGAACAAGAAATTTGCCGCCAACTCTTCGTTCTTGTCACACGCAAAGTACGCCTGAATGACCTGATCCCGCTCAAAGCCAAGGCGGCAAAGCTGTATGCCGTTAGTCCGGTCCATGCAGGTATTATCTGGAACAACTTGCCCTCTCAATAGCTTCCCGCTCCTCTTCGGTCACGCTTATGGTCTGCGCCGGAAGTCGTGTATCCTCATCGCCTTCCTCGCTCAGCAGCTGTAGGAATTGCTCAGGATGGCTGGCGATCATCTGGGCCAACGCGGGGTTGCCCGCTCCAACTTGCTGGAGGATCGGCTCAAGCATTTGCGGCTGCTGCTGCACGACTTGCCGAAGCTGTTGAAACTCTCGGTTATTCCTGAGAAACTCAAGGTTCCCAGCTCCAAGCGCAGCTCCCGCTGCCGCTCCCGCTGCAGCACCGGCATTTGCTGCTGCGGCACCGCTCCGTGCGCCAGTGGCTCCGCGTCCACCTCGTCCGGCTTGTGCGGCGGCTTCGAAAAGGTTCAGTGGCGCATCACCACCAGATGCAGGTTGAGCGGTAGCACCAGCACCGGCCGCTGCGGGTGGAGATGTGGCGGCGGCTGCCGGCGGAGCTTGAGGAGGATTCTGATCACGAAGAGCGCTCTCGGGTATGCCCTATCACTCGCAATTAGTCTCGAGCTGTCAAATGTGTTGCAGCGATTACAAACCGTCAGAAGGTATTCAACAGCGCGATCGGGATTGAAGAAGGCCGCACGCATCGCGCGGTCTATATCCGCTCTAGCGAAGCCCATGCTCTCCATGTTGGCAATGGCGGCTTCCCGCTCTGAGCCCATTGTCAGCGTAGAGGGGTCGTCAAACCGAGCGCTTCCAGTAGTCTGCGGTGCTGCCGCCGGAGCGGGTGATGGAGTAGCGGGAGCATCCGCGGTTGCTGGAGCGGGCGCAGGCGGTGGTGCTGCGGGTGTTGAAGGGGCTTGAGCTGTTGCCGGCGCAGGAGTCGAGGGCGTTGCTTTGCTGGCTGGAGATGGCGCAGTTTTGGGCTACGTGATAGTGAGCGGGGTGCCTCCGTTCGCATCGCTGTCCTCAACAAACCTTCTGGACCATGCATACTATGAAGCCCTTCTCTTCGATGTTGTATGACTCGACCGTGTTCGCATCTTGCAGGATCTTGCCTGTGTTCCGATAGCGGCGGTCAGCGACTCGATGGTGAACACATTAAACGGCACAGTGGCAGGGCCCGCGTACCTGAGTAGATGAGCTTTTGTAGCGATGGCTCCCAGCCTTTCTCTGCAGATATCTTCGCCTTAACGTCCCCAATCTGCGCAACCTTTAGTTTCTGGCCCTTGACGCTCGGGTATCACGCTTAGTAGAAGTTGGCCGCATACCGTCTCGGAGGGCTCGGCCTCGATAACGAACTTCTGTTGCTTGAGATCCTGCAAGAAGAAGCGGCAATTAGAGCTATGCTTCACAGCGCATCGGAGGCGGGGCAGCCTACCTTGAACGTAAGTTTCATCTTGGTCGTGTTGCAGTTGGTACACTATCGGTGGTGGTGTAAGTCAGTTGAAGGAAGGATATGGCGGTTCGGAAGATGCTGATGGTTTAGGCTTCTGCACAAGCTTAGAGTTGAATGTCACAGTCGAGGCGGGCAGCTGTCAGTGAAGCAGCTACGCCCTTTCATCCACTGACTGAGCGTCGACGCCACTACCGGAAGATTGGTTTGGCCATGCCGCCGCTCTCTCCGGCCAGATCATCAGGCATTATCATGTGATCGGAGTCACGTGACTATACTGTGCCTCAGGCTCCTTCGAGGCCGGCAACAAATCTCCGCTCCCTGACCGCGTTGGATCTTCACGCAATTTCCGAACCGCTGTCCTCGCGCTCGTTCACGAGTGCCAGGTTGACTGTCTCCACCAGCCCGGGAAGAGGACTATTGCGCGATGCTCTAGCCTTTCCGTATCGCAGAACCGACATGCCACAAACTGCGCGGCAATGGGAAGGCACAGACAGTGCTGGTATAACACAATGCATCTTGTCACACCTTACCGTGGCCAGACTGGTGGTTGTGCAAGCCGACAACGTCGGGATACATGGTCGGGCCGCCCAATTTCGTCCGTGACTGTTTTCTCAACTCCTAGGTAAGCCGTAGGCCAGGGGATGGAGAGGCTGATGGATAGAGTCAACGGCGGGCACGTCAATCAGCGATGGCGCAACGTTTGTCTCCAAACAACGCGTCCCCCGCTCCAGGAAATGAGGGAGACATCTTGGCCTTGTTGCAGGGCTTTGACCAGGCAGAGCCGGCAGCAGTAAACGCCATCCGGAGTCTTAGCCTGGTAATGAAGTGCGCATTATTGGGTGCAACGTCTCCGTGCCGTGTCCGGACATGGTTGCTCTCCAGGCACATCGTTGCTATTCAGCAGGCCTGACGCTGCTCGTTTGCCGGAGCGGCAGCTCAGCTCTCGATTAACCTTCCAAAAGAACGACCCGAACACGACAAAGCCCTGAACGGCCGGATCGTGCTGTTGAATAGCGTTGAATAGCGCTGTTTGTCGATATTTCGGGACACTCGGCGGGCAGTGGTTTTACGCCACCATGCATGTCGCGCGGATACGACCCATGTCTGCCTCACCATGGCTCGACGCGTCTTTGCAGCATCATGCCTACACAACAACAAATAGTGCGGTCTAGTATTATTTCTCTGTTTCTCCGATCCTCCTTTGAACTTTGTAGGACTTTCCATTCCGATTCCCAATTTCTTCATTCTCGTCTCATCAGTATCGAATTAGTCAGGGAGTAAACAGACTCCTCTAAGTGATACGTCAAGAACATCCGCAGGTGAAGAAAGTTAGACGCCGTCCAGGGTGCGAAATTCTGATCTTGCACCGCGCAAGCCACAGCTGCCCTCCCGAGTGTGTGAAACACACCCCCAACTCTGCAAGACCTCGAGACATTTATACTTCTGTGGCCAGCAAGAACCTTCCGCAAGAACATTGCTCGACGCTTGGACAACATTTCACCCAGTTGGCGACATTTGACGATATAACCAGCATATCCAATGCGATCGGCCACTCTCTGCTATCACCAGCGCGCTCTTTACCACTGGGCTTGAAAGCGCATCCATGGATTCACCACACTCCAGGTCTTACTGAAAAACCACTTCGCGTTGGCCCTTTTCCCACCTCCATAAGCTCTACGTAGCTCCGGCGCCGCCGCTGCCGGAACTCTTGCCACTTCGGCCGATATCACTTCTCATCCCTCTAATCCGCTGCTTTCTGCGAGACATAATATCACCACTAAACCCCGCGTTGCGGCTCTGATAGCGACACTGGCCTTGAAGACTTCTCCTCGCGAACTTATAGCATCGGCGGCTCCACACAATGTTCGCTAGCGGCAGGAAGCCTCGACATCCTCGTCTTGCTCTATCTGTGTTAGGCGTACTCACATTCGTTGTCGCTGGAGCAGCGACCGTAGTAGCAATCCTCAATGCTTGGACATTTTCAACCGCGCATGTTTCGTTCTCCGGACTGGCTGTCGCTGCCGCAGCCCTAGAAGCGTTATCCCTCGCTGCACTGATAGTGTTCTTGATACAGTATGCAGTGAGGGAAGACGGGGACCGCAGGAGCTTCCCCCAAAGGTGGGGCGGCATAGCGCTGGCATGCATCCTGCTCTCTCTGGCCTGCGCTATCATAACGTTGATCATGATTGTTTTGATCCGATACAATCTGGATAAAATCGTCAGCACTTCCTCGTCCGACGAAGTGGTCTTCCTTCTTCCTCCAACCTTCGTTCTTTGGGGGTTCTCCGTCTTAATGCAGGTCACCTTCTACACAGCCTGCTTTCTTCTACGAAACTCATCGCCAAGTTCTCGCCCTTCGGCATCCGCTCAAGAGCCATGTGACTTGGTCGTACATGAAGTTCGTGAGCCAACACCGCCGGTGTCACTCGATATACTACCGCCCCCGCACGCAAGGGATTCTCCGCTTCCTTCTCCGACATTCTCGTTGTCCGATGCTCAATCCACCAAATCCTGGCGACTGTCTGTGCACCAGGTTGTACGCCCGGTAACTTCTAGGACGAAACTGTTACCAAGGCGGCAGTCCACCCCACGGGATTCTGAAAGCATATACTCGGTAGCGCGATCAACCCAAACTGGCTCCGAATCGGACGGCTTCGACACCTGGGATACCTCGAGCGTGGACCCGCAGTACAAAGACACCATCATACATTCCGCGCCATCGAAAGGCACAGCACTCGAGCCAATTCCCGGGAGCCGCCCTCCATCCCCGGCGCGAGCGCTAGAAGGGCCGTTTCCATTCGAGGACACCCCGGAGCTGAAGGAAGAGCGATCGCCACCGCCATCACCATCGCCATCACGCCCACAATCACGACCACCGTCTCCCGCTGCACCACCTCCACAACCTTCATTCTCAAGGCGCCCCTCCACCTCCCACTCAACACATTATCCACCCGCCAGCCCCACTCTAAACGAAGCGCACATCCACCCCCTCTTCAGAAGCGACAGTCCAACGCCCCCACCTGCAGCGACGCCCGGTACCATCGTCACAGCCGCGCCGTTTGGTGGGCAGACTCTAGCATCTCCGCCACCGAGGCCGTTTAGTCGACAGCGTTCAGATAGCCGGCTGGCGACGAGCAGCCCGCTGATTTTCTCGCAGCAGGCGGAAGAGGAGGAGGATGAGGGGGTGGTGGGGAGGACGCCGACACCGCCGAGCAGGCAGATGACGCCACCGATTCCGGAGAGTATTTATGCTGGATCGCCGAGGGTTAGTCCGGCAAGTCAGAGGAGTTTTGTTACGGCGGGGTCGAGGCTGTGAGGGGGTTGCTTGATGAGTCGTTGTCCCTTCTCTTAAGCATTGGGACTGCGGAGCACGCAGTTCATAGGCTTAATGGCTTTTTGAGCTTCGTTATGAGCGATGAGCGAATGCTGCTTTTGCAACGTTTGGAATATGAGCATATCATCTTTCCGTACTTCTTCACGTCACTCGAGCGTAGTCGCAAAGCGTTCTTTACCTGATTTTCATATCTTTGGCGTTTTTGCAGGTGGTTCATCTGCGGACCATGCCTGAAAGGAGTGGAGCCTAGGCGTTACGGGACCGTTGGCGGCTCAAATCAAGGCGTGTATATCTTAATGTATCATGACTTAGGGCAAGCGAAGAGGGTGCTGCTGAATTAGTGTACCTCGATACATCACAATGTTCAGGGGAAAGAAAATTGAAATCTAGTGGTGCACGAGACGATGTCCCTTTGGAAAACGGCAATATGATCATGATAGTTCGTGAATTCTGGGATTGGTTTAGTATGCTCGTACGCTCTGCATGCATATCAACGGTATTGATGAGCTTTACATAACAGATCGCGAGACATGTTACTATAGGGTCAGACCAAGAAATTCTGGATGTACCGAACCACACCATCCTCGATGAAAAGGGGAGAGACAAGTTGCAGCCATGAGAACAGGAACTGCCAATCCAGTAACACCTTGCTCTATGTCACATTTAAAGGCACATTCAATCAACGCCGGCTTTTCACAGTCCGTACCAAGAGAAGAAACGATAGAGACGAGCTCCTTGATAGGCATCGTTCTGCCTCTTGGCAGCTCTGCAGTTCACGTTTTTATGGTAATGACGTGAGGGACAACCGGAGAGGATGACAGCGCTGGCCTAAGCCAAGGCAGGCGTTCAAACTGGACCTTGACGAAACAGCTAATTCCTTTTGTGTTTTCTACCTCTTGCTCTGTATGAGGATAGCCCAGAAAGCCCGCAGTTTATGCAAGACCATTGATGGGGATGCTGATGCATGCGAAAAAGCTCCGTCCGGATTGGCGGGTTGGCCGAGGACAGGGATTCGTCGAGCCATCGCCCCTAATCGAGACTAGCTGGAAAGCCTCCTAGAGACCATCCATTTCACGCTTTCCATTGCGAATGATGCCCAGCTTCAAATCGTTGGGGACTGCTGCTGGTAACTCTGCGTATGTTGGAGTCACAGTTGGCACTACTGACTATCTGATCTTGTCTAATATCTGAGCTGCGCCGAGCGCTCTGGCCATCACTCCTTTGTCCCATTGCGTCCGCCCGCGCATTGTATGCTTCTTCGAGGTAAATCCACCAACCCTAGATGCATCCTCTTGCGATGCCATCAAATAAACTACCAAGCGCATCGTGACTGAAGCTAAACAAGCGCAGTAGCTCGACCGATTCATCTAGCAAGAGCCACCTCACTGCATGTGCTGCTGTCCCTGACCAAGGATTTCACCCGAACGCAAGTCGCAGATGTTCTGATGTCGTTATGAAGCGGACCGCAGCACGCAGTAAGTCAGTCTACAGAGCACTCGTGGGAGAGACCTACTCTTCACGCAGACTATATTAATCCAGGTCTCCCTCATCAACCTTATGTATTTCTCTTATAGTTGCAGTCGGTAGGGGACAGCTAAGAATGCTCGCCAACGCTGACAACACAGACTTTCCAGATTTCGACACACTTTTCCCGTCAGATCCGTCCCGCTGTACTACCAAATAGTATTGGCCTTACTTCAGGCGCCTATGGGCCGTTCTGAAAATTCAGGTATGTTCAGCATCGCGAGCGCTGATCGCGGGCCCATCATATATGCATGCTCATCCATCGCAGGTACATCACCAAGCATGAAGCGCAGGCGTAGTGAGAGGAATCTCAATAACGGCAGTCCTGAGGCAGCCAAATTCGGTACGCATATCTCCATATCATCACTGCGTGCTTCATCTCCTCAGGTGTCTGCTTGACCATTCTGTACTAATGCTTCCACCCCCGGTCAGCCACAACTCCCGGCGTTCAGACGCGCAGGTCTAAGCGAGCGGCTAATGCAACAACACCTCTCAAGGCCAAAGGACTGCAGCCCTCTCAACCACTGCATATGACAACGCGCGCTGCATCGCGCGCGGCATCTGGAGCAACGACTTCAGCTGCTGGTTCTACTGTCGATGGTGACAGTAGGAGAAATTCTTCGGTGAGCGCGACGTCGGTTAATGGAGTAAATCCAGCTGCCAGGGAATCGCCAAACAAGCGGGCCCGGCTGTCAGCAGATACAACTCCGTCCCGAGAGAGTGTCTCGCAGGTGGCCGAAACGGCAGAAGCTCAGCAGAATGGAGTTTGGAGTGCATCGACACCTGAGTCCCAGGTGTCGCAAAAGTCGAACAAGAGGAAGCGTTCGCCAACAGCATCTGACCAGGACGCAATTGAGCAGGTGAGCGCTTAGCATCTCACTACCTTTCACATAATCACGTCACAGCATTTCGTTTTCACTTTGCATCCTTACAGAATCCTATAGGTCATACTTTGATAGCGCTCCGTTTACGGTGCTGGCCTGTCTGCTTCCTAGTGCTCTGAGGTCTCCATGTCATCCAATCATTTTCCTGTCATAGTCAGCCATGAATTGACCTATTCATGCTGCAATCTTTCATGAGCCGATATTGACACCTCAAACCAGGCACCTAGTCACCCGTCGGCTCCTAAAGCCGACGTAAATGGTCGACCAAACGGCGCCTCCGAGGAAACTGATGGCAATCTGGCTAATACCAAAGCATCTACTCCGTCCAGCCGACGTGGCAAGAGGCCCAAACTTGTGGTCGATCCCCCGGTAGACTCTGCGGATGCTACGCCTGGTCTCGGCACACCTGCCTCTGCCTCTGCCTCTGCTCAAAATCTTGATGATGCTCTTCCTTCAGATGCACCTCGTGATCCTGCACAAGAGGCGGCGAAGAACCCGAAGCGACTACCTGGAAGACGCCGGGCTCCACATGCTGACATCAACATTGAAGCAAACCTTCGCCGGCAGCTTCAACTGAAGACGGCTTATAGAAGCGTCGTTAAAGCTCTGAAACCTGTTCTTGCTGAGCTTGCCCAGCGGTCACTCGACGATTTGCAAAATGAACCCACTGCGCATGAAAAGGTGGATCAGTATCATACCGTCAAGGCAGCACTTGATAATCAGCTCAAAGAACGCCTGGCCACGCTGGAACGCACCCGCGAAGTCAAGTTAGCGAAAATCCAGCGACAGTACGATAGTGAATACATCGTCAAAAAGAAGGCATGCGAGACGGCAGTCCGCGATTTGCAGGAGGATCATTTACTTCGCTGCAAAAACCAGCTGCTTACGATCAACCGGGGGGCATCTACCGCTGGTGATGAAGAGGCAACCGAGGATGAGGATGATCTTGTTCCTCATCTAAGAGGCATGCAGTATCCCAACCAACAGACAGGCTACCTTCCCGAGAAGTTTGACTCCCGTAGCCGATGGTTCATCCAGACCCAGGAGCTGTGGCAGCGCAGCGAAAACAACATCGCCTTCCGCCAGCAGTGGCGGGCCTTCCTGGAGATGAACAAAGACGACTTCAACCGAGGAGCGTTAGAAAATGTTGAAGGCTTTGCTGTGTTTGATACCAGTCATCGCGAATATGCGACTGCTGTATGGAACATTAATGAGCTTGCCGAAGCCGCAAACGTCGCGCAAGAGGAGCTGTCTAGAGCAGGTCGGATGGTCCCCAACGCCGAAGCAACGGCTCTGCAAGCTCTCGCAGCACTTGCCGAATCGGCGCCCCCGGCCGTGCCAGTATCCTTGCTAGTTCGCGCGTCACCAGCTCCGGTAGCGACGCCGCGCCTGACAAAGGCAAAGATCCAAGCGACTCCAGGCAGTGTCGGAAGTACGCCTATGCGGCTTGCGTCTTCGAGTTCCAGCCCTGTGAAGGGGGAGGATCCGACTGCAAGGCGGAAGATTTCCTCCATTGAAGAAGTCCAGCAAGCGTCTGGAAACGACCTGACTGTGAACGGCATCGCCGGGACAGCGGATGTCCCATTGTCTGTCAAACCAACATCCAACAGGATCATGGACTTACTCAACAAGGACCCGGAGCAGGCTGGCCATACCGAGAAGTCTACTGCCCCGAGGCGTCCCACAGACACCCATTCTCATAAGGCTGCAAGTGAGGTGCAACGACCAGAAGTTAATGTCATTCCACTTGACACGCAGCAACATACGGCAGATGTGCCAAATCAGACCACTAACGGGGCACCGCATGCCGAGGATAGACGTGTCGAGAGGTCGGCATCTGGATTCTGGTCCACGGTGAACCTTGCATCTCATCGGGCACCTCGTCGACCGCCCAGCCCTGACAAGAACCCAATAGCGAAGTTGCGGCAACTGAGCCAAGCCTTATTCAGGCGAAAGACGCCGGAGAAGAGCGAAGATAATCGGGCCCGGTCACCCGTACGGCGAGATCCCAATAGTGAAAGAGCCCATATGAAGCCACCACCTCCTCCACCGGTGCATATCCCATCCGGGAGTCACCACGAGAGACATCATTCGGGAACACTGAGCGCTGTCCTGCCAATGACTAGGCAAGACCAAAATCCTTATTCGGCAAACGCTGGCCGACAGCGAAGTGAAAGCCATGGTGAGCCTCGTCGATCTACCTGGGATAGTTTCAGGAGAGCTAGCATCGCCGTACCTCAGCAATACGAACCCCCAAGAGGTTCACCTCAAGGCACAATCTATCCACCTGCCGCCTCATACGGGATCACAGGAAGACTACCACCAGCCTACAGTGTGCCGTACAGCGGGCCGACACTGGCGCCTCAACCGCCTGGAGGGCCTCCACTCGCACCCGCACCGGCCCCACCACTACCAGGCTACCACTATCAAGGACCTCATCCTCCTCAATCGTACGACGCATATGGTCGCCCAATCGCGCCTTACCCTCCCCAAGCACAGCCAGCGCCGTACCCAGCTCCACAGCAGCAGCTCAACCCCTATCTAGCAGCCGTTCCCCACCAACCAGTTCCGCCACCTCCTCAGCAAAACTATCCACTACAACCGCCGTTCCACCCCGCATACGGCCCACCGCAGCCGTCATACCAGCAACCAGGCCCTGCTCCCCAGCATCAGCCCCAGCCAGCACCACCACAGCCCTCCCAACAACCTTATCACCAGCAACCACCTCCGCCACCACAGCCCTATCACCATCAGCAACAGCCGTCCCCCTACTCTGGCCCCCAGTACGGCGGCCAGCGCATCCTCCCCGCCGGCTACGGCGATCCGCGCCACCCGCCGCTCATTGCAGCCGCGCCGCCTTACCAGGGTGGGGGCCATGGACCGGCGTTTTCGCAGCAGCAGCAGCAGCATCAGCAGGGGCAGCATGGAGGCCATGGTGAAGGGATGGCGGCGGGGATGGAGCAAGGAGGGGAGAGGGATGGCAGGGGTGATGGCAGTGGGCGGGGTAGGAGGGGGAAGTTTGGGGGTGGCGGGGAGTTTAGGAGTTGGAGGGGGGTGGGGAGGAGGAGGTCTTGAGGGTTGGAGAGTGTTTTGGGTGAGAGTGGAGGTTTTGTTCCGGGATTGATTTTTTCCTTCAGAACTGGTTTAAGATATGAATGCCTTGGTTTCCGCTAGGGCTTGCCGCCGCAAGCACGTCCAGAAGCTACTTAATTTCCTCGTTTCCTGTATCAAGATGGGCATTGTGAGCGTTTCTCAGCAGGGCGCCGGAGCGGTGTTTTCCACGTATAACAATAGGGTTACGCCAGGGTCGCTTACCACTCGTGTCTGCCTGGAGTGTAGCATAGATAAGGTGGCGTCATCGGGGCTCAATATTACGCTTTAAACTTAATCTAGAGGTCGTGACACAAATGCCGGCAAGATGAGGGGAACGTTTTAAAGCGGACGGGATGCCCAGTATTCTTTGATCTATGGCCGTATGTGTTGGTTTCAAGCGAAGTTACTATTAAATATAATCAAATCTTCTGATCTGCTGCCAGTCAAAAAGTTCTCCGTGGATACCACAATACACTTCGTTACGAAGTAGGAATATCAAACAACATTAGCCCACGAGCGGCACTTCGCGAAGAGATCATACAATTTCGGATGCGAAATATACCCTACAGAAGAGGAGGGGGAACCCCCAGCTTGAGTGAACGGGTTCTGAACTCTCGGTCGAAAGAGGCGCTCCGTCACGATGTTACACAGTCATCATGGCAAGTACACCAGAGCGGGCGCAGCCCGCTAACATGGTCTCAGCCAGCTTCTAGACGTCTGCCGTTGCTCAGTCCGAGAAAACAATACAAGATTGGAATGGCACCTATTGAAGACAGCCCTCTGCCCAACACTGCGAAAGTGCCCGAATGTGAACAGATGTAGACACTTCGCATGCGCGCTTGGAAGGAAATTAGAAGGTTGCCGGCCATACATTTTACATACAGACAGTACCACAACACATATACAGTCTCATGAAACCCCCCATCTCCCAGCAAAACGTGACCCCTTTTCGCAATACATCTCCAACCAGATACACAGGAAAACTCACTAGAATCAGCACTCATCCCCGTTCTTCATCCCGTTCCTCATCCCGTTCTCATGCTGCCCTTCCCCCTGACGCGTCCATTCCTACTGCATAACCATCGTTCCCAGAACCCACTCAATAATCCGACAGCGTCAATTTGCGCCCAGTATTCCTGCGCGCCTCCGCTGCCTTCTCGGCAGGCGAGAGCTCCTTCTGCTCATTCTTGGCTTTGAGCGCTTGGAGGAGCATTCCGGCGTCGAAGAAGCCGTCTGCGAAAAGCAAAGAAATCAGCACATGACTCTACGACCAAAGCAAAACAGAAAAAGCGGACGTAAAGATAAAACGAAGTGAGAGAGCCAGGCGAGGAAAGAGACGGGAGCCGGAAGGGGTGTCTAGTCTAGTTCTAAGGTGTGGTGTAGGGGGGTACAAAGGAAAAGTGCTTAGGATAGGAGGGGGTTTCATGACACGATGGCGAGACAAGTGGACAGCTTCTGCGGCTTCCTGGGCGAATCGCCCGCCGACGACGTCGAAGCAGCACGTGTGGTGTGCCTGCACCGTGCCGGCGGGCTGCGCGATCCCCAACTCGCCACCAAAACCGGCGAAGCCAGAAAACTAGGCTTGAACGGCGGTGACGGCGGACGCTCTGAAATGGCAGGCAGCGCATAGAACTCCACTCCCGTCACACTATCATGCCGCGACAAAACAGAACGGGAACCAGAAGAGAATCCAGAAATCCGCCTACATCCACCAAGGCCCTCATCATCGCTCTCCTCGGCCTCAATATCATCGTGCTGCGGCGCCTGTATTGCTGAGCCGGTCTTCCCATCGCCGAGAACTATCCGGCCACGGCTCTTGATCCTGTTGGCCTTTGGCCTTTTCTCCTCCGCTTCTCTCGCACGAGACGCATTCGTGGCGCTCGCGCCCCTTTTCTTTGTCTGCCTGAGCAGCTTCCGCATCTCCAGGAAGTAGCTCTCCAGCGCATCGATGTACCGTTTCGTCTGCCTGTGCTTGCTGCTCGCGCAGATGGAGACGGAGCCGTCTTTGATGATGTAGCCGATGCCGAAGCCGTCGCCTGAGGTAGGTCCAAAGCCGAAATGGCGCAGGGACGGGTTGCCGCAGTTCGAGGTGGATAGGATGGTTGTGTTGAGCTTGTCCCAGCCTGAGTCTGCGAAGAGGGACGGCATGTTGTGCTGTGCTACATGTGCAGGCGGCGACGCGGACGTGGATTCAGCTTCCGACAGCATGGTGGAGCGGCGGCCGGGGGAGCGCGTGTCTTTGTCGGAAGTCGAGCCGTTCGGACTTGTGGGGCGTGTGCTGTCCCTGTCCATATCTGTGCCGTCGGTGCTGGCGACGTCGTAGTTGTCGTCTTCGAGCGAGCGCTGCCAGACGCAGTAGAGGGCAAAGAGGTGGCGGTCTGGCCCGTTGGCTTTGGCGCAATCTTTCGTGATCGCGGTGTGTTTCTGGCAGGCGCGCTTCAGGGCGTCGACTTTTTGCTGCGCGGGGTTATCGCCCCAGAACGTCTTTACGAACTCGGTTGACTCGGTCGTCACGGGCCGGATGGCTTCGGTGCGCCCATGGTAATAGATCTTGGTCATGGCCGGCTCGTAGACGCATTCCATGCGTCCGTAGAGACCGTAGTAGGCTGCCTGGTATGCCATCTGCACGAATGCGTCAGGCGAAAAGCCCATCGAGGTTATAAAGTTCTTGCCGTATGTCATGAACTCCAGGATCTGGAACTCGTTCTGCTGGATCAGGTCTGCGAGTCTCGTTTCGGCGAAGCGCAAAGCGGTGCTCAGCTCCGGTATCATGTCCCACTCAAGCTTATGCGGTGTCGTGTTGACATCTCCGAAGCTGTCCGGGTCCCGTTTGGCGGGATCTGGGCTTTGAGACGCCCACAGGCTGGGCGCCTGGCCGTTGATCGTTCGCGCAAAACGCAGGATGGTGTCTGTATAGACGTCGCTGGCGAAGCGAAGCACCGTGTGGCCGTCCACGCCAGTGTGCTCGAAGTTGATCCCTGCGCTACCGTTCTTGCACACAATGATCTGAAGCTTGTCGTACCACCGGTTCGTGCAAGTTCCGGTCTGCACGCCACGCTCAACCTTGCTAGTACCGCAGAGCATGTTCGTGCAAAGATCTGCCCCGGTCTGAGGTTCGGTGTAATCCAAGCAGAGAATGAAGAGGGCCGAGTCTACGATGTTTAGGCAGTCGGAGTTATTCGAGCCCTCCTCTCGGTGGAGAACGTCTCGAAGCCCAGACCAAACCTTCCGGTTCTCTGTACTAAGGACGCCAAGCGCGCCTCTTGCGGCGTCCTGAATGGGAATCTCTTGAGCATCCTCGATGACCACTTGGAGGTTGACTGCAATATCCTTCTCAGTCATAATCAAGTCCGAGTTGTCGTCAAGCACATCAAACCAGTAGAACTGTCCGTGACAAAGAACGACGATGTGCTTTGCGTTCGGGTCCTGCCCTATCTGGCAGCCGTTGTCTGTGGGTATCCGTGCCGTACCAAACAGTCTTGAGTATTGGTACATGTCCAAGGGTTGCCCTTTGATGGTGTCCGGGGGAAGCTCCTCTTTTCGCACTGCTCGAACGAAAGAGAGCGCAGAAACGACTAGGGATGCCGCTCGAGTCACTTGATTGTTACGAGCTGGGGTAGGGTCATCCTCCAGTAGGAAGAAGGGGTTGAGGTTGAGCACGACGGGATTATCAAAGTTCAGATATGAGTCATACCCTATCGAATGGTCAGTGGCCGCAAAAATTGAAGTCCTCACCACAGAGGTGATGTGGCTGGAATCCACTAAGGGGATCAACCCTCAGAGAACGACTTACAGAATTGCTCAATGTAGTTCGCCTTGTCGGCTGCGTACTTCTTGAGCTTGTTTTGGAGCTCTGGACCGTCGTTCTTCAAGAACTCCTGAACGGCTATCTCGGTTTCGTGATGCTCCTTCGGTGTCTGCAGAGGCTTCAGTGCCTCCAGATATTTCTTGCATGACGACTCAAGGTCGGGGATTGGCAGCTTTGGCAGCTTGTCTTGAGAGGCGAAAGTCACTCCAGGCTTCGAGTTTGGGTTTGTGTGAGAAGCCAGTGGTTGTTTCTCGGCGTTGGTGTAGGCATCGGCAGCGTCCTTTGCCGCACCGTCGGATCTTTGCTCCCCCTCGCCGGACTTCTTCTCATCCTTGGATTTCATCTCCCCGTTCATGTTTGCTGTGGCTCCAGCTAGGGTCGCGTCCAAAGACTTAGGCTCTTTGAAAGTGCGGACTGCCATTTTAAAGATTGCCGTGGTCAGTTATGCGTACAGGGGCGAGATGAAGGTTGCTATAGACAGCAACCGCAACGCCGTGCGGTAGAAGTAGTGGCAGTCTTGGAGACAGTACACAGGCATTGAGGTAAGAAAGACAACATCGAGCCAGAAGCTGAAGGAGGCTCGGGACATTAAAGCGGTAAAACCAGACTTATGCGGAAAAGGGTCTAGGATGAAAGGGACTGAACGAGGCATGCTGCACCCCGCCATGCGTGGGCCTGAGCAACCATGGCATGTGAAGCGGCCGGTATCCACATGATGCGGGAGAGTGACTTCCCATAGACTAACGACGCGGACCGCTGATACGGAGGTCGATCCGAAGTCCCGGATATCAAGGAGATGCAGAACTAACGCCAGCAGCTGATGTTCACGCCAGATGAGATGCACTTACCAGAGATGTCTTATGATAACCCTACCTCCAACTTAACCTAACCTGTTAGCTTTGATCTCTACTTACACCAATGGTGCTATGAAATGCCAGAATCACAACTCAAACAGCGTGTAGGATGTAGAGATCTCGGAAAAGGACTACCGCTACGAATCTAACTGCGGACGAGGCGTTGTTTTCTCCGGCGAAGCGGAACTGTGATCTTGCACCGAGAAGAGCCTTGCACGGACAAGGACCAGGAGCCCCGAGAGCCCACAAAGGACGTTCAGATGGGACGGCGGGCGAGAGGAAGGGTGATTAAGTGGCCGCTTAAAGGCGCATGTACCTGAACAACTGGGCCGCCGGGATGCTGGCGGAGCTCCCAGGCTCAAACAGGACTCGGTACAATATGAGATGGTGGGATATCTCTCGGTCGACTGCTTCAGCTGCACGGCCAGAAGCTGTGCATACAGACTCGGGGCAGACGCAGGTGAAGATGTCAAAACAAGCACCGCGTCAGTGACCGAATCTCATGGGCAAGCAAGAGGGGGTCGAGCACATGGCAATGGGCCATGCCAGCTGCCAGTGCAAAACGCGGGGCGCGTCTTCTGGCCGCCTGCAGACAGCGGCGATGATGCAAATGGCACCTGGAGAGCGCGAGACCTCGGGTCTGTCCCGCTGCGGGGGCTTTTGGCAATGCCCAGGTGAGCTGTTTCCCTGCAGTGGCTCGAGCACTCCCGTCTGTCCGCAAAACCCGTGGACGTCTGGAACAACCCCCCCCAACAGCACATCACGCCCTTCCTCCAGGACCCACCACCACCGAAGCGTTCCGCTGACTCAGCCTGCATGCTCTTCGCGTCCCTTTACGGAGCTGTCATGACTCGACGCCGATCGCATGTCCCCGTACCTCGTCCATCAATGACCCATCAATGACCCATGACCGACCTCCTCCAGGTGCTGCCTGACTTCTCAACCCAGCCGTATTCCCACCTCCTGCCTTCGCTCGAGAAGAATCAGGTCACCACCGCCGACCTCCTCACGCTCGATGCCGTCGACATAGCAAAACGGGCGCAGGTACCCGTCGCCGAGGCGCGGAGGCTGACCGATGCCGTCCTCTCAGCTCTGCGCGGCCAGCTCGGTCTGCAGCATGATATCGAGATCTCTAAGAAGCCGTCGTTGGCTTCCACGGGGCAAGAGCTGATCGGTCGGTGGAGCACCATTAGCACGTTAGATGACGGGTTGGATGCTGCATTGGGCGGCGGCATACCGACTGGCTATTTGGTCGAGGTCACTGGAGAAAGGTACAGCTCCATCAACCTATACTAGCCTTGCATAGCCACGCAGACGCCTAGGAACGACAACTGACTCTCTCCCTCACAGCGGCGCAGGCAAGACGCAATTCCTCCTAACGCTCCTCCTCTCCTCACAACTCGCGCCCCCCGCCGGCCTCTCCAAATCAGCCCTCTACATATCAACCGAGGCCGCTCTGCCCACCAGCCGGCTAGCACAACTCCTGAAAAGCCATCCCCGTCTCTCCTCTCTACCTGACGCCTCTAGACCCTCCCTCTCCCGCATCCTCAGCATCCAGACCCCCGATCTCGAGTCCCAAGACCACATTCTGCGCTACCAACTCCCCGTCGCAATCGCCCGCCACAACATCGGCCTCGTAGTCCTCGACTCCGTCGCCGCGAACTACCGTGCCGAGTTCTCGCAGGACCCGAGCGCCAAATCGGGCGCCGCAGCAATGGCAAAACGCAGCGCGCAGCTGGTGCAGCTCGGAAGCCTTTTGCGAGACCTCGCACGCGCCGAGAACATCGCCATCGTTGTGGCGAACCAAGTCGCCGACAGGTTCTCGCCTACCCCCGCGGCGCCATCGGCTGCGGTATCTCGCACCACGTCGCTGAACAGCAACCAGAGCAACAGCAACAATAAACCCAACAACGGCGATACCAACGGCAGCCGCCCGGCTTCTCCTTCCCCACAGCCCCAGCCCCAGCCCGAAAAACGCCCCATCAGCACACCGCGACCCTCACCACAGCTTCTATCCACGCCTGACCCCCTAACCCTGGACCACCAACAGCGCTGGTTCACCGGCTGGGGCGACCTCGCCCCGTCCTCCTCCTCCAACGACGACGGGATCGATAGGCCACAGATGCTGAAGACGCCGTCCCTGGGCCTCGTCTGGACGAACCAGATCGCGTGCCGGATTGCGCTGATCAAGGAGGTTGTTTACTCTACCGAGCAGGATGAGCAGGCTCGGAAGGCGGAAGGAGGGCGCGACGGGGACGAGGGAGGAGGAAGTGGACCGGATATCGCGGGGTGGCGGAGGTGGATGCGGGTTGTGTTTGCGCCGTGGGCTGGGCCGACCGAGGGGAGGGGCGTGCGGTTTGAGATTTGCGGGGGCGGGGTGAGGAGTATAGGGAGAGGTGAGGCCAAGGTGATAGAGAGCGGTGCGCTAGAATCCGCCACCGCAGCAGCGTCGTTGCCGTGAGTGGTTTTGGTCGTCGTAGTATAATAACAGTCAGCAACCCCCCGTTTTCGGATGTTCCATATCTGCACACAGCTTCAGGTTATCTAAGAGGTTTGTCTTCACGGAGGCACTGATGAGTGAAGCGGGTAGGAAAAACATAGCTGTGGTGTGGCAGCATAACACGAATATGAACAACGTACAATTCACGATGTGGGTTACATCGAGAGATCTCCGCGTCATCCACTCCAAAAGCCCATCAAACTCACGAACTCAAGTCACTCATTCCAAGTCTTAGAGAATTCGCGTTTGAAACCAAGTCATTTCATCGACTAGTCAGAGCAAAGAACACGCCACGCCACCAGCAAAGTGCCCTAAATCATACAAGAGCCGAGAGAGAAGCCCAGTCCGATCCTAGCACCAGGAAAAAAGAATTCCGCAGAAATCGCCTCCCTGTCAAGGCCACCACAAAGCCCACCTCGAAGAAGGAAGAAGAAAAAGAAAAAACGCCACCCTTGATGCCACCATAACACTTCGTACACAAAGCTTCATGCCATCCCCCTGGCTGTGAAGACAAACACCGCCGGAGAAAAGCTACGCAAAAGGCCCGCCGCAGGCGGTGAAAACAAGCACCCCACTTGGACCTGAGCCCTTATCCGAATTCCATACCATTTCATCGTTCATCAGAACCGTACGACCCGTCATGCCTCCTCGTTAATCAAACCCAGACCCGAACCTAAACCTTCAGGTCCCACCACCCGCAACATCACTCAACGGACTCGGCACCGGTCCTCGCGGGCTTTGACTTTGACTTTGACTCTGCGTGTGCGGCAGGGAGGGCGGGTAGCCGTAGCCATATCCCTGCGGCTGATGCAACGGCGGCGTCTGCATCGGCAGCGAGCCGTATGGCGGGATGTGTCCTACGCCCGGCCCGTATCTTGATGGCTGGGTTTGCGGATTGTGGCTCTGCTGATGATGGCTCTGCGAATGGTGCTGGCTCGGCTGCTGCGCCTGCGCGTGCGCATTTCCGTGTCCGTGCGCGTAGTTAGGCGGCTGGCTCTGGGCCTGCACATAGCCAGCAGGCGCATAGACGTGCCCGCTTCCATGCCCGTGCCCGTGCCCATGCCCTTGCCCATGGCCACTCACTCCATACGGTGCAGAATGATGCGTCCCCATCATCGGCGGCGTTGGCGCCGCATAGCCCCCCGTCCCCGCCTGCTCCGCCGCCTGCTTGAGCGCATGCTCCAGCTTACTCATCCCAGCGTGCTCGCTCGACGCGCTCCTCGTGACATCCATCCTAAAGTCAGACTCGGATTGGAACATCAGACCCGGCCGCTGTGCTGCGTTGCTCTGCCTGCGAGCTGGATTGGGGTGCGGGAGCTGTGGCGGCGGGCGCCCGAAACCGAAGTCTGGCTGCGCGTTGGCCGCCGCGGGAGATGGGTAGGGGTTACTGGCGTAGCTGCTGTGGGGGCCGGGCTGCGGATAAAGGGAGTGACTAGAAGAGGGACGAGCGAGAGTGGTCGGTTGATACGCCTCGGTGAAGCCGCCGCCATCTTTGGGGAGGCGGTAGGGAGACTGATACTTTTGTGGACGCCTGAGGAACGAGTGGAGAAGGTAGGGATAGTTCTTCAAGTCGTTGATGTGTTGAAGTCGGTCGCTAGCCGAGGAAGACGATGACGATGAGTGCGTTAGTTGTGGCGGCGAGGGGTCGGTGGAGGGATTGCTGAGATAGCTGTATAAGGCGGAAGGACTGGATGCCTTGGTTCCCAGCATAGGTGCTACCGGAGCAACGCGCTGTTGTGCTTGATGCTGGCTGGGTTGAGTCGAGTAGGTATGCGGATACTGGTACTGCCGCTGCAGCTGCTGGTGCGACTGTTGCTGATCAGAAGGTGGCTGGTAGTACTGATACTGCGGCCGCGACGATAGCTGATCAAGCCGAGGATCGATCGAAGGTGCGCCCAGCTTCGCCGAGTTCGGATACGGTGACGTCTGGTAAGGTATTTTGGACGCCTCCTGCGCTGGATTTCGGCTATACGGGGTGGAGTGGTATTTCGGATGCGCATACTGCGCTTGAGCAGATGAGTATCGTGACTGCTGCGACTGCTGCGTCATTGGCGCAGGTTGTACAGGCCGTTGCTTTTCTTTCGGCTGACCGTATTGAGCCCCATACATGGTCACAGAAGCCATTGGTGCTTGCTTCGGAGGAGGCTGCTTGTTGTGGGACTGCTGCTGCTGTTGGCGTTGGACAGACGAAGTAGCATTGAGCGCCTTGACATTGACACCGCTTGGATACGCAGCGGGCAGAGACCGGCGCTCAACCGGCGCAGGAGGCGGTGGAGGCGGCTTGACTGTATCTAGGAAGTTGCCCTTCGGGTTATGTCGTGGCTTCGCGGGATCCTCTGTATACTGCTGCCTGGCCTCTGTCGATGTCTTGCCCAAGTAGAACCAGATCTGATCCGGCTTTGAAAAGTCGATCTTCTTTTGCTCTGCATTTCTGGCCTCCTCTGTCGTACAGGTGTGAAATTCCGCCCACTTCTCCACGCAGTTGGGGTCATGGAACGGCTCGTCCATTACGGGTGGTGGGTCCTTCTGATTCTTCGCGTCGAGGCTCTTGTTGTTCAAGAGGTGCTCGGGCAGAGGCTTCGCGTTTGCAGACGGCTTCGGTCGCAGTGAGTCTGCTGGATCGATGTACAATAGCCACTTGTACTCGATCTCGACCCGTTCGCTGTTAGGCCTACTGGAAGTTAGTAGCCAATCACTCTAGATATATGGATTGTATCACTTACCCTTCCGGGAGAATGTCCACCAAGACCGTCATCTCGCTCGGTCTATTTTCAACAACAATACCGGCAAAGACCTCGCCACCATCAAGGTACTGAGCTTGAATCACTTCTCTGGACTTGAGACTTCTCCCGTACTCTCGCGTGAACTTGTTCTCCAACGACTCCACGTCGACGAACTTGAGATGCCTCTTCTTCGGCCTGTGGAAGCGGCACCTGAAGTCGTAGCCTTCGCAGTAGTACTCCATTCCATCCTCGTCGAAGGTAGGAACCGGCCCGGTGTCGATCTGCACGCCAGCAGCAGCAGCGCAGGTAGCGTGGAAGGCGCGTGTACATTTCTTCGAGGAACACTGGAAGCAAGTTCCACGTTTGGAGCCACAGTGGTTGCACTTGAGGTCGAAGCGGGCTTTCTCGATGAACGGAACTCCACAAACCTTCTCGCGGCCGTTCTCATCAACAAGATATGTCTCGGGCGTGTAGAGAGCACAGAGACGATGAGCTCTCTGGCCGTTGTCTGTAGGAAGAAGCTTGTCGTACGATACATCGTTAGGGCAAAGGACGCAAGGCTGCTTCGAGGGCAGAATGCGAATCTTGATCTTCTTCTTGACTTTCTGCTCGGTCGCTTCTTTCGTTTCTCGCTTTCGCTTCTTAGGGGCCGTCTTAATCTTCCCGGCAACACTGGCCGGAGGGCTCGGCAGGTCGTTCTGCTCATCTTCCACTTCTTCGTCATCATCCTCATCATCGGTGACCTCTTCCCAGTACTCAGGTGTTGGCTCGCCTCTAAGCTTCCGCTCGATCTCCGAGACGTCAACCCAGACGCTGTCCGCTTCGCAGTCGCACTTCTTCGCTACGCGGCCCATCGGTAACCATGCCTCTGTTGCGAAGTTGACGGACTCAGCACAGTTGTAGCCAAGGTTGTATCCTGAATGGTATCCGTAGGGATATGTAATGACGAATTCGCCCTCGTAATGGACCAGCCTGTTGACCTTGATGCCGAATTGTTTCTCTAGCTTGTCCGGTGAGATAAGGTAGGTTTTGTGGCGAAGGAATTGATCGCATGCTTTTGCATCAGTGGGCCAGATGCCTGTGAAAAGGTCATTAGCTTCAGAGTGTCCAATCGTGGTGCGCTCTACTCACTCTTCATAGCAGCTTCAAAGCGTCTCGCATCCGCTTGCGAAATGCTATACCACTGCTTGGGCGCTCCGAAGTGGATGTAGTTGATGCTGTAAAGATCCACATCTTCGAGGTGCCAGGCGAAGGTAGCTTTCCACATCCCAAGATAGAGATATGCAGTGTTCACACCAGGTACCTTTGTGCCCAAGACGTCCAGTAGATTTTCCAGCTTCGCCACGTTCCAGCTCGTGGTGTTGTCGTCAAAAAGGGACCCAGGCATATCGGCGCCGTACATAGGCTGGCCATAGTTGAGCGTCTTCCAGTACACCTCTTCTAGCTCCTTGCAGCGCTCAGGCGTGAACTCGTCCACTTTGCCGAAGTGGTAATCGAAGTTCCTGAAAGCCTTCTCGTCGATCTCGTCCGCAGCTTCGCGACGGTTGTTCAATCGACGTGAGGAAACGGACTTCGATTTCGGCTGGCGGCCTCGTGGCTTGGTGGGAGAGTCGTCCTCGTCCGCAGCTTCAGTCTTAGCTGTCGACCTCCTTGCTCGTTTCTTTGGTGGTGGCTTTGTATCGGGCGATGTGGGCGTAGGCGGTACTTGAAGCTGGCTGTCTTCTTTGGAATCAGCACCTTTGTCTGGTGAGTCTTCCTTCTCTTCAGGTGCGGGTCGCTTGCGTGGACGGCCAGGCTTGCGCTTCGGTCCATCCTGCTGGCTTGTCGTAGAATCGGCAGAACTTCCCGCACCGTTGCGAGTTGAGCGCGTTCTGCCAACAGCATCCCGATTGGCCCTCCGGTCTCCTCGCTTTGCCGGCGGCTGATGATTGGACTCTTCTGTCACGGCCTTCCATTGTGGCAGATTGTACGAGCGCTGCTTCTCCATGTTGTTCTGGGTGTAGACGCCATGTGTACCGACGAACTCTTGGGTAATTGGATTCTTAACTTTAATCGTCTTGACAGCTTCGTGCAGGGCGGGGAGACTGTCAATCCTGATTGAGGAAAGCGAACGTCAGCAAATGAGCATGGTCGGGTAGCATTGAAGGGCGGCTTACCATTCCTTCGGTGGTATAACTTTCACGATGCCGGATTTCATCCCGTATGTGTCGACCTTGTCAATGAATTTCTTGAAGCTGCGGAATTGCGCCATGGTCTACAGAACGAAACAACGGAGTCAGCACAAGATCAATTCAGATCTCACTCTCAGGGTAGTTGCAAACACCGCGTCGGCGCATGCAGTTATTGCATTGCACAGCTATCGAACCTACCGGCTTAAAGACAGGTATCTTCCCTCCATCCCAGTAATGATCCGGTTCAATCTCCCCAATATCTTCTTCCCCCGGGTTGTCGAGCTCCATATCCGACAACGGCGACGACGACCGCTCCCTCTTATCCATATCCTCGCTCGTTGGTGGCGTCAGGGCGGCCTTGTGGAGCGACTCATCGTGCGCAGAGTCGTGCGCCTCTACAGAGGCAGCGGCCTCCATAGCTGCTATTGTTCACAAAGCTGTAAGTTGTCGCGTGGGTAAGCGCAGTGAATCGCGGAGGGAGCGTGGTGGCTCCCTCGAGGTGAAGTGCCGTGAGTGCCTGGTCGCGAGCCGATGTGTGGGGTGAGAAACGAGAGACTGAGGAGTCAGAAGACCCGAAGTTGCGACTATCGCATCAGCTTGAGAGACTTAGACGCTCGTAGTCGCTCCTTTCGCATGCTTCTGAAGTCGCTGTCGTCGTCCGTGGGTTCGGTGTTGTCAGGAGAAGGCAGCGGAGGGGATGGGAGGTTGCTGGAGTCGAGCAGGTTCGGCGTTGCTCTAAGGTTCCCGCTAAGCCCCTTCGGGAGCGCAAGCTTGGCATCACCAGATCGCTCATCGCAGCGCACGGATCACGATTGATGGAATTTTGGACAGAGTTGAGGCTTCATGGTGGCAGAGACGTCGGGTGTGTCGCTATCCGACTCTCCCTTCTGAGTCTAGAGATGTGGGCAAGACAAATCTCATGTCTCACGGGAAGAGTAGCAAGTTGGTTGTAGAGGATACATATCATTCTTTGTTGCGATCTAATTCATAGCTAATCCCACAATGAGTGATGAAAGAAAACGATGTTGTGTGATGCATGAGTGTGCGGTCTTGATTCTACACGGTGCTAGGACTCTGTGCGTTCATGGCTGTTAGAAACCTTTGCTAGCCAGGGCATCACGTAATTCTGCGATAGCGGCATGCATATGTAACCTCCTGCCAAGGGAGGTCTGGAGGACGACGGACTGCATGCAGAGGGTGACGGCGGTTGCGTCCCAGATGTTGCATGATAGAGGCCGCCTCATGACAATGGCACAATTGCCGCGCAAGCACAGAGATCAAGCCAGCGTACCTGCGTCGCCGCGCGCAGCGGGAGGCCACGGGATCTCAACCACCTGCACCTCATCTCGCACTTCTCCACATTTCGGCTCGACACGCTGTGCCAGCCCTACGATCAAACGGCTGCCACGTGCGGTCCGTGATTAGCTGCTTGGCCATTGGGCCCGGGGTTGGTTCGCGGAGAAGGGGCCTGTCAGGGCGGTGCTTATCTGGGGGAACCTGCGTGAACACCACCGCTCGCACCGCCAACCGGAGGCTCCGGATTGAGGCTCCCCGCTGTTGAGTGGACAGGTGCTCCCAACCCAACGATCGCATGCCACTCCGTTGATGCGGATAGAGAGGTTCAGAAGCCCACCTAGCGGCGTAAGAGCGGTGGTGGAAACTGTCATTCGGCGTCACCATCCAGTTTCGCCGAATCAGTGGACGAAAAGGGCGCGACCCGCCGTTGTTCTGAGAGAACGAGAAGTGACGCGGATGGCAAAAGCAGGCGGATGAGGTCGAGTTGCTATAGATACATGCTTCGAGCCATATGCACCCAGCTTTTGCTTTAACTCCACGTACTGAATACGATCCGAAGAGAATGAAGTACACAGAGCTTGAAAAACTGCAAGCGCCCAAGCAAAGTCCGGCATCCAAACCCAGCGATGCTCCATTGCTATGCAAAACACCAGACAATGAAGAAGGTGCTTTTGACTCTTTTCCTTTTCCCCGCACGATTAAACAAACGCTAGACGGGGCAATATTTAGACAGGAGACGAACGAGCAGACTCGAGACCAAATTTACCATGGAGTAGCAAACAGCCAGCTCACCTCAATGACGCGCGTTTTGCTTGGTGGTTGATGTTTCAGCAGATGACTCGGGTGCGCTTACTGCGACTCCCCACGTCCCCTTCCACCTCTAAACTCGCCCCTAAACCCGCCCCTTCCACGGCCACCGCGGAACCCATCTCCACGATCACCACGGAATCCACCACGGCCCCTGCCTTCACCTCTCGGGCCTCCGCGGCCACGATATCCACCCCGGTGTTCGCCCTGGAAGCCACCACGTCCACGTCCACCGCGAGCATGGTGAACCTCATGGAAGCCGTCGCCACCACCTGTCACTGGCGCTGCATCCGCAACGGCAGGCTCAGTAGGGGTATCGTCAGCCCAGCTCTGTGTGCTGGTCGGTTCCGCAGGCGCGCCGGCCGTCTCAGTCTCAGCTGGGTCGCGGGGGACCATTTCGAAGGACTCGGCTAGTGGGTCGTCCGAGCCGGGAGCTTTGGCATCCCATTGTTCGGACGCGGCAGCGTTCGCGGCACCGTCATCAACGCTGGCGGCTGCAGGGACACTAGGAGCTTCGGGCTCCTCGGTGTCGCCGTTGGTGACTGCGAGCGTTTGGGTGTCCATTTCCGTGAGGCCGGCATTGACGACCGTAGGGTCGCTGGTGGGGAGAGTTTGAGAGCTGGTGCTGGCAGTAGCAGTATCGGCAGCGGAACCATCGGCAGCAGCAGTGTCATCCTCGATTTGTGGGGCTGCTTCTGGGGCTGCTGGCTCGGCTTGAGCGACGTCGTCGACCCAGGCTTCTTCGGCAGCGAAGGGAGCTTCCTGCGTGATGGTTTTCTTGATCTGGGCGTCTGGCGCAAGGTGTCAGCACGCTTCATCTCAGTAAACCCCTTTAAGACCCCGCTTACAGGTGTAGTTGACCAGCACGCCTTCGACGGACGGCACTTGTTCCTCGGCACCGTCGATCAGCTTCTCACAAGCCAAGACGGCGTTCGCGTCACCGCCGTACACCAGGAGCAGCGCGCCCTCAAAAGCCTTGGATTCATCCGACTCTTCATCCTCGCGCGTCCGCCTGTCGGCTGCTTCCCTAAGGAACCTCGACAGCGTAAGCAGCCGCTGCTTAGACGCTTTCTGAGATTCTAGCTCCGTCTCTGCCTTGAGTGTCTCCCGCAGCTTCTCCAGCTCATCAGCATGCGAGCTCTGGAGAAGCTGCTTCTCCGTTGCCATCTTCTGCTGGTAGTCCTCGTCGATCTTCTTGTATGTTGTGAGTTGTTCTTCGAGCTGAGCGAGTTGGGCTTGTAGTGCAGGCTTCTTGAGGGCTTGAGCTTTCTGGTCATTATTGATCTTGCGGGTGGAGACGAGATCATCAAGGGACACGCCGGGGTTCTCAGCAATTATGCTGTCGACTTTCGACATGAGGTTCTAGTGATAGTCGTATCAGCTGCTGTTTGTAGAAGTCGGAAGCTAAGCAGAAGTGTGCACCTACAAGCTTCTTGTTGACATTGCGGATGTTCCTGTAGGCCGTGAGCATCCATTAGCCATGGTAATGAGAGTATATTGTATCCGAGAATGAAGCTCAGTAAGCACTCACTTCTGAACCTCCTTGATATATGAACTCTCCGAGCTGTCTTCCGGGCCATTGGTCTTCCCATCCAGCTCTGGGGACGCCGCGCGCGCCTCAGAGCCCTTGGTTGCTGCTGCCGTAGCAGCTTCAGCCTTGGCTCTCTTCTTGCGAGCGCTCTTCGACTCAGTGGGGGCAGCAGCCGGTGGGCTTGAGACGGTTTCTGAGGACATGCTGTGGGAAGTTGGATTGGTCAAAGTAACAGGGTAGTGTAAAGGATGGATCTTGCGGCTATAATAAATCGTGGAATCGCCTGGCGGGTTTGATGTGCGGTTGTCGCGTGGGACGTGACTGTGTGAGTAGGTAGCTCTGAGCTGTAGACCGGAAATTTCCGCCTGAGCCTTTTCAGGCACAGCTCTTGGCACCAAATGTCGCGCGCCTCGTCACGTGACGTTTCGTCAACTCACGTGACCATCCTGGACGCTTATTAGCACTAAGAATAAATAATTAGAGAACTCACTTAAGGAATAGCGGTAGATCTTATAACTTCTATAAACCTCTATATTATCTATAGAAAAGATCTAATTTATCTATATATAATCCCAGCCCAATGGCTATCCTGCCTTCTGTCCTCATGCGGTCCTGGTCTGCCCAGGCACTCGATCGGTTGAGGAACCCTCCTTCCCACTTGCCGCACCATTGTGCCCGGTTCATGTTCCCTTGCGCGGTGCTTCGTGGCGATACTCGTACTCGCGTGTGATGTTCACAACGGTGCAGAAGGGCTGTTTTGACGATATTAGCTCCTGCGAGGACCGAAGGGATTCGAGATTCGAGTGGCAGTTCGGATGGCTTGGTTGAAGGTATGGACGACGGTAAATTGTTGCTTGTCTGATTCGGTTGGTGGCCCACCGAAGGGACTGAACAGACGCTGTCAATCACGATGCATGGGATGGCTCACGGTCGCGGTTGGCGGCCACGGTTCGCGGTTCCTTGATCTGGTTGGCAATCGTGATGGTGCCCTTTTCTCGTTCAGGTTGTTGTGCTCAGTGGTTGGCCGGTGTGGCGCCTTATTGAGCTGCTAGCTTGCGGCTCAGCCATTGCCTTCGCGTTCATAGCCTTGCCGTTTGGATGAACTCATGTTGCTATGTCGTCCTCGAAAGGAGTGCACCCCTCTACAGCCGATGGTGTGCGGATTAGGCTTCTGCGGAGTGTGCTTGCTCAAGTGGTAAAGCTGACTCTGGAGGACACGGGATAGTTTAGCTTTCATCCACGGGCGGTGGTTAAGAGTCGTTCCGATAACGCATTCTTCGCGTTCTCCTTTAGTACGGTGCTTCCACACGGCTAGGTCTGTAGTCTGTGCGCCCAGGATTCGGCTTAGGTGGCAGGCGCCGCCAACGCGGTAAACAAATAAGATAGCTTAATCCATAGTTGGTTCTTCTTGCTCCCTTGGCACGCCCAGCCGACAGTACCGCGGTCTAAGGGGGCGGAGTAAAACTAGATCTGCGTTGCTCACTCAGCACCCCAGCGAAAGATGCGGCGGAACTGCACACCCTTGCCACGCAGAGACGACTCCCACTCCGCACTCGGTCGCACGCACCTAGAAACTACGTGGACTGACTACAGTAGGGGACTGGACTGGACTGGATGACTGTATTGGCGAAGCCCTGGTGAGCGCTGTCTAAAAGAGGTGGCGGCTGCGGAAAGAATCAACATAGAAAGGCGGCACGAAGTAGCGATGGCGCTGGCTAGATTCTCTAGCTCGAGCGGAGAAGAGCAGGGCGGATTGGTCATGTAGGGACGGAGATAGAGACGGAGACGGTATACAGCCTTACTAGCGGCCTCGCTGCCATCTAGCGTACAAGAAGACACAACGCGATGGCGCCGACACAAGCAAAAGACCACAGCGCCACTATCGCCACGGTGCCGCATAGTGGAAGACTAACACGAAGCGTGGCATCAATAGCATAGCGAAGGAGATTGGTATGAAGAGGCTGTGGCCTTAATACTGCATGATCGATGGTCGGAAAGTGATATATGTAGGCGATAGCGTCCCTACGATGCTGTATAGTGGAAGGTTGATATAAATAGGGCATGGCGCCGCGCCGCTGCGATCCGCGAAGGCGATTAACACAAAGAGACCGTTACATCACTGCGACCCGGCGAACGCGATAATAGAGATTGACACAGAGATGCTATAGCGCCGCTGCTATGCCGTACGGCGGAAGAAGTGACACAAAGCAGCCATGGCGTAGATGATTGAGCGAGCAAGACTTAACACGAAGAGGCCATATAGTCGCTACAGCCGGCGAGTGTGACGAGGAAGAGATAGCCGCGCTGCAACCTAGCGCAGAAGAGTTAACACGAGGAGATCATGGCGTCGCTGCGATCGGCGTAGAGTAAGAAACGCAGCGGTGCTGGCCAAGCTTGGGCGAAGACGAGACCATCACGCTTATTGAACTATCTGGAGCGAGTGGAGAAGAGGCGGTGTCGCCGATGCCGTTGAGACAGAGGCGCCAGTCAGGCAACTCGTTTACTGGACTTGCTGGGCTGGCGGCGCTTGCAGTAAGGTGCATCCTTCCCCTCCAAGTATGCATTAATAACTGGACTCAAGATGAACCGGAAACGGCATCTAAGGCTTGACTGAGACATTTGTCTAACCGTGTGGTGGACATACAGTTCATCAAGCGGTGATGTTCCGATCAGAATACGCTATTGGATCATGGTTAGGATTTCTTGGGCGTTGATGGAACATGGACGTGGATGTAGAGGATCGCTAAGTGCCGTTTATTGATTTGGAGTAGGCGCAGTAGCAGTGTGGATAGATGACTGCGAAAGGCTAATGTTAAAGGACGCAGTTGGTCTCGATGAAAAGACTTTGCTTGCTGCTCTCCGTCAAGCGCTGGCATACACTCATTCGTTATGTTCGTGCCGCCGTGGACAGTAGGCGGTTGTACAAAGTCTTTTGCTTAGTTATGCACGAGTGAGTGTTGCGGAGCGCGCTGTGAGGTAGATGGATAGCCTCGAACAGCACACAGCAAGGCGGTCGTATGTAGGCGCATAGGTTATGATGATTGAGAATCGATTGATGATGCGATCTCAGGTTGGCAGTATTTTTATCGAAGCTCTTTAGGATTTGGCTGACAGAAGAGTAGGAAAATTCGATATAGCTCCGTTGGCACCGTCTTCGAGTGGATCTATTGTTGATAGCTTAGGATCCGAATTGTGGGTTGAAAGACGGTGAGCCCCAGCACCACGGCAAGGTGGAGCTCTGCTAAGGTCAAAAGCCCTTCCTCCACTGGCTCGGGTTTCCCCTACTACTCGTCGGAGCGAGCTCAACGACTACCAGCGCCCAGTGGGTTCCGGAACTTTTGCCTGCCAAATGTATGCGCGGATCCGAGAGGAAGCCTCGTCCAGCGGCTCTCCGGGTTGTCAAATAGGTCGCAGGATACTAAACATCGTACGTTTCCACAAAGTGTGCCAGCTCCGGATACTAGCCACGAAGTGCTAGCGTGACGGATACTATTGACGACTTACGTTTCCACGAGGGTTGCAGCGTTACTGGATCCTAAGGAAAGGCGGTGGCAGTGCTCCGGGGTGTCAAACCGAAGCTGGTTGGTCCAGGATAGTCCCTAACCCTGCCGACCCGAGATCCAGGTATTTTCTTCCCTGGCTCTGGGCCAAAAGGACTCCAGGTTGTGGCTAACCATGGAGTGTCGCGTCATGAAGTTACAGTAGCCGATATAGGAGAAGCAAGTTAAGCTCGGGTAGCTGGATAATAATCTTCAGCCGGAAGTTTATTGCGGCCTCGAAGACCCCGGCCGCCACCCTTCTGTCTGTTAACTTCTCTCCATATATCCACAAGGCGAGTCACGTCCGGAGAAATGACCCGGCCCGATAAATGGTCCAATAACTCATCACCGGTAAAGGCCATTACTGACCCAAGTCCGCGAAATGGGGTTAAGCGCGGATGATCAGTCATGTCGATGATGAGGTAATACTGGAACACTATCTGTAACTTCACTCGGCCGTTCCACATCTCGAGGAAGCTCTTCAACGCGGTATTGCTGCTTGTCAGGCCGTCTATGCCGCGTGATACAACAGTTATGGAGCTATCGTGCGGAACCGTTTCCATCACGCTGTTAATAGCGGTGACGAAGGTGGCCTTGCCTTTAGCCTAATTAGTGTTACAGTGCGATTAGCGAGTCTCGCAAACCCCCTTCACCCACGCAAAACTGTGAGGCCGAGGAGCGTTCGCAGCTAGGCGCCAGCCTATAATGCGGCCTTCTTCTCTGCGCCGCTCGCGGTTCTCCTCAACATTCATCTAAGGCAGCGGATTACGCCGCTGCTAGGCTTCGGTACCGCGGACCAGTACGATCCCACTTATCTAAAAAACGACCAAGCAGTACTCCCCAGTTGGCTGGACCTGCAAAGGCGGGAGGGTCGGCAGAGGAGAAGGAGGCGGCAGCGGCGGTAGCTCTTGCTCTAGTGGGAGCGGATACGATAGCAGCGCGCCAGACCACCTCGAAAAAGGCTCAGATAAGCTGGGCAAGTTAGCGAGGAGTAATAGGAAAGCGAGGGGTACATTGCGAGGACATACAGCGGTCGTTGCGGCGCGTATAGCCGCAGGACCTCTAGTGTCGGCGTGGGCGAGCGCGACCAGGGGACGAAGGGGACGAAGGGCTCCGGTAAGCCAGAAGGAGTCCTAGCCCGACAGAAGGGGGAGGGTGTCCGCCAGAACTCTTCGCGCAGCCGTCTTGGTGGCTTCCTCTTCTGCTTCTTCTTCAGCGGTTCTTCCTACAGTTCTTAGCTTCTAGGTCTACCTCATATACTATATGCTCATATTCTATCCATACCCTCTCAGCTATCTCAACAGAGCTGTGGTTTATCATATAAGATTTCTCGAGATCAAAAAAGGATTTCAAAAGCTTCTTGTATACTATCACGTCTATCTAATGTTCAAATCGGTACACTTAAGGTTGTTCAACCACCCCTGTCGTTTTCGCCACGCCAAGCCCTTTCCAGATCACACTAACTAGAGAGGCCGCTCCTCTTTTTTGTTTTGATTCCTTAACGGCGACCGTTGTGGAGCGATAGAGCGTCGCCCAGTATCACTTAGGGACCTCCGTACTCTATAGCGAGAGGCTAGCAGTGGTATGCCCAGTCTTACTTGGGATTCTCTATCGGCTTCTTTATCCAGTCGTCCACGCAGAAGGCGAAGGCAAGCACTTCGGGC